TACGCAAAGAAAGTGATAGGGGTTGACGTCTCTCCTTTCTTTATTCTTGCAGGCATGGACACAAAATTAATACGTCTACCTCGTTTTCATTTTTTAAAATGCCCAAATTAATTATTTTTTACAATTTTTTTAGTTCTGTTCCCACCACTTGATAACTTTCGAATTACTTTAATATGTCACCTCAGAACAACCGCAGCAAGTTGGAATTCTTCAAATCTGCTGTACATCAGGCTATAGACATGCGGGATAACACAGATAAAGTATGTTTGATATGAGAACATATAATTACCTATAACCTTAATACAATAACACATAATTATTTACCTACAAACCGTAATGTAACGTGCATATTCTAATAGTATTCTTTAGCCATTTTAGTACCCTACTAGCAAGTTTAATCTGGTTTCCATTAAGAATTGAAAATGCTATAATTCCGTGTAAAATCATTGAAGCGTAAGATAATGCAAACTTGGTCTGGAACTCATCAAGATATACACTCACATACCAAAAATCAGCTCATTATCTGCAAGCGTTTTGTAAAAAAAAAAACTCTTAAAAATTAAAAAGGCCGTAATTCCCTCAAAAATTTAATCTTGTTTTGTAACTCATCAATATACACTTAAAATATTTAAAAAATCAGCTTAATATCTGCAAGCGCATAAAAAAGTGAGACAGACTGACAAACAGAAAGCTAGACAGACAGATGGACAGACAGTCAGACAGACTCGGACTCTATTTACGAATATACCAAAAAATTCTGCAGAGGGATATCATTTAAGAATATGATCATGTACAGTATATACTCGCCTATAAGTCGGATTTTTGGGAGTTAAACTTTGGTCCAAAATTCTATGTCCGACTTATAGGCCAGTTATAAAAAGTATTTTAGAAGATAGATCCCTCTAATATAAGATTAAAATATACAACCGACTTATATGCGGACCGACTTATAGGCGAATATATACAGGTACTTATCATTTCTTTATCTTTCGTTACCAATGAATAATCATCATTGCATCATGCAGGACAGAAAAGATATGCTACAACTTATGTTGAATGCTCATAGACTCACCGATAAAAATGAGATAGAGGAAAGTCACGCCTATGAACATCCCGAGAAATGGAAAAAGTGAGGTAGGATATCTGTCAGTTAATATGCTAGGCCGATTTAAAAGGCATAAAAACCTATGATTAGGTATTTACTTGAAGTGCTTTATGTTCTTCAATATTTTTGTAAAATGGAGTAGGAAATATGCCTGAATTAAAGTCTTTTAAAATTACGTAATTTATTAAATCGATACAGTTGTAGTATAATCGAATTTGTCCATTGTTTCAGTATACACCTGTATTTTCTTCTAGCATCATGAGTTCATCATTTTAAAAATTGAAATTTCAGGAGCTGCCCACATACGACAACATCCAGAAGCTTGGGTACCTTGACATGGTGTTTAAGGAGACACTACGCCTGTACCCACCAGCCGTTAGGTGAGTACAAAGATGTATATTCATTATATACTAGTGATATATGACATAAAAATAAGGAAAAGGTTTAAAAGAACGTAAAATAAAATATGTTTTATAAACTTCAGTATAGCTGAATTGCTCGTGTGACAAAAGTAATTCTTGGCAGTGGAGAGAACACACTTTTCTTAGGTACATTGTTCACTTAAACTGTGTAATTACTGATAGTCTTGGTAAACTTTTGTAAATTACGGAGGTCCGTGCTTTTTGTGCTGTTTCACAATTTCTATTGTTTACAGATATTTTTGAGATCACAGTTCGTTAGCTTCACCCTTTTCGTTTGTAATATGATTGCTTCTTATATTAATTATTATTAAAACGCAGGTGACAAATTCCTATGTACATGTAAATCTGCTTGCAAAAAATTTAGCTACTAAGCTTTCAACCATTAGTTTTGTACCATGGAAAAAATACTCCTTAACCTGCCTGAGGAGACAACGACACCCCTCCTTTCTCTCTCTCTCTCTCAAAAAAGTTTTACACAAAGCCATGAATAACTTTTATTATTAGAACAATAAAGAAATTTCCCAACTCTTATGGCGTGTTCACTGATATTCAGTGCATTTATTCCTTGTCTTGTTTTGAGAAACATGTACATTAAATTAAATTAAAATTTAATCATCTATTTACCTGTCCTCGGACAACTTAATAGTTGCACTCAAAACACCTTCTACTTCACCATACAGGTCAAACAGAATCAATTCGAAAGAAATTGAAGTGAATGGAGTGAAGATTCCACTCAACACTGAACTGATTTTCCCTATTTTTGCGATACACAGAAATCCTAAATATTGGCCAAAACCGGAGAAATTCGATCCTGAACGGTATACAATTTTGTCTCTCAGTAGATTGATTGTCTTAAAGGTATGATCAGATGATAATCTGGTAAAAATGTTTATTTAACAGAATAAATGGAATTGCTTCAAGATATTCCATGTACGTTTTGAAGTACTATACTATATTATTATACCTCCCGCTTGAAAAGTGGTTGGGTATATAGTGATTGGGATGTTCGTGCGTCCTTCTGTTCGTCCGTCTGTTACATTTTGGGGTACCCATGTCTTATCCGCAACTCCTCTTATACAACTCAATGAAATTAAATGAGACGTTCAAAGAATCTTTGTTACATAGTTCCATTGTGACCTTTTATTTTGATAGGACACATATTTCGGGATTCCCGTAACAAAACATAGACACTGCCAATCTTTCTATAAAATTGAAAGTTACCCATCATCTTATCCGCAACTCCTCCTATACCACTGAATAAAATTTAATGATACTTTCGCAGATTCTTTATTTCATGATGCGGTTGTGACATCCTATTTTACTTTTTGATCTGACACTTATTTCTGGTTTCCCAAAGCAAAACATTGACGATGCCATTATAATATCATATGGGAGGCGGGGGATATCATTTAGTGAACTCAGTGCTCACAGTACTTCTAGTCTGAATAAGAATATGTTTAATTAGAAAGAAATCAGTTAATCTTCAGAAAAATATGGTATAGGGATTACGCTGACAAAAAAGAATAGAAAAAAAAAATACTTTAAGTGTACACATTATATTTTTAAAAAATTGGAAATGAAATGAAAAAATAACGAAAGGTAACCTGGTGTTACCCAGTAGTTTGTATTGACTGACCTCGGTTACAGTAATAATTTATTATTTTAAAAAATGCAGACAAGTTAGAGAAAAATTATTGTACTGTTAAAAAATTTAAAATACTTGATCATAAATTCGGATGAATAGGGGAAAAATCATCCTATGATGACCGCTCCGAGAGGGTAGGTCAATACTTATCCATTTTGAAGGAGTACAGTTTTGGTTAAGAGGAGTGTTCAGTCTATATATATATATAGTACACTTTTGGTTAAGAGGAGTGTTCAGTCTATATATATATATATATATATATATATATATATATATATATATATATATATATATATATATATATATATATATATATATATATAAATATATACTAAAAAAACCAACAACACTGTATATCCTAAATGTCGGATCTATCAAGTAGATACAAGGTCACGGATGGAAATTTATAAAAAGCACTAAAAATGACCAACGACACGAACAATAAAAATTGTCAAATTTTCGGGACGCCCTGTCCCTTCCTCAGGACAAAGAAAAGAGTTAAAAAGTCATAAGAACAAAGGAAAAAGCGAAAAGCGAAAAAGGAAAAAAACAACTAGCACTACTACTAAACTACTAAACACTATATATTTACATACTTAGTTACATGTTGATTTGGAAATTTTTAAGAACACTATTAAAGAAAGAATCCGGAGCGCTATGAAATGCGTCCGGTCTATCGGGTATACTCGGGTGAAGTGCGATCTACATAATTGAACGAATTAATTATGCTAATTAATTAGGACAATCAGTAAATCGTACATTGTTTCATTCTCTCAAAATGGCGTAACTATACTTGATAAAGAATAACCAAAGAAAAATAATATAGAAGGGGCATTTTAACATATGAATTATGATCTATTATAAATTTTAATTAGAACTGATTATCGGTAAAAAATAATTAATAATTAATTAAAAAAGGCGTAAGCAATACATAGTTATGTGGGTTGTTCGAGAGTTGGTGACGCAAATTAACTGTAGAGTTTACACTAAATTGAGAGAATAATCTTGTTTGGTATAAACAGGAATCGGGTCTAGTTTACGTTCATTCTGGTGAAGTCATTCAGTTTGTTAATACCATTGGGGCGGAATGACTTCAATCTGTGCATCCAGAACTTTTCTTTGCTTTTGTAGGTCCGTTTATATATATATATATATATATATATATATATATATATATATATATATATATATATATATATATATATATATATATATATATATATATATATATAAAAGGTTTCAACAATCTGATTAAAATCAGCGGTAGCGTATCTATTTAGATTGAGGTTTCAAATGTTTTTTTTTATTTCTGCGACAGCGGTCTTGTTTATGTTGTTATTAGTACAATGTATTAGCATACTGAGTAACATGTAATGAAAAAAATAAGAAGTTTCGTTGCTTTTTGTATCTATTGATTTCCACGACACTCCAATTTCAAATCATATTGGCATCTATCATTTTAAAGGTTTACCCCAGAAAATAAAGAGAGTCGTCATCCTTACACTTTTCTGCCGTTTGGACATGGTCCTAGGAACTGTATAGGACAACGTTTAGCGGGCATGGAGGTTAAATGTAGCATTACATATAATACTTCAACACTACCGGTTTACTAAATGTAGCGAAACGGAGGTAAATTTTACTTTTAAATACAATTGATTATGGCGAATGCGCATTCACAAGTCTAATCGTGGCATATCTAGATAAACGATTTATTTCTGCCACGGACACATGCCATGGTAGGTAGTGTTTTATTTCACTAATATAAATTTAAATTCCTACAGTGTTAACAAATAAATGAACTCTAAGTCGATATATTTTTTTTTTACAGATTCCCCTCCAGCTGAGAAAAAATGGCTTACTGAAACCGGCTAATGACGTTCAACTTAAACTGGAAAAAAGAAAAGTGACACATTTAAATAGTGAAACGTAATAATATTTTCGTAATATGTACATGTATACTTGTGTTCTGTACTTTATAATATAACATTTTGCATCTTGTGTAGACAGTTTCTCCTAAGAAAATTATTTGAAGAGTTTTAGCAAATATTTTCCGGTAGGTTAAGGAAATGACATTCATACAGAAGAAAATTGTAGTGAATTTTGTAGATATTTTTATTAGTATATTGTAGCTAAAGAAATTTATCTAGTTAATTGATGTGCTCTATTTAACCTTCATTCATCAAGATACACAGATGACAAATCAAACGTTGTTTTCTACTGGACACGTAAAACGGTCTTCTTGCATTATATCCATTGGGAAAGCATGTTCTACGAATGAACAATATATCAAACGAGATAAATTATTGACAAACAAATTGATGAAACAAGAATATTAGCAGTCTCTTATAAAGTCTTCATTATGTAATTTCTGTGGTCGATACTATGGCCTTGTCAGCAAATACGAGTTAAATGCTGACTGATGTTTTTCAAACTAATTGTTGGTCAATTATTTATACACTGAATTGTCGACGAATTTTCCCATTATTTCCCGATCATGACAAGGAGCACACGGCGGGTGTGACCGGTCTGCAGGAGATGCTCACTCCTTCTTGACATATGATCCCACCTCTGATGTGGAGGTCCGTGTTTGCTTTGCCCCTATTTTGTATTGTTTTAAGGACTTTTGATCTTGATTACTGTTCGTTATCTCCATATGTCTCATGTAAATATTTCTATTTTGTATGTACATGTATTATGCTTTGCGTAATTAGTTCTATTAGAAGATGAATTTCATTATGTAGATCTATTACTCGTATAAAATGAATTTGATTATATAGTTTCTCCGTCCATGAAATTCAGGGTACGTGTTGTAGCAAATATTTTTTTTTACATTGTCAGAAGAGTAAAGCGAAGTCATTCATAAAATGTATATAATTAATAACCCGGTACTAGCTAAATAAAGTGCAAATGGAATAGTTTTGTTGTAACTTGTATGTTAACTATAACATTAAATTAATACCTACTTTGGTTTCCTTGTGGCAAGAACTGGACAATGTTTTCTATAAAAACTTTTAAAAGTCTATGTTCATAACGGATAACGATCCTAACATCTGATAATCTAAGAGTATTCTCTTCTAATCTTAACTCAAAAATGCTTGAATAAGAAACTATATAATTTAATAATATTTTTTATACGTTATATAAGGTTTTACTGGACAATTATGATATTTTAATTTCATTAAATTTAATATTTTAATTTAAATTTTTTTCTGAACTTCAACACATTAACAATACTCAATGCGCTTAGCTGATTTTAATCATTATTCAAAATGATTTTCTTGTGTTTTCCACTTCATAAGAATTTATTTTTTATCTTTCCAAGTTAAGAATAAGTGCACATAAGTTGTACGTAGAAACAGGTAGATATTGTAACTTGATTACTGTTCGTTTTCTCCATATGTCTCATGTAAATATTTCTATATTATATGTATTATGCTTTGTGTAATTATTTCTGTTAGAAGATGAATTTCATTATGTCATTTAGAGAAAATAGATTTTGTTTCCATTGTAAAACTCTTGTTGAAGATGAAAAACGCTTTTTACTTGATTGTCCTGTGTATAAAAATGTCAGGAAAAAGTATTCAAGGTTACTAGATGTTAATAACTTATCTTGTTTGCTTAATCCACATAACTTTGTATCTACGAAACAAATCTGTCTATATATCAGAGACTGTTTTGATATTAGAAACAAGCTTACAATAGTATAATATCTTGCAATACATGTATATGGCTAACAACACATTCCTGTATATAAATATATGCTTTAGTGCCAATAAAGAATTGAATTGAATTGAATTTCCATTTCGCACTATTTTATTTCCGTTTGTGTCTATTTAATTTCCATTTGGTGTGCATTTGGGACCATTTAAATTCCATTTGGGTCCATTTGAGTAAATCGATGTATGTATAATGTAATTATTTACAATTCATGGGATTTTTGTGATGTGCAGTGACTGTCAGATCAATGTAAATTCGGTCGCACTTTCAACACTTGTAATTTATGTAAATGTCAATATCTAGTACTGCGAACCTTTACGACTACGAGTCTTACCTTTGCTTATGCAATATTCGTCATCTATTGAAATAACTCCGTTTTCATCAAATAAAAAGGTAAATTTGCAAGACCTTGGGAAGCTGTTTACCTAATATTGTACTCAGAGATGGACGCTCTGGGCTTACTGGGCATCAGGGGATGGATTATACTTATGATTGGGTTACTGACCGTATTATACATGTAAGTAAATCATTTGTTTATTTCGAAAAAAAAAATCGATTATGCACTGTCGCTATTTCCTCTGGTAGATCACCGGAGGATGGATTTTAATTTTAACTGGGTCTATTGATCGTATTATACATGCATTCAATAACTCAGAAAAAATAGATAACACGATCAATATGTACTGGTCCTTGTTGACAAAACAAGTTATAACAACATTGTCTTTGTAAGGCTCATTATTTAAATGGAATTTTAGAAGACAAGGATTGAATTTTACAAGTGGTAATCAAACTTATACCAATATCTTCCTTTTTAAGAATTTTTTTTTCAAAATCATATTTTTTAATAGGGATTACTGTAAACGTATTACATTTGGTGATGTATTCTATTTAGCGCTTTTGGCGGAAAGATACTTCCGCTAATTCAAGAACTTCGCTAAATGTCTTAAACATTGATACGTGAATAAGAACATCAAGAAATGCGCTAAATCAAAACTACGCTAACTTGTTTAAAAATCATTTTCCGCTAAATATTGTACCCGCTAAATATAAACGTGACGACTTTAACTTTTCTATCGTCAACTTCATTACTTATGCAGCAATGTACCTTCATGCCTGCATACGGAGTGTATTTATCTCAGTTGATTCGATACGCAAGAGCATGCTCTTCGTATGAACAATTTCTAAGAGGAGGTAAATTATTGACAAACAAGTTGATAAAACAAGAATATCAGCAGTCTCGTTTAAAGTCATCATTTCGTAAGTTCTTTGGTCGATACAATGACCTTGTCGGCAAATACAATTTATCGTTGAGTCAAATGCTGACTGACATTTTTCATACGAATTGCTAGTTCATTATTTATAAAGTGAATTGACCACGGATTTTCCCGTTATTTCACGATCATGATAATGAGCACACGGCGGGTGTGACCGGTAAGCAGGGGATGCTCACTCATCCATGGCACCTGATCCCACCTCTGATGTTTCGGAGGTCCTTGTTTGCTTTGCTCTTATTTTGCATGGTTTTATGGACTTTGAGATTGAATACTGTTTGTTATCTCCATATCCTTCTCATAATACATTGTAAGTTCTGCAAGTGGTAATTAAAACTTTAACCCATAGCTCCCTTTCTAAGGAGGAAATTCTTTAAAATCATATGTTTTGATACACCCAACAACCTAATTGAAATAGAATTACCATATTTGTTTTGGATTCCGAAACGTCATAAAATTCCCTACAAAAATATACATAGCGGGTTCCAGTATATGCTCTACCTATCCCGTTTCTTTATTTCTCCATAAACTAAAATATATAGTTAACAGTACTAAAGGAGAAACTTCAGGAGTACTAGCACTGTGTAAAAATACATAAGGAAACTAAGATATGGACACTTAAGAATTTATCTCTTGATTGCCTCGATGCACAAGAGCATGCTCTGCTTACACTGTATGAACAATTCGTTAAACGAGATGAGTAATCGACAAACAAGTTGATGAAACAAGAATATCAGCAGTCTTGTTGAAAGTCATCATTTTGTAAGTTTTATGGTCGATACCATGATTTTGTCAGCTGAGACAATTTATTAAGTGAAATGCTGATTAACCTTTTCCATTACTGAATTGGCCGATGGATCTTTTCGTTATTTCCCCATTAGCAGCACACATCAGGTGTGACTGGCCGACAGGGAATGCTCACTCCACCATGGCATCTGATCCGCTCTGAATAGACTTTTGAGGTTGAATACTTTTCATTAACTCCATATATTCTGTGCAAGTATTTCTATTTCTTATTCTCAAATAAGTCTATTTGTCATGCATTGTCATAATATCTTTTATCGGTACCTCTCGAAGATAGAGTATTATATAGAAATGAAATGATTTTACATTATATATTAAAATATTTATTTTTACAGATATGTGAAACGGAAATTTGGTTTATGGCGTCGCCTGGGAGTTCCTGGACCTGATTTTGTTCCATATGTAGGCCAGATGATACAGCTAAATAAAAAGGTCTGATAAAATACTTTTTTTCCCATAAATTGCATTTTTTAAAAAGAAGAAAAAATCCATCGCATTCTCTGTAAATTATTTATCTTTATTTGAAACCATTGCATATAATACCAATTTATAAAAACACTAAACTTTGCAATGTACTTTAGACAAAAAATTGCAGTAAACTAAAGGTCGAGCTTTGTTCTAAACTAATGACGAAATGAAATTCTTTGACATCATAGTCGCAGATGATGAACTTTTGCGGTGGCCTTAATTTTCACATTTTGATATATATCGCCGGCATTAGGAGTAAACTTATCTATACTTTTTTACTTATAATATACATTTCTGATTGTAATTAACTTCAGTGATATTTTGTAACAAATGGATATTATGGTTCAAATATGCGCTGTTAGAACGATATGTCGATATTAATATTTTTAACAGGGCTTTCATGGGTTGGATGTCGAATTGGTTCAAAAATATGGAAGGCTTGTCGGGTGAGTCTCGCCCTATATTTACTTGAATAATAATATATCTGTTTTACATTTATTATCTTATGAAAACAGAACTGATTTAATTTTTCACAAATAAAGTAATGGAGCTCCTAAAATGTCTTCTTCTCTAACTTTGCAGGTTGTATTTCGGGAGTCAGCCTTCCATCATGATATCGGATCCAGATCTTATTAAGACCATCATGGTGAAGGATTTCTCCAAAGCTCCCAATAGATTTGTATGTAATATTTTATATTTAGACAAAGTTAATTTAGTTGTTTAAAAACATGAACTTGTTAAAATTTTCGGGGATTTAATTTTCTATGAAGTACTGCATCAGGAAAGAAAGAAATGTAATATTAATTATAAGATGAATACTAGTAGTATTGATGAATTCATATAAGGAATACTTTCTAATGACATATTTTATAGGCCTTGGTAGAACAGCGAGGCGAGATGAAGCATTCTTTAACAGAAGTTGTAGATGATCATTGGCGATTTATGAGAAACACCATACTGCCAACTTTCTCCAGTGGCAAGCTCAGAAAGGTGAAATTTTGTTGTAAAAAAACCAAATAAACTGTTCCATTAATATTTCAAAGTTTAATAGTTTCCTCTCTCTTTAATAGCAAAAGACGTTAATGTTATTCTAACAACAAATCTTTATGATAAACGTGATGACTTTCTTTTCAATCGTCAACTTTCCTTACTTATGCAGCAATATACCCTTACCCCATATATATGGTGTTTATATCTTTCAACTGATTCGATACACAAGAACAAAGTGATTGTATCTTTAAGTACGAACGATTTCTAAATCGAGTTGTTGTTGACAAAACAAGTTGATACAAGAAGAAAATCAACAGTCTTGTTTTAAGTCATCTGTCAAGTTTTATGGTCGATACAATGACCTGCACACGGCGGGTGTGACCTGTCAGCAGGGGATGCTAATTCCCCCATGGCACCTTATCCCACCAATGAAGTTTTGGAGTTTTTGTTGTGCTCCTTGTTAGTATTGTTTTAATGAACTGTTGTGCGTGAATATGGTTCATTATCTCCATATATTTCATGTAATAATTTTTGTGATGTTGTGTGATGTACTAGAAGAGATAAAAAAATGTCGATTCACAAAAAGAAAGACCATAAAAGAAATTAAGCTTAGATCTAGTGATTTAAGCACGCCACTTCTGTTTCATGACACACATGTAACTGTTCTGTCAATGCACAACACGCGGTCCATGCGATCACATGACATGTTCATATATCTATTTGTTCATACACCTATATATTTTATTTTATCTTTTTTCTTTTCTTTAAGATGGGAATTCTTTTGAAAGAGAAATATAAAATGTTACTGGAAGGATTAACTAAGAAAGCAGAGAAAGGAAGCGTCATTGAATTTAAACAGTATGTACATATCTTTACTTGTTACGATATATCTGACTTCTTTTTTCAAAGATTCCATATATTGTTTTATATTCTTTTAGGGTATTTGGAAGTTATACAATGGACGTCATTGCCTCGCTAGGCTTTGGTATGGAGATCGATTCCCAGACAAACCCAGACAATAAATTTGTAAAATACGCTAAAGAACTGTTTGAAGTCAACATCTCTCTTTTAATAATCCTTGCGGGTATGGACACCAACAATCTCATTTTGCTCACTTTTTCTAATTTTTTTAAATTCTCTATTTATTTTCAAATCATTTATTGCAGTTCTTATACGGCCATTCGATAAACTTTTGGATTACTTTAATATGTCACCCCTGAATAATCGCAGAAGAATGGATTTCTTCAAGTCTGCAGTACACCGGGCGATAGACATGCGTGATGACACGGACAAAGTTCGTCTAACGGAATAACAAATTATTTTTATTGATTTTTCCTTATTTGAAAACCTCTTTTATAAATACATGAATTATGTTTAAATAATTACTTATAATTCCCAGGTAAGAAGTAAATACATGTACATGTACATATCAAAATCTTCGCTTTATTCTTCACATTTAATAAATGAGACATTGCATTACACAGGACAGAAAAGACATGCTACAACTTATGTTGAATGCTCATAGACTCACCGATAAAAATGAGATAGAGGACACACACACTTATGAAAATCCCGAGGAATGGAAAAAGAGAGGTAGGATCCTATAGGTTATGTTTGATGCTAAATTCAGACCTTTTGTCCTGATGTTGGTATCCAGTTGTAGCAATTGTTGTTTTTTTTTAATAGTTAAAATAGAATATGCATCACACTCTAGAAGACAGAAGTTCTTAGTTTTCCGATGTGTAATCTATATAAAAACGTGTTAAAGTAAAATTTAGGATATAAGATGTCCTACGGGTTGCAAATTGATATGGTTTTAATTCAAAGGGTTTTGCGTTTTCTATAGTTAAGTTAAAAATGGCATGACCCTAGTTAGTTAAAAATATACATCATATTTATAGGTTTAACTGTGGAAGAGATAACTGGAAATTCTATTCTTTTTCTACTGGCTGGCTATGACACAACAGCAAGCACTATGACTTTCATGGCGTATAACCTGGCGACAAACCCAGAATGTCAAGATAAATTGATTCGGGAAATTGACACAGTCCTTGAACAAGTTAGTTTCAAAGTATTTGATTAAATCGAAGAGGTTCGAGAAAAATTGAGTTTCGAGAGTTCCGATTAAATCAACTCACTTTAATATTGTTGACTTTTGTACATAACTTTAGAATTATTCCTCCGGTAATGTAATATTATCATATACAAAAATAAACTTTCAGGAGCTGCCGACGTACGACAACATACAGAAGCTCGGGTACCTGGACATGGTGTTTAACGAGACATTACGTCTGTACCCACCGGCTACAAGGTGAATGTATAGATTTATATCTACTATACGTGTTTATTGTATATCCAAATAAAATGAGACAAAAATAGACCAGTCAAACAAAATGCATAATCTTTTGTGTAATGTATTACACATACATTAATTGTTATTGATCAAGAATAATTTACTTGTTCTTTTCCAGGACAAACAGAAACAATTCTGAAGAAATTGAGGTGGATGGTATAAAGATTCCACCCAATACTGAAATAATATTTCCTATTTTTGCGATACATAGAAATCCTAAGTATTGGCCAGAACCAGAGAAATTTGATCCTGAACGGTATGTCATAGTAATTTAATTACAAATGTATGTGGCAAAATGTAGTAAAAAGGATTACTTTATGGTTAAGGCGTGTATTAAACGATACTGAGTGAGATAATATTATGCTCCTGTTTGATTATTACATTATTAGACTGAACAAAATGTAAACAACATATGTAGTCGTATTTTGGCTGACGTGTTTCATACCAATAATTAGGTTTTTCTTTTAAAACTAAACCTGACTTCGGAATGTTTTGTCTATCTAATCAGTGGACAAACCCAAATCGGTTGTGACTGTCAATAGGAATGCTTACCCTTCTTACGCACCTGATCCCACCTCTGGAGGTTTTAGGGATCCAATATTAGGCCCTGCGCATAGATGTATTGTGACAAAATGTAGTAGATTTCTTGAGATATATAAGTTTTTAGTATGTTCACCTTTTTCATTTCTTACACTTACTGGTGTAAAAATACAAAGTACAGTAAAACTTGTTTAGTACGAACACGGATATTGCGAATTCACGGATATAGCAAAGTCATCTTGGATCCTCACCTATATAAATTTACTCAATTACTTATACGGTTATAACGAATTACAGATACAGCGAAGTAATTTCATAGGTCCCAGCGACTTCGTTATAACCGAGTTTTGCTGTATATTTTACAATTAAAAACAGTTTCATTAATTAAGCTAGAGGATTTCAACTATTGGAAACACAACTTGAAATCAAAGGATGGCAATGCAAGAAAGAGAAATCAAAAAAGAATCTTAATTTTTTTTTTAATTTACTAATGGTATACTAGTAGTCTTGATGCAAATTTAAATTTCCATGCAATATAGTACTAGTGATCCTGTAACTTCTGAGAATATTCGGTCAACATGAGTGGTGGGTTTGGCTATATTCGAAGAAACAGATCTTTTAAAATGCTAGTAATACTAAATTCCTTTTTATGCTTTGTAAAAGATTTATTTGACTGTAATTTTGTGTCCGCTTTGAACTCACCTGAGCTGAAAGCCAAAGAGAACTTTTTTGATCATTCCCTCGTCTGAATGCCTCACTGTCCTCCATCCTTATACTTGTCTAATTTTCAACTTTTTCTCAAGAATCAAAGTCAGTATAAAGTACCCCTTGGGTAAAGGGAAGTTAAAATTTTAAAATGAAAGGCCGAGTTCCATTCCAAGGGAGGATAATCAAAAAAAGACAATAGGAAAACAAAGTATTACACTGGGGATAAAGTAAACGTTCAGTTGGTTTGTTTTTTGTAACCTACCGATATCTATGGAACAAGAAGTGAAATTTTCGATTTTTTTCCTAAGGTTTTCCCCAGAAAATAGAGAGCTGTCATCCTTACACATTTTTACCGTTTGGTCCATTTTTGGGGCTATTTTTTTTTTAATATTTTGTTAGTATTATCATTATGAGTAACGTGATGAAAGAAAAAATGAAAAAAAAAGTTTCGTTGTTGCTTTTTGTATCTACTGATTTCCACGACACCCCAATTCAAATAAAATTGGCAACTTTCACTTTAAAGGTTTACCCCAGAAAATAAAGAGACTCGTCATCCTTACACATTTTTGCCGTTTGGTCATGGACCCAGGAACTGCATAGGACAGCGATTAGCGGGCATGGAGGCTAAATGTGGCATTGCATACATACTTCAGCACTACCGGTTCACGAACTGTAGCGAGACGGAGGTAAGGTTTACACTCCAAATTACTATAGGGACCAAAATCTGAGTTGAAAGTCTACAGCTATCGGTTTTTTTTTGAATATTTATATTCTTTATTAGTTAGACCCTTTCTTGTGTTTTATCGATAGAATTGTGATGAGACGGGGGGAGGGTATACAGTGATGGCTGTCCCTTACGCTGTGGGGTACTCATCTCTTATCCGCAACTCCTCTTAGATCAATGAATGAAATTTAATGATACTTTCACGGAATATTTATTACATTGTGACATCCTATTTCACTGGTTGATCAGATAAATATATCGGTATTCCCATAGCACTGCCACTGACACTGCCATTTTTTCTATAGTATATTGAGGGGTACCCATCTCTTATCCATACTCTTTCCACATGTGTATCATTGCATAAAATTCAATGATACTTTCACGAACTCTTTATTACATACATGTTGTTGCATTGTGCACCTCCTATTTTACTTTTTGATCTGACGCTTATTCGGGTCTCATCTAGCAAAACATGGACGTGTATCATTTAGTTTAGAGAGTATCTTTATAAGAATGTTTATATCAATAATTGTTAAACTGAAAAATAAAACAAAAGATTTAGGTGATAAATGAGCCTTTAATATATATTTTAAACAGATTCCACTTCAACTGAGCAAAGAAGCCTTAATGAAACCAGCTAATGGGGTTAAACTTAAACTGGAAAGAAGAACACCGACGCATTTGAACAACGAATCATAAGAATATGTTAAATTTTGTGTTAGGTACTATTAAACATTGAGAAATTCATTGTTAACTTAAATGAGTTTGTCTGATACATTGTTTAAGTTATCTTTGAATAAAGATAATTCAGTAAGTATGTCCAAGAAGTTTAAGTAGAATACACTTCAAAAGAGGAACCACTCACTTAAAAAAACAAGAAGTTCTTGTCAACATATCATTCTGGACGTACCAGTGCTTGAATTGTAAACAAATTTTGCATTTTTTAAAATTGAAATTGATATTTGTACAGCTTTCACTGGGTGAAAAGTCCAGTTTCCGCAAAACTGAAACTATATGGAAACCTTGCTGAAACTTGGCGTTGAAGTTTCCTGTGTGGTTTCCGCAATGCGGAAACTATATAATAGTTTCAGCAAGTTTCTGTAGGGTTTCCGTATGCTGAAACTATTAGGTTTGTTTCCAAATAGTTTCCGCAAAACGGAAACCAATGTAAAATTTAATGAAATGTCAATTTAACGATACTTTTTAGTTTCAGTAGGTTTCAGTTTCCGGAAACTATTGAATTCGATTCCATATGGTTTCCGCATGCTGAAACCGAACTGAAACTTTTTCTTTTCTCTTTTTTTCAAATAGGTAAAAAAAATCAACTCAAATTATTGTTTTACTATTGATTTCGATTCCATATGGTTTCCGCATGCTGAAACCGAACTGAAACTTTTTCTATTATTTTTTTTTTAAGGGTAGAAAAATCAACTCATATTATGTTTTTACTAAGATTGATTTCGATTCTGTATGGTTTTCGCATGCTGAAACCGAACTGAATCGAAACTGTTTATAATTATTTTTTTCAAAAGGGTAGAAAAATCAACTCATATCATATTTTTATTTACTTATACATTTTAAAAAAATGGTTTTATTTTTAAATATCTACTAGTTCATATTCAGATCTTGAGATGTGCTCTGTGTAAACTTACACATACCGATATTGATATCAATGATAAGCACTTTATACAAGATCCTTGCTTCATATTAATTTATTTCATATTGTGCTGGAATTAAAAAAATATCATTTTTAAACAAAATCGATTCCTCTCACCAGGATATTCTACATTACCCAACTCGAGACTCCCTTTCGGGAATTAATTCTTTTCATAACATACATTATTTTCACAAAATATTACTTCCGAGAACAAATCAAGGGTTATATATGGAGGTTCCTCTGTCTACAATTACATTTAATGTTAATTTGTTTAAAAAAGAAAATTAGTGTGTCTTCATGGTGCATGAAATACAGATAATTACGAGAGCAAGTGCTTACATTATCTGAGATAGCAAGTTTTGCATTTATATTCCTTATACATGTATCTATATTCCTGAATGGAAAATTATCATTTCAATAATTCAATTTGTTAACAACACATACTGACTAGGAAGCCTTTTTTACTATTCAGTGTTCGACATAGATATATAGTGCAGTAGTTACTAATTGTTTTATAATTACATTGATTTAATATCTACATATATGTGTTTTTATCTCCGTTCTCATGAATACATTTTATTCGTTTAACAGGCGTTAATCTTATTCGAAAGCCGCGGGTAAATATTGCAAGAAAACGTCCTGAACATTTGATATCATGGTTCTTAAGATCTGCAGCATATTATGTCAATCTAATTAAAATTAAATCGTCTCATTTGTTACCCAAATGCTTATTCGCACGAGAAAGACTTACTAATGTAAAAAGTCCGTTTTGTGAAAAATTACCCTGGGAGCGAATGGAAAATCTCATTTTAATTAGATTGCATATAATGTGTAGGCTTTTTTATTTATTTATTTATTTTTTCAAATATCTTGCTTTCATGATGTTAATTAATGCAATATTACTGAAAACGCGGTACCTATACTTTTTAGTAATATGTTCAATTATATTCGTATTGAGATGTATAATGTGCTAAATTTGTGATTTGGAACCCCCCCCCCCCTTTTTGTTTAAATAAAAGTAGTATGTAAGTTGATCAAATTTTCAATCCTTTTCTTTGAACCTCACTCGCGGGCACCTGTCCTCAAGTGCCACAGGTGGGGAGACACGTGTCGCGAAGACACCTGCTACCGTGTTGGTGTATTTTTTGTATATTCTATGTGGATTGAGAGGTTTTTCTACCTTAGAGGAACAATGGGCTGTGACCAGGCGTAATATATACATGCAGTACATGGTATACACAGTAAAGTCACTAGTAGTGCCCCAAGGTGTCTTAACATTCAAATTTTAAAAATTAAAAAAAAAATCCCACACAACTTTATATATAAAACTTCACCTAAAATCAAACAAATAAGATTGTTTTATAAAATATTTTATATAAAATGTTCCATATAAGCTATTAAGTTTATTATATGTTGGTGATTAAAAGAAAAAAAAAAAGGAAAAACCTCTCAGATATTTATCTATAGATCAATCTAATAAATAATAAAACTAATCTACAGATAAGAACACTGAAAGAAAAACCTAGTGAATTTAACTAGTATGCCTCGTAAAGCGTTTGTCGTGATTAGTAATCTTTCTGTTTACTGGCTAAGATAGTGAGAAGTGGAGCATGGGTCGTATAGATACTTAGATACCTAGTGAAAGTTACTTATCAAATTCTAGATTTACTAATCTTCTCTAGTAAATCTACCCAATACCTAATAAAACTACTTTCAAGGTAGTGATTGTATGGACAGTTAATTTACTAGTCTTCTTAGTGACTTTAACTAGTTAGTTTTTGTCAGTGAAGAATATTTGCTAGTTGCTTGCAATAGACTATTTCAAAAATTTCAATATTATTTTACAATTTCTCCACAAAGGAATCGGCAATCACAAAAAATCGACAATTAAATGGTATTCCTTGTTTGCCACCATTGTAAACTTCAAATATTGAAAATATTTAGAGATCGATGACACGCAACCTAATGAAAACAAAGTCTATGAATTTTATTTCATAACTTTTTTCTGTAGGCTATTTCTAAGTACAAAATAAAACCACGTTCTATTTTTAATTTATAGTCCAAAACAGAAAAGTGTGAGGTTATTACAATAATAAGGAAAAGATAAAAAAAAAAAAATAAATACATTTAGTAAACAACAATATACATGACATGTGTAAAGGACTATGACTACTATTACATGATATCATTATTAATTTGCCCGCAAAATTAAGAGTTTCCGTATCTTCTGTATTGAGTAACAACCAATAATTTTTTGTTCATCATCTAATGCTGAGAAGTAGCGCTATTTACTATTTATGGAATGAATTTTTTTTTCTTTGATGATCATCTTTTTTACATGACAGTGTTATAAAAAATGAATTTTGATTATCATTTATACTGTTGGAATTACATCTACATAATCGATCTTCTCGAGAAATATTGGTAAATCTGGCCACTTCAATTTTTAACCTGTGACAGGAAATCTTAGTTAACATATAGACTTAATTGTACATGTAGATATTTTCTGGGATGGAAATTTTTAACAATTGATTAATATTTCTTATAACCCCAATTTTGCTTTTGAGTTTCACAAAGGTATAAAAAGCAATACCAGAGAGAGAGAGAGAGACTCATACAACACATTCTAATATAGTTAACTTTGTAATTTTTTTCTTCGTTTTATTTAAGTTACGAAGGTCAAAATTAAACATTATATAATTCACTATATAACAATGATTATATATAAACTTACATGTACTTTGTTAATTTATCTATTCTATTTTAGGACACAAATAAAAATGTATCCCGTAGAATAAGATTTAAAAAAAAACATACATTTGCAGACTTGTGATAAAGTTTTAACCAGCTATAATTCGTATCGCTTACTAGAAGGGGTGGGGGGTTAAAATCGCTCTTGTATGTGGATAATATGCCATCAGCATAACTTTGTTGACTTGTATACTTTTTTTACACAATAATCTAAGTACATGTGTATATGATTTTCAATCTATTTGTAAAAATCTGGACAGTCCGTTTCAACAATTACCATAACCATACGGTTTTATACCCAACTTCGATTCCATGATCAGTTTTATTTTAGCATTTAAAACTGTTCATTCTGTTGTCATAAATGCAAGGACGTCTGCAATTAAAACGTAAAAAAAATATTCCTCAAACATGAAAGAGAAATGCAAAAACTAAGGTGAATTTTCCGTAGAGACTGACATTCAATCACTAGGTGGCGTATCGCGATAGAATGCTTCTCTCTCATTGGTTAGATTTTTAGTAGAAGAAAGAGGGACAAAATGGCGAAGAAAACACCAAGAACTTGCTCAAGAAAAACAACAGAGATGAGAAGATCTTTTGACTCTACACAGAAGAAAGGCACCTCAAACGACAGATTAGATACAGGTAGTTATTTCTTACAGTTCAGAGTACCTTTATTTTTGTTTTTATTGTCTGCAATCGTAAGAATAAAGTTGGGTCAAAACGGCGCGTTCCAAAAATTCAAATTGGCCATTGTACAGTTATAATTTTTTTGAAAAAGCGCCTTGTAAATCATTCTCAGCTTAGGTTGTAATACGTATAATTAATTGCTGTTAAAACGGCCGCATGCATTTTGTACCATTGTATTTATCTTGCATGTTTTCGTATGATTATTAGAATATGTTTTTTTGCATCGTCCCGATCATGTTAAAAAAAAGATGCAACGTGTTGTAGTATTCCGGAATTTTAAATGTAGGTTGGTTTTAGAGGATAATATCGTTATGAACTTGTATCCGGTGTTTACTTTTTCGGAAAATCGAAAGATTTGCCCATGCCCCCACGCTTATGTTCTTTCAGAAAAGGTGAGGTTTGTTGTTCATTATAACTGCTGGATGTGTTCATTGTTATTCGCAGAAGTAGTTTCTTGAATCCTACATTTATTTTTTGCTGAATTGTTTTTATTATTGATGAAAGACTGTGCTGCACAGCCGAGGAAGGGGTTGAATATATTTTTAACATACATGCAGTCTAGAATCGTAAATTTTATATTAGACATGTTAGAGGGCATCATGTTGGGAGAATGCCATTGTGTAGTATTGTATCACTGTAAAATGCCAATTTGTACATGTTGTATAGTCATGAAAGTAAAATTCCTGAGAACTTGCAGATTTTGGGATATAAAAGTAACTTGATAATTTTCAGAATGCCTCACATTATTCAAGTTGAAGTATTTTATTAAGTTTCGTACCATACATTATGATTTTGAAACATTGTCGAACGTGAACAAAATAGTTATACACAAAGATACATAAACATCTTTTCTTACAAGGCATAATTATGATTAATTAAACGTAAAATGTTAAAATGATATATATTTTAAATTAATAGATCAATTGTAATTTCATGCTGACACATGTGCATGTTTTGATCTATACGAAACAATTAAAACTATTTTAGCAACCTAAAACTTGATTTACCGGTAGTGTGCATGGTGTAATTGTTCTTTAGAAATACCATGTTTTTATTGTACCTTGTGTATTAAATGTCGTGCAGTTTCTAAATACATCAGAAATCACAACTATAAAAATGATTCTCTTGATATGAACAGAACAGTATTTACCTGTATATGAAGTGTGTATTATTATAGACTGGAGCTTGATGAAATGGGCAATTGGCCATTTTCAATTTCTTAAATTACATGTATTGATTCATTATACAGACATATACTTGTATTTATGTTACCCTTTAGAGAACTTTTTATTGATGTGGACACATCACCAACACAGTCTCATCCGAGGGACCAGTCTCTTTGTACTACATTGGATTCAGACCCGTGATGTAGGAATCAGCTCTTACTCCCTAACTCTAGGCATGTCGCTCTAACCACTGGCAATGTGACCCATTATGAAAATTTGACATACCGGTAATACTTTTATGATCTCTAAATTTTATTGACTTGATAAAATGACTGATACACAAATAAGATTTTTGTAATCTCTCTGTTTATAGCTGTTTACCATTTGCCATATTTCTATCACTAATTGAACCAGTTTTCAACAAAGGCCACTGAAGAGTCCTAGTTCTGTCTTATTATACAAATGATCTTCCCTTGATGTAAAATAGAATATTAAATGAAATAAATTATCAAATGAATTATAATTTTGAATCGGAGAAGGCCTACATTTCTTAAACAAACATAATTTAGATGTAGTCTTGCTTTTATGGAAAATTATAACTTATTTAATTTTTCTCACTCTCAGATATACTTGCATTTCAAGATCTTGTAAATTGAGGTTGTGATAGCCTGATAGGACTTCCACTTAGAATTAGACCAGAGTGTGACTAGCTGACTGTGTCCATTTTAAAATGATACAATTTCCAATCATTTTTTTTCTTTGTCATGTGTCCATTAGAATTTTCACTGCATGTCAGGTGCAAGGAAATGGACATGCAAGTGGTTTTTGGGACTTTTCTGAGCTCATGCTGAAAACAAAAAAGTTATTACTGTACGGTACTGTACTAAATCGATCTATTTTAATTTCAGATATCCATGGAACAAATCATCTGAAAACTAAGAGAGGATGAAGAATACTTCTGTTAAAAAGTATGTTTTAGTAGTAAGAACTTATGTATCTCTATTTTAGGAAATTAAGGACTAAAGCACAAAGTTTATGTTTTTATTTTCTATTGTTTTCTTAATCTCACTGTATAATTTAAAGCTCTCTATTTATCATAGTCGGTGGTTGTCAGTGTGTGTTGTGGGGGGGGGGTGTAAGCTGCTTTCCTCTACTTTTTAAGCTTTATAATATATAATATCTTTATATGTTCGGCATTTCAATCAAATTAACAGATGTTAACATTTTCTTAGAAAGTCTCATTTTGCGAGCTACCTACTAAAATTCTATGATTTATTTAAAATAAGTATTTATAAACAGGCCTATTTTTAGGGCACCTAAGTAAACTCAGGTGACCTATTACTATCTGTTTCTGTCTGTCGTGTGTTAACATTTGAACATTTTCAGCTTTTTACTTGCAACCGCTCAACCAATTTCAACCAATTTTGGTACAAAGCATCTACGGGTGAAGGGAAACAAAATTTGTAAATTTTATGATCCCCCCCCCCTTCTTCTTTACTCCTGGACATCAAGCAGTCAAACTGTTGGCATGATTCTTATAAGCATTGAGTCCTTTACCAAATTATGAAATTCATGGCCCTAAGGTCAGAGGTTCTAGTACTAGGGTTGGTCCATATAGCTCTTTGGAATTAATCAACCATTTATGATGAAATAAAACTTCAGATAACATTTAGAAAATTTTGAAATGTGTGGCCTCAGGGTTAGTGGTTCCTGTGGGGTGGGGTACACAACTGGTGGTTTTAAAATGGAATTGCATTTTATCTTTATTACTCTGATCCACCTTTGGGTATTGCGTAACCAAAGTAAGCATGCTAAGTGTATAATTATGATAAACAATGGTGCGTCTTTCAAAATTGGGAATTTCATGGCTTTTTGTTTAAAACACGAACCAAATTCAATTGAGTGAAAGTTGTTACATGATATCTATTAGGTCTATGGGCCTCTAGTAGTATTCAAATAAAAAAAATATTTTGATGAACAAGTGGAATGAAAGAAAATTCCTTAATTTACTCTGAAAATCAGGAACAAATCTATACATACATATTCAGGTTCATTTAAATAAATTCAAGTTTGTTTATTTCATTATCCCTACTCAAGTGTTTAAAAGAGGCAACTTTAATAAACTAATGATATTTTACACTTGATAAATTTTTATATTTCATTTTAAATCATTCTGAAAAAAAAAATGCTTAAAATGTGAAATTAATCAAACAAAGGCTTGTACTAGAACAGCATTAGGGACTTTGTCAATCCAATTAATATTAAATGTTAGATACTGCCTAAATCTAACAACATCCTGTAGAGTGTCACGTCAGAGGTCAAATTCTATTAACCAATCAAATTATTGTATTTCATATATTGAAACGAATAAGTCTAGAGTTGTTCTGTATTTGACATCTGACGTGACCTTCTATGGAATGTTGTTAGATGTTGTGTAGCGAGTATGCAAGAGGATCTAACATGTTGTTTTATTTAGATTGGGATTTTGTTAAGCTATATTTATATATATTTTCAATAGGTTGAAGTAACTGATGAGCAGATCAATCCAACTTGAACATGATATCATTTCTCCAAGGATGAAAACAAGTCTCTCTTTACTCAAGCATTGATATTCTTAAAGTCAACTGAAACTGGAACAGGTCATACATGCAGACTACAGTGATGTGTTGCACAGTTCCGAAAACATGCAGCCACCACTAGCATAAGCATGATAAGTGCAAGTGGGTCATCAAAAAATGAGAACCACTCAAGGACTTTTCTGTTGGTTGATGATGGACTTCAAACTGAATTTTTAACAAAGGAATCCACCTTGGTGCTTATTGGCTATTTATGATGTGAACTTAGCTTGTGCATTTATTATACCAAGTAATTTTACATTTCCTTGATAATACTAGACTTGCATAAACCAAATTCAGGTTTAGTTGATTGATTGCAGTAATGCAGTTCTAAGTTCCTCTCGCAAGATTATATCTCTGATGTATGAGACATCATTAAATGCAGACATTTTCTCTGTCCTCCTGTCGTGACTTGAGGGCTCGGACTTAGCTGTAAAAATGTTTATGATGCAAGAGAAAATAAATGTTCAACCCAATGTATATAAATGTTGAAAATAACATTAAATATTCTTTGATAACTAGTGTTAGTGTGTTGTTGTTTTTTTCCAATATGAGAATTCAGGGGGAAAATGACTTTTGGTTGAAAACCAGGGCTAAATTGTGTAGTTAATACTATAGTTTCCGTTGCGGAAACCTATAGTATACACTATGTATATCAATATTGTAAACGCATGCTGAAACATTGCGTATACCTCAAGTTTCAGCAAGTTTCTGTTGCGGAAACCATTGGTAAACCATATGTATTTCAACCGTATACGCATACTGAAACCTTGCGTATACCTCAAGTTTCAGCAAGTTTCAGTTGCGGAAACCTATGGTACACCATATGTATTTCAACAGTATATGCATGCTGAAACCTTGCGTATACCGCAAGTTTCAGTTGCGGAAACTATTTGGATTCGTGGACACCTTTGGTTTCCGCACTGCGGAAACTTGATGAAACTTGAAGTTTCCGCACTGAAACTTTGCAGAAACTATTAGTAACCTTAAGTTTCCGCAGAGTTTCAGTAGAGTTTCAGCCATGCGGAAACTGTATTTTTCATCCAGTGTTTGCTTTTTCCCCCCATATATTTCTTTAAATGTTACTCGCAATTCTCTTCTCTTTGTCTATCAGTAATTATTTGTCTGATGTGTGTATTTAATTAAAAATTCACTTAAAACAGAATTCTTAAAAAACATGAAGCACGCCTTCGACCGTTTCCGTATACAATGTTCTCTTGATAACTTATTAAGTTTAAACTGTGATAAAGGTGAAGATTAAACTGTGATAAAGGTGAAGATTAAAAACGGTGTTTGACTTAAAAAAAAAACAACTCTTCAAATCATTTTAAAAAATCTTGTATATAAGGTTATGAATTATAAATACATATACATTCTTGAAAATTTAATGATGGGATTAGATTTAGATGTCTAAGTGAAAAAATCAACCCCTGTCAACTCTTTGCCATCGCATTGAGTCCTGTGCATGGATTAGCTGGTATCTGGAATATTGTATTCTGTAGTCAAGTTTATTATAATACAGTGTCCATCTGTTAATCTCATTAATTAATATGTGATCCAATGATATAATATTTGCTATAAAAGGTCATAGCGATCATAAAATTCAGAAAGCCCTATGTATTGATCAAATAAGTGTAAAACAAAGGCCTGTCGGTATGAATCCTACATGTCAGTCAAAACGACCGAGACGGTCCGGCATAAAAATAAAAATTAAAAAAATATATTTTTTAAATTGAGTAACTTGCGAAATGAATACTTTTAACTTTGCTGAAATCCCATAACCAGATCGCTTAAACATAGAGTGGTTCACTATCAAAATTCTTCTCCAATAAAGATTTTTAATGTGTTTTGTAAACCTAACTTAAAACTGCACTTGTTCTCAAATCAGGAATTCCTGTAGTAAAAATAAATATTCTAAAAGCCACCACAAGTAAATACTCTAAGTAGAGTGGCCCTGAATTATGTCTTCCTTGTCTCTAAGGAAAGACAATTGAGTAAGTAAACAGGCCAAAGTAGATATACACTTCAACAGAGGAGTCATTAAATCAAAAATTAAAGAGGCTCTTATCTCCTCGTAGTTTTATATTTAATTGGTCAATGGAAAAATATCTATACTAAATATTTTTGATAAACAGACAGCAGAATTGAATTTAATTTAAACTTCTACACAACCAACTGAAATATAATTATCATGTTCGCAAATAGAATAAAGAGGTGGGAATAAATTGTACAACTTGCGGACAAGTAAAATATATTAAACAATTAATTTTTGAATGTATAGACTAACGGAGTGCAATAGGTGCCTATGGGAATGCCAAATGGCAACAGATTGTTGGAAGACTTGGTCTCCAAATACCACATAGATATTGTCAATCAGAAACTCTAGCGTCTTTTTATGTCAACTTCAGAGTAACTGCATGTGTGTGCAATCAGAATAAGTTTTAAGAAAATAATTTTGCAAATGACCATTGACCAGTTAAGTAAATTTACGAGTTCAAATTTTATTGAAAAAGCAGTTGTCAATGAAATCAAAATGACTGTTTATTTTAATTTATCGTGGGGTAAAATATATTAAACAATTAATTTTTGAATGTACAGACTCAAAAAGAGTATGGGGAAAATATCTCAAGTATCGAAATTGAATAAATGAAACATATGGAGATAACGAACAGTATTCAAGATCAAAAGTCCATAAAACAATACAAACCAGGAGCAGAGCAAACGTAGACCTCCAAAACATCAGAGGTAGGAACAGGTGCCTTGGAGGAGTGAGCATCCCCTGCCAACCGGTCACATCCGCCGTGAGCTCCTTGTCTTGATCGGGAAATAACGGAAAAATCCGTCATCAATTAAGGTATAAATAAAAGACTAAGAATAAGTATGAAAAAACATCAGTCAGCATTTGACTTGAAATGATAAATTGTATTTGCTGACACGGTCATTGTACCGACCAAAGAACTTAAATAATAATGACTTTAAACGAGACTGCTAATATTCTTGTTTCATCAACTAGTTTGTCAATAATTTATCTCGTTTTAGAAATTGTTCATACGTAGAGCATGTTCTCGTGTATCGAATCAGCTGAGGTGTATAAACTCCGTATGCAGGTGACAAAGGTGCATTGCTGCATAAGTAAGGGAAATTGACGATAGAAAAAGTTAAAATCATCGCGTTTATCATAGAGCTCGATTGTTAGATTACCATTAATGTTTTTTTCAAGTAAAATATCCAGGTATGAAACAGATGTGTCAGACTCTGTGATATCTTTTATCACAAGCTCAACAGGATATATCGTATCGACAAAGGAACGGAAATTACCATTGTTTATTGACATTTCGTCGTCGACATATCTAAATGTGTTTCTTCTTTTCATGTATAAGATTTTGCACAAATTCTTCTTCATATGAATACAAAAACAGGTCTGCTTATAACGGAGTGCAATCGGTGCCTATGGAAATTCCAAATGGCAATAGATTGTTGGAAGACTTGGTCTCCAAAAACCACATAGATATTGTCAATCAGAAACTCAAGCGTCTTTTTATGTCAAGTTCAAAGTAACTGCATGTGTGTGCAATCAGAATGAGTTTTAAGAAAATAATTTTGCAAATGACCATTGACCAGGTAAGAAAATTTACGAGTTCCATTTTTATTGAGAAAGCAGTTGTCAATGATATCAAAAAGACTTTATTTTAATGTATCGTTGAAATACCTTGTGATTTCAAATTGTCCATAAGTTCTTCGGAAATTTTGAGTATCCACATCTGATTCACACGACTTCTTTAATATATTGTTGCACAGTACTCTTGAAGTTTCTCCTTCACTACTGTAAAAGAGACTTGGTTGAACATTTACTCCTGGAAAAAATATTGTTGTAGGATATTGTGAGGAGTTCAGTGACACAACAATGATTTTTAATAATGTCATATCAATTGTGGGATACAACATATACAAATATAAAATGAAGTGTAAGTTGCAAAACGTAATAGTAAATGCAAATGCAATGTTAACTTTTTTGAAATCATCTTTGTATCAAAAAATCTAATAGCAAAGAATGCAAAGTTAAATTCAATCACCATCTTATAAAAAAGTTAGTAGACGAACTATAACTTTTTTTCTATACGAGGGGCATTTCAAAAGTTTTGGCAACTGTTTCATAAAAGATTAACCGTTTTACGGAAATTATTGAGTTTGATATCATTGGAAAGATCAGAAAAATATATACATATTGTGACGTCACTTTATAATTTTTATGACGTAATAACTCCGAAAATGATGTCAGAATATAGAATGTATAGCATACTGACCATAAAAATGACGTAACAAAAGACAATTTGATAAAATTAAAATTTTCAAGACAACTTTTGCTCATTACTCGGACGCAAGCTAACGGACGCAAATGCCAGTTGGTGGAACATTTACATAGACTACAATCTATCATATGGTATTTCATTTCGGAGATCTTCTTGTTCTGAAATGGTTTTAGCGAGTGTCAAACTTAGCATGGTTTTATCGAATCTCGCTCAAACTTTTGCGGAAAAGAGACCTAAATGTGAGAAAAAGACAAAGTTGACAATCAAAGAAAAATAGGCAATCATGTTACAAAATTGATGGCATAAATTCGTCAGGTGTTTTAACCAGATTTGTGGTATCGATGAAGGCTTAAGAGTAGTTAAGTTTAGTGTGCCCCATATTTTGTCGTAAAATCCAAAATGGCGGCAGAGCAGTTGTAACCCAACCGTACCTCCACATATTCGCAAATTTTAATGTTGGGAAAATAAATAAGACTTTACATGTCTGACTAACTTATATTCATTTTTTGGATTCAAAAGTCAAAAGCAGTAGTGAGGTTTGGGGCGCCGAAGTTGAATTTGTATGGAAAAAATAGGCACAGAATCAAGTCGGGGACAAGATTTAGTACATTTTATTCGTAAACGGTAAGAGTGCTGTTACTCAAAATATATTTCATGAAAACTGCATTAATATACTTCAGTTTAATACAGAACATGTTTTATTTCAAACAATGGAGAACTATATAAAAGACAGAAAATCCAACCGTATCATGTAAATAAAAATATTAAATGAATGTTTATGATAGCATAACCGGACATAAACCATGCTCGTAAACAAACCATACAATGAATAATGGAATTGCTGATAAACAGTATCATAGTCCTACTCTACCTCTTTGCAAATTAAAATTTTCTTTGAAATATTTTTTTCAAATAAGCCTTTGGCAGCAATTTTACGATCGTCTCATGTGGATAAAAACGCAACTTTTCAGTATGCTAAACATTCTATATATTCTGACGTCATTTTCGGAGTTATTACGTCATAAAAATTATAAAGTGACGTCACAATATGTGTATATTTTTCTGATCTTTCCAATGATATCAAACTCAATAATTTTCGTAAAACGGTTAACTTTTTATGAAACAGTTGCCAGAACTTTTGAAATGCCCCTCGTATTCTTTGTAATTAAATAGATGTTTTATCTACATATTTATTCAATTTGCAGAAGAGAAGGATATGAAGATAACGAACAGTATTCAATATCAAAGTCCATAAAACAATTCAAAATAGGAGCAGAGCAAACACGGTTCTTCGAAACATCAGAGATGGGATCAAAAGCCATGAAGGAGTGAGCATCTCCTGCTGACCGGTTACACCGTGTGCTAATTGTCATGATCGTGAAATAACGGAAAAATCCGTCGTCAATTCAGTGTATAAATAATGGACTAAAAATTCTTATGAAAAACTTCAGTCAGCATATTTGACTCAATGATAAATTGTATTTGCTGAAAAGGTCATTGTATCGACCATAGAACTTACGAAATGATACATTAAAATTCATACGTAGAGCATGCTCTTGCGTATCGAATCAACTGAGATATATACACTCCGTATGCAGTTGATGAAGGTATATTGCTGCATAAGTAATGGAAGCTGACGATAGAAAAGTTAAAGTCGTCACGTTTATCATAAAACTTGGTTGTTAGGTTACCATTATCATCTTTTTCAAGTAAAATATCCAAGTATGAGACGGATGCGTCAGACTCTGTGGTATCTTTTATCTCAAGCTCTCCTGGATATATCGTATCGTATCGTAGGAATGGAAATTACCATTGTTAATTGACAATACGTCGTCGATATATCTGAAGGTCGAGTTGAAGGCCACAGCAAGTGTTTTCTTCTTTTCACGCATAAGATTTTGCATAAATTCTGCTTCATATGAATATAAAAATAGGTCTGCTAATAACGGAGCGCAATTGGTTCCCATGGGAATTCCAATAGATTGTTGGAAGACCTGGTCTCCAAAAACCACATAGATATTGTCAATCAGAAACTCAAGCATCTTCTTGATGTCAGCTTCAGAGTACTTGTGTGTGCAATTAGAATCTTTTTTAACAAAATAATTTGCGAATGACCAATGACCAGGTAAGTAAATTTACGAGTTCCATTTTTATTGAAGAAGCAGCTGTCAATGATATCAAAAAGCCTGGATTTTAAATTATCGTGGGGAATGGTTGTGTATAAAGTTGAAAAGTTGTAAGTTTTTAAGCTGTTGATTTTGGTAAAATCTTGTGATTTCAAATTGTCCAAAAGTTCTTTGGAATTCTTTTATATCCACATCTGATTCATACCACTTCTTGAATATGTTTTTCCATGATATATTTATGTATATGTGTGAAAATGAAATGTCAGCAGTGATAAATGACCATTTTTTTTCTACTGTGTATAATTTTGTAAATTGAAAAATAATACCGATCCAGGGAGCTCCTGGCACCCCAGGTGAGGTATTAAGTGAGGGCTTCTGCGTAACTTTACCTCAATATTTGTTGTATGCTATTGGAAATAAATATATTTTATTTTTAAAAAAAATTAAACAAGAGGCCCATGGGCCTTATAGGCTACCTGAGTATCATGTAACAACTTTCCAACAATTGAATTTGATTTGTGTTTTAAACCAGAGGCCATGAAATTCACAATTTTGAAAGAGGCACCATTGCTTATCATAACTATACACTTAACATGCTTACTTTGGTTACTTAATACCCAGAGGTAGATTCGAGTAACAAAGGGAAATGCATTTCCACTTTATCAGTTGTGTACCCCAAACCACAAGAACCACTGACCCTGGGGCCACATCTTTCAAAATTTTGGAAATTTTATAAATTTTATTTCATGTTCTTGATTAATACCAAAGTGGATATTTCAAAGCATTAAATTATTTTCAAACATGTACACCCCCCCCCCCCCCCCAAGGTACCACTGTCTCAGGGGGCCCGGAAATTAATCATTTTGGTAGAGACAGCTTTCTTAGTCATAAATATTTACTAAGATCATTGGCATAATACTCAGGAGCATAGGAAAAGATTTTCAAAGAATTCATGCATTTTCACTATATAAACATTAGAGCCCCGCCCTAACACAATAAGCCCTGACCCAGGGGCCCTGAAATTCACAAATCTGAAAGAGGCATCCTTCCTCCTCATAACTATGTACATAGTTCATTGGTTTAATAAACAGGTGCAGAAAAGAAGATTTTAAAGAATTTATGCATTTTCACTATATAATCAATAGAGCCCCACCCTAAATCCAGAACCCCCAACCCAGGGGCCATGAAATTCACAATTTTGGAAGAGGCAGCCTTATTCGACATAACTATGTACTTAGTTAGTTTATTTAATACTCAGGAGCAGAGAAGAAGTTTTTCAAAGAAATAATTAATTTTCACTATATAATATTTATAGCCCCGCCCTAGCACTAGAACCCCTGACCATGGGGCCATGAAATTCATAATTTTGGAAGAGGCAGCCTTATTCAACATAACTATGCACTTGGTTAGTTGATTTAATGCCCAGGAGCAGAAAGGAAGAATTTCAAAAGAATTATGCATTTTTACTATATAATCTATATAGCCCCGCCATAGTACTAGAACCCCTGACCCTGGGGCCATGAAATTCACAATTTTGGAAGAGGACTCAATGTTGATTACAACCATACCAACTGCTTGATATCCAGGGATAAAGAACAAGATTTTTAAAGTTTGCACTAATTTTAGTCGTTTTGGCCCCTCCCCCAGGCTCCAGGGGGGGGGGGGGGCAAGGGACCATGACATTCACAATGACATTCACAATTTTTCTTCCCCTTCACCCATAGATGCTATATGCCAAATTTGGTTCAAATTGGTTCTGTGGTTTCAGAGAAGCTGAAAATGTTCAAATGTTAACACATCATGCATGACGCACGGCGACAGACGAAAACGGATAGCAAGAGGTCACCTGAGTTTGACCTAAAAAAAAACTCTCCTATGTATTACTTTGTCACCTTCTCTTTTGGTGGGAGTTTGAAATCTTTTCCACTGATTTCTCTACACTGAAGAAATCCTTCTGAAATACTGGTACATTTTGTATTTCAGTAACCATACTAACACAATTTCATTTGACATTTTATTTGTGACAGTGGCAGTACTGTTTCTCTATACAATGTGGAGATCTAGTTTTCTTCAACATTAACAACCATGTGGCCACTTATTTAGTTCAAATAAGCAGTTCAGGTGAATACTTAACATATTAAATGTATATCAAATGAACAAATGGAAAAATCATTAAAAGAAAGCCTGAAACAGTATTATTAAATTTTCTTATTTTAAACTATTAATGTGTAATATACCAAAGGTATCAAATTTTGCAAATATACCAGAGCTGCATAAAAGATAGTGAAGGTTACAATCTTTAACACTATGCTAGCATATCCATTACATCTAGGCAACAAAAGTTAACTTGAACGATGATTTCACTAGACCTAGATATCTTAAATCTAGATTATGAGCTATCCTTAAGGTCTTAATTCCTGCCCAATGAATATGATAATTCATATACTAGTATCTTATTTGTTGCTATCAGTAAAACCTTTAATTTGGGGAGAAATTTTGATAAGTGAAGAAATTACTCTTGCCTAGAATCATTTACAATTTTCTAAATGACCAGCATTGTCCCACATCTGATTTCAACAAGTATAACAAGGTACAGGCACTGCCATGGCAGTTGAAAATCAGCAAAACAAACAAATTACACAAATTAACAAGCACACATTTACACAGAACACATTGATATACAATTCCTGAATAAATAAGTAATAACTAAACACTAGCTATTTTGTCATACACTGCATTTCACAATCTGTAATATGTTTGTGAAATAAATAGATGTATATTATTAAACAACAAGGGGCATAAACAATCAGACTGAACAAAAAATATTTTCAAAGTTAAAATGGACTGTTGTTAAGCTTTACTTAGAGGGAAATAAGGGAGATAACACTACAGTCATAAAGATCAAAATGTACAGCAGGATATCGCCGTACTGGTATGAAATTTTTTTTCTCATTCAAATGGAAGTGGTTCCCCTACGGTACATAAATTTATTCCTAACACACTAAAACATCCAATTTAAGCTTGCAGTGGAGTTATTTTCATTTTCCATGATTTAAAAAAATTATTATAATTGTGAACTTGTGAAATGCTAATTGTTCTCCCTGGCGCTTTACTATAAGTGTGTATATTTTAAATATATATGGTAGTATCTTCTTTTATGAGTTTTATTTCATTTTTAATCTAATACTGATAAATCTTTGTTAAGCAATAAACAAATTTTGTGTAAATAATACTGGGATGCCTCAATTATGTATACATGTACATGTACTTTATTGCAATATGTCTAATTATAATGGATCTGTATACTCATTGCTTTTTCAATGTGAGGCAGATTTTATATCTGTTCCTGAAGTTTAGAACTGCAACATGTCACATTTTAATTATTTTGTGTGTATGTATATTATATAAATAATAATAAATTTATTAATCTATTACTTTAATCTAAAATTAATGTGAATTCTGGGATAATGACTTTAAAAAGTTATAGGGCCTATGATAAAACTCTATTCTGCTGTCAAAACCCATCTGAACTCTCTATCCCCACTACCCCTAGCAGTGTGAGGAACTGGGGTTCTTAACATCAGTTTTACTTTTGTTTTACATTTATATGGGACTTGTATCTGTAAATACATAAAAAAAAATTACAGTAGACACACCTTTCCTGTGGTTATTATCCTATGGCTACATGACAGTCAATACATTTTAAACAAAGCTACATAAGTCATAAATACAGAATAAACTTCTACAAACCACACTTTATATAGTGATATTTTCAAAACCTAATTTAATGCAATGATAACCCTTTTAATTAAGGCCATTTGAAGGAGCACAGTCACCTTTAATTGCAATGAAGTAGGAACCAAATCAACATCTTTCATTCTTTGGAATAATATTTTACATTTGACTACGTAACAGCAATTGACTGACTAGCCATTCTAATGAAATTGAAATAAAAGAATACATAAACAGCAAAAAACATGTGAATTTTGTTTTGTATTTGATATTGTAAGGAGAAATAAAAAGGACAAAATTTTTAAAAATGTGTATGTGTGGGTATTCTTAATGAAAAACTACAGTTAGTTTAGGTGTTATTTTAAAAGTTAACTTTGAAATTTTATCTAACATTCACAGTATAATTAATTCTTTCATTGCAACAAACTATTTGCACAAATTTGCCATTTAAAATCATTCTGTATAATAAAAACATGGACAGAAAACATGTATAATAAAAACAAAACATTTCACAGTAAAGCCTCAGCACCATCTACAATTTAAACACCTCTACTTTCTATGTAAATCTGAATCAGCTAGAAAAAAAAATCCCCTATTAAAAACCTTTTAGTGTACTGTTTCAGCATAATATCATTTTGCAGTCTCAAGTGCAGCTACAGTCACTTAGTAATAATACTATAAAAAGTATAAATACATATTTAAGCTTTCAGGCTGTTAACATGCATCCTAAAAATTGTTGTTTCTGAAAATTAGACATACATGTGACAAAAGACCAAAAATTCTTATAAATTTCATTATAACAATATCATATTGATCACTATATTAATTTTATTCTTTTTAAATTATTAACTGAACACAATGACAGGAAAAACGGGGAGGAATAACATTAAAACACTTTCTAGGATTGTTTGTCACCTCATAAAATATACATAGGACTGGCCTACACAACTTGTGCTGCTTAAGAGAGAAAAAATACATCTGTTTATCTGAAAATTGATTATTAAAATCAATAATTAGAATAATCTCTCTCACAATTATGTGATATGTTGACTGATGTTTACAAAAAAATATTTAAAAAGTCACTGTGGGAAAGCCAGTCAGCAGAAATAAGGACTAGCCCTAAACACAGAGAATATATTGTGTACATAAAGCATGAAAAAGCTCAAAAACCACCAGAAAAATTCAATACCCCAGCATGTACTTAGAAGATTAAGTGTACAGCTATATACACTTATCCTTCCAGTGCAAGGAATTTTCCCCCAATGTTTGAGTGGATGAGACTACACAGGGACTGGCCCCATCCTTATCACAAGACAATATCACAAGGTCACGATCAGTTGGACTGGTAGGAGGAGAGGAGAGCAGCATCTACAGGTTCCATACAGGAGGGGCATGTAAACGAGCGCATTAACCAGTCATCTATACAGTCTTTATGGTAGATGTGCATACAGGGTAAAAATCGAAGAGATTCGCCTAACACAAAGTCACACATACATATTGCACACCTGAAAAACCAGGGATACTCACAATAAAGTCATTTACTAAAATTGAAAATCAACATAGAATTTTTATTATAATTAGCTGAAGGAAAATATAATGTACTATAGATAGAATAATTGAATTCCAGTAATTGCAGATATATATAAACAACTTATTTTTATATATGTCAGAAAACAGGATGTACATATGTAGCAGATGTGATTCTTAATAAATACATCGAGGAAATATTTCATTTGCTGAAAGCAATAAATTGATTCAAATACTTTTGGATAGAATCAATATTTTTTAAACTTCCTGTATTAATTCACAGATTAAATATCTATAAGCTGCTCAACATTTTTTCATGCAAGCAAAAAATACTAAGGAAGCAAAAATCATATAAAATTGATAAAATGCATAAAGTATCCTTCATATGTCAAATGATGAAATATTTCATAACAATCTTTTTTCAAAGATAAAAACATTAAGATTTATGATTTATTATAGTTACTCTATAGCATATGAGAATATATCTTATTATGTCTAAATACTAGCTGGTATATATATATTTAATTAATCAATAAAATTAATTACATCATGTATTGGACCATAGGGGTTGGTAACATATATCATACTTTATTATATGATTGAATGATTTCCATCTCTCTGATTGGCTGAGATCCAACTATGTTAGAAAAATACTACGTTGTATTGACCTGCACGTGACGTTCCAGGTGAATACAAGGATTTATTACATACATTGATCTAAAAATAGATCGGGAAATTCCAAATTGATACAAATTATTTTGGAAAGCTATTTAAACGACTATGATGTTTTTTTCATGTGAACAAAAACATAAGCGAATACATGTATATATTTTAAATGTGAGGGATACATACTCCCTCCAACACTTTTACTGAACAACAATACATATGTATTTTCTTTTTGGCAGTCAGTTTTCCCAGATAATACCCCTTCCTTTCAAAATCTATCCTATAAAGAAGACTGACTTTATATATATTTTTTTCTAATTATAACTAAAATTGATAAAAATTATTTCAAATTGATACGACTGGTAATGTTTATTTACATTTTAATTCTGTTTCTCTCTTGTATTTGGCTAAAACTAAATGCAAACAAGTAATAAGCTGTATCATTTTATCAGTGAATCATATAGTAAAACAATTATTGCTGTTTTTTCGGTCGATACAATGATTTAGCCGTCTTCGAAGTACAATATTCATCTCGCCCTTTGGCGATACAATAATTGTATAGTATTTTACGCATATAATCACTCCAATACAAAAAGGAACAAGTGATTATGCAAAATAAAATATAGTATGTAACCAGTCCTTGTGCACTGGACATATAAATGTGAGATACATACTCTTTGCCCTTTTTAGTACTCCCATCATAGACCCCTAATGGAAGGTGACTTATAAGTCCCATTCGTTTGGCTATCTTTATCTGCTCATCCTCTGTCAGTTGGTTGGCGGGTCTACTGACATTCGGGGAGGGGTGGTAAACAGGTACCCTAGATCTCTCCAGGGGTCTCTGTCTCTCCTGTAACAGGAGTAATCAATTTAATATACATCAGCTAACATTACAGCACAACATTTAAAAAAAATGAAATGTTTTACCTTCAAACAGATATTAACCTAGCGTGCGGAATTAAAATGAAATACATGTTGATCTGACCCAATTATATCTCACTCATTTCATAGGACGAGGTGAAGATGCACTTTTTATCAGTAGCAATATAATATTCATTTATTAATTCTCTGATCTTAATTCTCTTAGAATAGAGTTTATGTATATATCCAAAACAAAATTAAAATACCCATAATTAATTAATACAGTATATTGGCTACTGAGTAAAAAATGCTTGTTATAAAAAAAAGGGCCATAATGGAAAAGATGTTATTGCATGTATATTTCATACAGTATAGCTTTATTATATCAGTATGATTTTTAAAAATTGAACAGAGTAACAAATAAACGTGTTCTTTTATCAGTTCTTAAAGAAAAAGAAATCTTGAAAACTAAGGAATCTCGAAAAAACATTTAATAAGACTTAATTAACCTCTCAAACTTTTTTTTCTTACCGTATACGGTATAGTCTGGTATAGTCATATCATTGTTTCTTAGAACACATCAAAGAAAGACATTTCAATCTTTTGAACATGTGACTGACCATGTTGAATTAAGTAATTTCAATAAAAAAAATTTATCTAAAATTAACATTAAAATGACATTTATCATGTTTATTCATTAATAAAATATGAATATTCAATAAAATTTTATGTTCCATTTGTTACAAAATGGAATAAAAATGATAACGTGCAGTCGATCAGCTGTTTTCTTTGTTTACGACCGATCAGCTGGTTTCTTTGTTCTGGTGACGAAGTTTGCCATTCAACATATTGTACTTCAGTCTGTGTCGATTTAACCACAATAAACCTTTTACATTTAAATGTAAGAAAGCACATACAAGTCACCATAAAACAACCATCTTATTTCTGCATTATATTAAGTATTTCGCTGAAATAGACGGGCAGTACCTGATACGGTGGTGGGGGGCCCAGGTTGTCTGGTCCTTCTGGGCCTTCGTTTTCACGTAATAGGGAAATGTCGTCACTACTTGGTGATTTTAAACAGTTTCCCATCTTAATACATAAGGGTGTCAAACACCAAAAGGTACCCAGTTTCACTATTTTTAACAAAGAAAAATGTATCCATTTAGTCCTGTCATTGCAGATCAAAACAACAGCCCAATTACTCACTTTTGTCTATACTGACGTAATGTAATATAGTTCGTTTACTTTTCTAGACTCGGACTCGATTTCGAATAGATAAACAATGAATCAATCTAAAAACTGATTTTATATTTGCCATACAAACACAAAATCTATATTTTATTGATCAATAATTTATCAATTAATACGCGGAGGAATTTTTGTTTTGTTTACTCTTTATCTACTTTCGTTTTGAAACAGTTTTGACTTTGTGGAAAAAAATCAATTTGCTCATTTTTGTAAAAATATGCTCATTAAAATAAGTCGTGATTTTTGTATTAGTAAAAATGAGAAAAAAAATCAAACCATATTTCATCGAAATGTTTTAAATTGATTTCATTGATTGGTATAACCTCAAACATTTAAGTGACTATGCTTTACTTTCGTTTTATCTTATTGCTTGTGTTCCAGCCGTCCAGTGTTTTTGTGCTGCTATGGATGTGGATGATGATGAAAGTTTTGAAGATGGAGATTGGTATGTGTTTGATATGTAAAGGTTTGCGAAAAAACATCGAATTTAATTAATGTGTGACAAGATCAAAGGGTTAAAATGTGTCGTAATTAGGCCCAGGATGAGACATCTGATTGATGTTCTGAATGCAATAAATAATTTTATTAAAAAGAAGGGAACTTCCTCGATTTTTCTTCTTTTTCATGTTCAGAGTATGATAAATTGTCCCTATTATGAAAATTTCATCCCATATGAACAATAAAGGATATTTTGTTTTATCACTGAATGACATAGCAAAATATAATATATGGGAATGTAAAGGATCTAATTTAAATAAGACTGATCACTTTTTAAAAGAAGATAGGATATTGTTTAATTAGTTGATATTGCAGGGCTTTCCAAAGTTTATTGCAAACACAACCTGCTGGTCATATACATAATAAATTGGAGCTCATGGCTAAGATATCATTGATTTAACTTATTTTGTACTTATCTTTTAAGGGGGGACCTATGTCGTTCGACGTCAAAGCAGCGTTATGTGACGTCACAAAAGCGACGTTTGTTTTTTTCCCGCTGACTTTTGCAACTGTGATTATAGGCATAACATTGTTATTAATCAAAAACGTACACATTTTACAAAAAGAATTTTGTTTTCATCATTTAAAACAGTTTTATTTGATTTATGGAGTTTGTTAATATCAGAATTCTCTTCTTTTGGTTGATAATACATAGCAATTTAAATTGTGAAGAAATACCTCTATGATATGCTGATATAGAAATGCAAAAAAATATAAGAAAAAATTCAGCAAAATTTTAGGCCAAAAAATGTTTAATTTTATTTACCATTAATTGTATTTTCTGGATAAAACTAAGAAAAATAAAGAAATGTACTTGTACCTATATTTACTTATTGATTTATAGTGTATGTAGATTTTATTGTATAAAATTATTAGGTGTTGGTTGTTCATGGGAGGCAATGAAGAAAAAAAGAGTATATCTGTTTAAATTATTTCTTACCCGTTTTTTGCAAAATAGTTTTATATTCAGATGTTTGTCAGTGCTAACTTACCTTTTTTTTAGTGCAGAAAGGTCAATATTTATGACAAAAGAGTATGCAAATAAAAGAAAACGTTATATTTCTCGTTTATTTTATCATAAAGGTATACTTTTTTCCTTGTTAAAATAAAGAGAGGGGTCATTTCTTTCAAAAAATATGAATTACCACATTTTCACACAAAGACTTTTTAAGATATTACCTGTTATGCATGTCGGAATTGTAAAAAACCAAGAAAAACGGGGTGTTTACATTGTGCTCCTGTATAATTTTTCTTGCGAGATGAATTACAATGAATTTGCCTTCATTTTAAAGATACAAGTCATATAAATTAAATACATGTTGATTTCGAATGTGATTTGACATTTTTGGTTCTTTTTAGCGCATATTTGCAGTAGAACAATAACGTCTGAAAATAATCTATTTTTAGCATTTCACACTGTTTTTGCACGTGCTCCTGTGTAAAAATAAGCATATAAAGGTATTGTTTTTAATACCTAAAAATTAAGATCAAGTGGTCAGGAAAGAAATGTCAAAGTTTTGAAAATTTCACACAAAGACTTTTCGGACATAGGTCCCCCCTTAAGCAAAATGTTGATTACAAATAAATTAAATCAACTATCATCATGATGAGTTCGTCCTATCACTTTATGAGTTAGAATGATACGGAAATTTAAACTGTTAAAAATATTTCTTTGAATTGTTTGAAAATAGACATATGTGAATGTTTTTTGTTTTTTTTTAAATACAAATTAAGGGCTTCCTACAAGTTACAAAATAAAAAAACTTACCTTTCCAGTACTTTTGAAAAGTCGTACTCTTTCTCTAAAACAGCAATCTCGGCAAAATTTTTAATGGATAACGGTACACAGTGGGATACTAAACCCCTGTGGTTCAGAGTTGTAAAATTTATATGAAATGCTTAAAATGGCTATGAAATGCTTATAGCATATTAAACTGAAAAGTTTAAATTATTTAATTTAAATTACTCGGCATGTAAATCGACATCATCAAGAAAATAATTCTGCTAATATGAATATTTTGTTTTATCACTATTTTTGAATGACATCCGCGCAAAATTATTTTCGGTTGCTACTCTTGGAAAAATACCTTTGAAGCAAAACTGTAGTGAAAATACCCAAAATAATTAATTCAACGGATTTTCCCCGATGGTTTTAGTCCGATGTCAGAAATTCTTTTTTTAAAATATTATCTGTTGATTAATCAAAGCCGTAATCGGTTAATTACAAAGATTTTTTGATGAAATTTTTCTGAAAGAAAATTAAGATCACTGTCAAAGAGACGCATGAATATTGAAATGAATGGGTGGATCAAACAATTGTTTTTATACCTTAAATATGAGCACTTTCTTACAGATTTTTACTGAAAAATGCAACGTAATTTCATTGATTTTTTTTTGGAAATGCAGAGCTACTGACAGATGGAATCAACCAACGAATAGATGTATTTGCAACCAAAATATGCAAACTGTTCAATGTTTTTTTGAAGGACAGACAATCGTATTTTTATTGTTTGGAATATCCAATGGATATTAATAGCCAATATTACTTGGGCGTTGATACTATATTGAGGTCGAAAACACAAGACGCTAATATTTTTGTAAGGAAAAGTTTACCCTCTCCATATAATGGCATATAAATAAGATAAACACAAAACTGCAATTTGGGTTATATCATTTTATTCATAGACACATATGCTAACATTTTAAGCCCATATTTTTTCAGGTTCTATAAAGTTTGTGATAAATTAAAAAATAAAATCTAAATAGGTCGAAAATACAATACGCCAGGATACTAGAGTTATCTCTCTTAGATATTAGATAAACGAACCTTTTTGGAAGAAAAAAAGAACACATTTGTAAATATTTTCCTTTAATTCAAATTTTTAAAATATATATAATAAACTCACTACCTTTCATAAAAACCAAAGGATTTAAGTTTTAAAGGGGCATTTCGGTACAAGGGGCATTTTGTAATTTCCAGGGGCATTTCGGTCTATTATTTAGATATAATATTGATGGAACTCTTTATTTTCAAGAAAATTTCTGTCATGAAAGCCAATATTTCAATAAAAAGTAAGAAAATTTCTTAATTGTTGGTTTCATATACAAAATGGTAAGCAATGCAGTACTGATAAATATTGAGATTTATTAAAACATTAATTGAAATGTTTATAAAAGTATTCATTTATAAAGTGGATGGCATGCAAACATGCAACAATAGTTGAACTGGACCATGGTATCCAAAACAAGACAAGTTGAGACTTATCTGGGAAGAGGATGGAAACCAACTCCTCCAAGGCAGCTGTTCCCACTGCTGCTTTTTGCAGGGATCCATGTTTCTGCCTTATTGTGATTAGTATTGTTCTCATTTACTCTGCAGGTATAATCATCTTCTGGTCTACCAGCCATCTGGTGTGTTATATGAAATATTCAAACACTTGGACTGGACGGACCTATGTTCACTAGCCCAGACATGTACAAAGTTCAGAGACCTTATTTCAAAAGCCACAATATGGTATCTGGTAAATTTTACAATTAATAAAAGATTAAATGTTGTTTATGCTCAGAAGTACATATACTTGACAATATGTATAAAAATACAGAATTTTAATGTACAATTCAGGATGCAGATGAAGATGTTAGATTTAACAGATTGCCCTCTCCCTATGGCAGAGAGATTGCTGGATATTATAAAACGCTGTCCAAATGCAGGTACTGTGGTTTTGCTAGGGACATTTCAAAAACTTTTGCTGAATTGGTATTTCTGATGAAAAATGAGACATGTTTTAGATAGAAATAAGTTATTTCATCTGGAGAGTATGATAATTGTAAACTTAAAACTGTTACAAACTAAGTATTATATTTATTTATTTTTAGACTGTATCAAAGTTGGAGAATTAATATTAGAACATTCCACTTTGGACATTTTCCTCAAATCACTTTTTGATTGCTGCCAACATTTAAAAAAATTGCTAATCAATACATCATCTATAAACAATGAGAGTAGTAAGTGTTTGTTATTTTAATTTTTCTCTCACTGGTAGGAAAAAAATATTTAGCTATTTTTCATTTCATCAATGTTTATTTCATTTCACATAGTTTAACAAGAAAACTGACATTTCATTTCTGCTAAAGATAATTTATACATGTATGAATTAAAGATTGATAAAAAAAAAAAATAATGTAAATTTTGTTAATCTCTGGTTATATTAAAGCATTATAGAGTAAAAAAAAAAAGAAAGACATTGTCAAAAGTACCAGTAGAATAAAATCTCTCTTACAGTTGAAGTATTGCACAAGAAGGGAGATAACTTGGAGTTCCTGTCTGTAAATCTGTATGAAGAGTTCCTTGACAGTCAGCACCTGACACAAGTGATAGCCCTAGAAAACCTGAGAGAGCTTCATTTCCAACAGTAATGCTATTATTAGGAAAATAATAAAATATACCCTGAAGGGAGGATAGGTAAAAATGCCAGATTGATGTGCAAAAATCAGTAGAAATTGGGGGGTAAAAATGAAATACTTACATGTAGTACTATTTTGTACTCAATCTAATATAAACTGAGATCATCTAATATCCCCTGCAAACATGTGGGTTGAACATTCAGGAATCAGCCTGTCTGTTCACCCAAATCTTGTCAGTGGTAACCAATATTGGACACTATAATGTTGGACACTTAAAATACTATACATGTTCATAATTTGGTGTATTCAAAATTTAGTAATCACACAATACATGATATTGTATATTTTGATTTCTTTGTGGTATTCATTTAGCACCAAAGCTGCTGAAATATGAAGCCACTTTAGTACACATACAGTAATAATGTGAAATCACTTATTTTCATGGGGGGTTAATTTTCATGGTTTTCAAGGTATAAAGAGACCCTAAATTTATGTCCACCATGAAATGCAATTTTTCACATATAAGAAGTCAACCACAAAAAAACAGCAATTTGAGAAAAAACACAATTATAATTGGTAACACAATTTATTCATAGAACACAAATATTTGGTTTTAATTCATTATTTCTTGATATAGATGCAGATCAAACATTTTTGTTCCAAGAGTGGAGGACAACTCAACATATAACATTAAAAAGCTCATGTAAGTTTCTTGGATGACATTTTGATCTCTCAGTTTGATGTTTTCTTCAGGTGCATGCATGTGAGAGATTCTTTTTCTATATTTGACAATAATTTTTTAGGTATCTTAAGTATCTTATTGAATGCTAAGTCAGTTGGATGAACCAAATTTCAAGACTCATTATAATGTAATGTTTTGGATTATCAAAGGTCAAAACTTAATCAGCATTGTAAGTTAATTTCCTGTGAGAATGTTCATTAGTTTTCAGATTTATGAAATCTTTCTCATATAGTTTTCTTTATCATGTATTTGATCCTAATAATGGATAGTACTCTCTGGTTTTCAGTCTGAGTGATTCACTGCTGCTGGAAGAGAATGTCAGAGAAATATTACGTTCCTGTGTACATCTAGAACACCTAGATCTACAAAACTCCATCAGGGTGTTCCCATCAAGTAATTTACCTGTAAGTTACAAAGAATGTAAACATAAATTTCATGTAAGTTACAAAGAATTTAATACAACTTACCTGTAAATTACCGATTTGATTTCCTTAGATTATCCACAATACATATTTTTAAACACATTTTTGAGATTTTAGATTTTAATATAATAAATTTTTTTTAGCTCAAAACTCAGTGAGGGTGTTCCCTTCAAGTAATTTACCTGTAAGTTACAAATGTACCTGTGTACATCTAGAATACCTAGATCTACAAAACTCAGTGAGGGTGTTCCCTTCAAGTAATTTACCTGTAAGTTACAAAAGTACCTGTGTACATCTAGAATACCTAGATCTACAAAACTCAGTGAGGGTGTTCCCTTCAAGTAATTTACCTGTAAACTGGCACAAAGAACACCTAGGGTGAAGGGGTTCCCTTCAAGTAATTTACCTTTAAGTTACAAACATACCTGTGTACATCTAGAACACCTAGATCTACAAAACTCAGTCAGGATGTTCCCTCCAAGTAATTTACCTGTATGTTACAAAAGAAATTTAAACACAAATTACATGTAAATTACAAAAATCTTAGTTTACAGGTACATGAACCACTGGGCCAGGAAAGATGAAACTCATGTGGCGCGCTATTTCCTCGAAACCGGTCAAATTTTAGATAAAATCAAATTTTTTCCAATAAATATACAAGAATTTGATGCTCTCCGGTGATTATTGAAAAATATACAGCTTTTTTATTTTGATAAAACTTGCTTGGGGCCACCTTTTGGCACGTTTACATCACAAAGTTATCAAAATTAAAAATATATAGGCAAAAGATTTAAATCTTCTTCTCCAGAACCACTGAGGAACTAATATCCCAGTACAAAAGACATTATAGAAGAAAACTAACATGTCTTGAAATAGATATTCAATTTTAAAGTGTAGAAAATTCAAGTTTGTTTATAGAACTGCGACAAAGCTTAACCCGTTGAAATCTGGTTGTCACGTCGCTTACGTCAAGTGATTGCTCCGTGAATCCCATGACCTCATAGTAAAAATCGTTTTAAATTTTCAAGATTTTATTATAAGATTTTTTACATATAAACAAAATAGGAATTTGTTCAAAAGGTCATACTTCACAGTACACAATAGAACCGTAATTCAATGTGTGGAACTTTTCAGGAACGATGTAAATGACACAGAATTTAAATACAACTCACATGTAATTTAAAAAAGAATTTAGTTACCTTTACAACATCTTTAATAACAAAAAAAAAAGTAGATTATTGCTGGTTCAGTTATTCAAATTCCTTAATATCCACAATACATATTTAAAAACAAATTATTGAGATTTTAAGATATCAATATAATAACTTTTTTCTTAGAATTAAAATCGTCATCAAATTATGCATTCTTTTACAGGGAAGAAATGGATTGAACAAACTAAAGGTTTTGAATTTAGGACACAGTGGTAAGCTTAGAAATATATATACTTTATACATGGAAATTTTCACACCTGTTTTATTTTTGCCACTTAATTGCTGCTACATGTGTAGTGGGTAAATTTACAAGGGGACAAATTTAAAGAAAGTATAATTGTGCGTATGTAAAGTTCAAAACTATACAAAATTGTTGGCTTTGTTATGTGTAAAAAAAAAACCCCATGAGATGCAAATAATGTTTTATACAGAATCTATATGTAAAAAACAGGAGGTGGTAACTTACATGATAATGATAGGATTTTTGAAATCTATATTATACATTATACCTTACTACCGGTAATCTTTTCCTCTGAATATGTAAGAGAAAGGCTGCTCAAATATGCTAAGATTCGTAGAGTCTTTACCAAACAGATATATTTCAATTTAATATATGGTTCCAGAGTTTTAGTTTATGGTAGGGCAAAGGTCATTGTGATCATTATATTATTAGAAATTTTAAAAGATACTGTGATGGCACATAGTTCTTTTGTTAATTATAACCAACTATTCCTTCAATTTTTCAGGTTTACAAAGCCTTGAAATAGACTATCCTTTTCCATGCCTTGAGTGTTTGAATGTTGACATGTGCCAAAATTTAGAGTCTGTTAAAATGGCATCACCTCTTTGTAAGGGACATAATTATCAAAATGAAATGTTTGAAACTATTGTGTTTTAAGTTATTTAACTGTGCTGAATGGCTATTATAATATATCTCTTACTCATTTCCAACAGTACATCAATTTTCATGCAATTCCTGTGATGTCCTAGAAAGCCTAGAGTTATCCCCCTGCAGTATCAGTTCTATACATCTCACTTTAGAGTTACTTCAGTCTATGCAAATCAACAGTGTTTCTCTACAAGAAGTAGAAATCTCTTGTAACAAAAGGTAAAATTTCTCCAGGAAGTAGAAATATTGAATGAAATAGAATGAAAAAGTACAATATAAAAAATTTTTGTAGCAATTATTGAAAATATCTTATAACTTTTAGTGAAATTAACATATAGCAAAGCAATAAGTTATTGCTGGAAGAAAGTAAAAAACTACAAGTCAAAAAAGCAAAGTAATTAAGATTTGGAAAGGAAAATGCAGAAATTCTTTAGCCATTCTTTTTATACAGGTTGACTTGTGAAGCCTTGTTGGCAGCTATTCCACACAAGGATCAAATAAAAATACTGACTTTGAATCGCTGTGACGGAATATCAGCAGCAGATCTCAGTGAAATTCTGAAAGAAGTAAGGTATTAAGTTGGAATTCCTATACCGGGTAGTACAGAAAATTAAACCTAAGAACATTACCAAACTGCTTTCATAAAAAACTCTATCATTCTACCAAACGAATTATTTTGTTGTTTTAGTTCTATTGTGTTTTAAACTTACAAGTGCAGCATATATAAAAGCCTTGTCATAATTTTTTAAAATCCTCTTTTTTCAATCAGTGAGTAGTTATAATAAGTGAATTCCTCTAAATGATCTTTCTTTTTGCATGTTAGCTCCCTAATGTGAGAGAACTAGGGGTGGAAGTGGGAGAACCAAATAACCTTTCCGCACACTTCGCTTTTTAAGGTTAAATGCAAAGCCTTAAAATAGACTATCCTTTTCTCTGGATTGATTGTAAAATACTGGAAATTAATACATGGATATGTTTTAAAGAGGAACTTATGACTAAGACCAAAATTTAATAAGGCATATAGCTTTTTTAAACAATAATTTTGAAAATGGTACAATCATTTTTAGGTCACCTGAGTAATTCAGGTGACCTGAAATGTCGTGTGTTAACAAACATTTTGTTTGAAACCACTGAGCCAATTTCAAACAAATTTTTAACTGTGGTGAAGGGGCAAAAATTGTGAATTTTATATCCTTCTCATTTCCAGGGGACAAAACCATCAAAATTTTTGCAATCTTTAAAAATCCTTCGATGGACATCAAGCAGGCAAAGCATGAATGTAATGAGTTATCCCCCAAAGTTGTGAATTTCATGGCCCCATACACCTCACTATATAGAGTTATATAGTCTGAAAATGCAAAAATCTTCTTCTCTGCTCAAGGGTATTAAGTAAATTAACTAAATACATAGTTATGTTGTAACAAAAGGTAAAATTGTGAATTTTATGGCCCCAGGGTCAGGGGTTCTGGTGTTAAGTAGAAATATTGTGAAAATGCTTTTATTCTTTGAAAATCTTCTTCTAGGTATTAAATAAAATAAAAGCACAATATAGAACCTTTTTGTTTTTGTAGGGTCAGGGGTTCTGGTGTTAGGGCAAGTTTTCATTATATTAAAATGCATTATTCTTTGAAAATGTTTCTTGCTGTGAAATAAACACAGTACATAGTTATGAAAAGTTATTGCCATGTCCAAAATTGGAATTTTATGGCCCCAGGATCAGGGGTTCTAGTATTAAGGCGGGGCTCTATTAATTATATAGTGAAAATGCATTAATTCTTTGAAATTCTTTTCCTTTACTCCTGCGTTTTATGCCAATGATCCAAGTATATATATTTATGATGAAGAAAGGTGTATCTAGCAAAATGATTATTTTTTATGCCCCTTTGGTCTGGGGGGGGGGGGGGGTAGGGGTTACATAGTCTGAAAATATATTAATGCTTTGAAATCTGCTCTTTAGTATTAATCAACCATTTTATGATAAAATTTGCAAAAGTTTGTTGGCAGCTATTCCACACAACTGGTTATAAAGTGGAAGTGCATTTTCTCTTTGTTACTCTGATCTATCTGGGTATTAAGTGATAGGGATGTCAATTTATCAGCAGCTGATCTCGAATAGTGAAATTCTGAACGAAGTAAGTTTAATTTTTTTTTTTTATCATTTTCAATTTGTCTCTTATAGTTTACAAGATAAACGCTATCACCATTATACAATGAATTTCTGAATTGTAAACATGTTTTAGTAAAAAAAAATCAATATGTATCCAATGTATTGGAAACAAATTATATATTAGCTTGCAGGATATCAAATCTATTAAACTTTAAACTTACAAGTGTATCATATATGTAAGCCGTGTCCGTCATAATTTTTTGTAAACAATTAAATCTTTTCTTCAATCATTGAGGATAAGATTTAATGAAATTTTGTGCAAACAATCAATTATTGTATGAAATTAATTCAGAAAAAGAAAACACGGTTTAATCATGTTCTTTCAATTTATATGTATTTGATTTTGTTAGTTTTTTAATTAATACTTTTTCTGAATAGTTGTATCACGTATAGTTTGAATTTACAAAACTAAAAATTGCCATCTCCAATTTAAAAGTGGAACCAGGTAGACAATCATTAACAAACATGTTTGATTTTTTTTTCCAATCCGTTTTTTATTTTTTTTGGTCATTTTTTGCGGAAAACTTAAGAAAGATTCATTTAAAGACTTATATATGTAACCTTTCATGATACATCATGTTTGATGTTACAGTTAAAAAAATTATTTGATGCAACACATTTTTCATCATCCTTAAATGTTTTTCAAATGAAAAAAAGGAAATTCAACTTTAAAGGATTATGAAAAATGCTGCACATTTATTTCAACATGTTCAAAAATTCTTTTGTGTATAGTGACTTTTACTTGCCAGGGCTGCCTCATTTTGTCCAGTCTCCCCCTGACTGCCCCATCCCTGTTTTGGGTACAGTGACCTTTTGACCTGTATTTGACAGGGCTGCCTCATTCTGTCCAGTCTCCCCCTGACTGCCCCATCCCTGTTTTGGGTACAGTGACCTTTTGACCTGTATTTGACAGGGCTGCCTCATTCTGTCCAGTCTCCCCCTGACTGCCCCCTCCCTGCTTTGTGTATAGTGACCTTTTGACCTTTATTTGACAGGGCTGCTTCATTCTGTCCAGTCTCCCCCTGACTGCCCCCTCCCTGTTTTGGGTACAGTGACCTTTTGACCTTTATTTTACAGGTCTGCCTCATTCTGTCCAGTCTCCCTGTGAGTGCCCCCTCCCTGCTGTCTCTACACCTCCATGACTGCAGAGATTTCCAGGAGGCTGAGCTGTTTGATGGATTAATGTTTGGAAAAAGAGTAAGTGTTTGTCATAGATAAAAGGTTTCAAAACTTTAACACATGCACTGTACTTAGATATGGGAAGAAAATAAAACAGATTAAATCCATTGAGTTTTACATGAAATAAAGTGTTATAAAATTAAAAGGTAAATAGGTAAATATAATTTTAGCTTTTCTCTTTTGTGTTTAATGGAAATAAAACTATATTGCTTCAAAAATCAAATTATGTGTCACTCATTGCATCAAAGTTTGGTTAGAAACTCTTCTAGGATGATATTAATGCATTTCTGTTGTTTATTTTTCCAGATACAGAGAGTGAGAGGAATGGAATGTCAGTGGAATCAGGGAGTGGATCCAGCTATTTTTACAGATCACAGTGGTGTGGAGAATTTACAAGAGCTGTATCTGACTGACATGAAGGGCATCAAAGGAACTGTTCTGTCGTCAGTCATCAACAACTTTAGGTCCCTATCAAAACTCGTCCTTAAACGATGCAATTTTCTCTCCCAGTAAGTTATTAAATAAAATATTTGTTTATTGACTGTTTCAAAGAAAGTGACTCTCATCAGCCACGTACCACAAATCACTTGACTCGACACTAATCTAGTGTTTCGGCCGTGTGATATATATGAGATTTAAAATTTTGATAGTATATTAATTAGCTGCAAATCCGCCATCATCAGGAGTCTATTTGCACATCTGTTATACAGATTATTAAATTAGTTAGGAGAGGAGCATATCACTCAGATTTTTAATGTGTTTAATGACACAATACATGTAGGTTATTCTTGGAGGATTGTATTGCAATTCTTATATTTCTTAGAATATGCTGGTGTTTTAATAATTTTATACATCTGTTTTATTAGCGAATATCGCATACAGAATGGGGTTTCTGACTTAGATCCCATCAAATATTCAGTTACTTCTTTATATATTTGCGAATTCACAATATATTAAATCTGAGTAAATAATTTTGGTCTGCAAAAACGAAACTGTTTGTCTGAGGTTGTTAGGTAGAGGGCAGGGGCTTGCTGGTTTGAGGATTTAAGATTCCAGTCATTAAATTTTTTTTTATTATAACACCTTTACTTGCTTCCATTTTTGCCATACAGGTGTAAAAGTTTTGATGTTAATTTTATATATTTGAATTTTCAAATTTAACTTTTTCAATTCTGTATCAATTTTTTTAACTGCTCAGTAAAAACAAAGGAAATATGTAAAGAATTTTATTTTTGTAGAGGTTTTATATACATCGTATCTGTATTATGTGTTAAGTTTAAAAAATCCATGCTATGTCTCTGCTTTTTTTCAGACTGTCTGTAACAAACAGTACCAGTTTAGAAGTCCTCTGTATAGAAAGCTGTCCGAAATTCACCTCTCTAGATATTTGTGATTCCCCAAAACTTGATATTCTTCATGTTAAAGTGAGTTCTGGAGTTGTAAAAAGAAGTTAATCAGCTTGATAAACAATTAGTCAGAATTTCCCCATTTCAAAGTAAAGTGTTTAACAATGTGACAATACTACATGATTTTATTTTTAGTACTGCAGTATGATGGAGCAGTGTTTTGTGATAGCCAATCAGTTGACTGATGTTGATTTCACCGGGACCAACTTCTCCCACTTTAAGCTGTCCTCCTCTGTACTGATAGATGTACAGTTACAGGGAGTGTGTACCAGAGAGGATAACACATTAAATCTGAGGTAAAAGGCCTAACCTCAAAGACATATAATTGTAAACTGTAGAACAACAAACCTATGTCCTAATCAAATAAAGTAAAACTTGTATAATCCGGCCAGTATTGGTAAATTAGCCAGACTAGACAACATACTGGATTAGGCAACATATAAAACAATTCAATATTCTAAGAGGGAATTCATTTTTAGCTCTACTGGTCAGAGACCAGAAGAGCTTATGCAATAGTAATGCGTCCGTCGTCCGTCCTTCCGTCTGTCTGTAAACAATTTTTCAAAATGCTACTCCTCCTACAGTTTTGGTCTGATTTTCAATATAACTTGGCACACAAGTAGACTACACTAAGATACACAAATCTATATATCGGTTTTTGATTTCGATGAATGGTGTTGCCATCTGTAAACAATTTTTCCAAATGCTACTCCTACAGTTTTGGTGTGATTTCAATATATCTGGCAAACAAGAAGACCACACTAAGATACATAATTCTGTGCATTGGTTTTTGTTATTATTCTATTTATTGCTTTTGTAAAGTTTTAAGTCCCAACTGCTACTTTTCTCTTTCTTTATTATAAGTACAAACCAGTAGAGCTACAGTCTCGACAAAGACTTCTGGTTTATATTGTGTTAGACAAGATTTCAGAATACACAACATCTGGATAAACAAGTTTCACTGTATCTTTAATATGCAAGACATTTTAAAGAGATTCAGTATCTGATGAATGTGTTTTACGTTAAGCATTGTAATCAACACTGGTGTTTTTATATTTGGATGCCAGCTGTCCAGCCCTGAGATCTGTGAACATTCAGAAGTGTGACATGTTGTCAGATGATACAATGGCAAATGTTTTCTGTCGCTGTCCTAAGCTGACCTCGCTTACAGTTTTGGGAACTCACCAGCTAAAGTAAGTCATGGAAGAAATATTAGGAAATTTTACAAAATCTATTGACTAGAGTGAAAGAAAAGTCAAGCAGAGAAAATCCATCTTTTTATCAGTTTAAAACAAGGGAAGATAACTCTGTAAGGATAGTTCAAGGTTTTTAAACTGTATAAGATTTACATATCTGTTTTACATAAATTCAATTTCATTGAATCCGAAGAGGCTATAAGAGGTGGTATATTTTCAATCAGTTTGATGTTAAAAAGTTTGAAATAATTTAATGAAACAAATGAGGCATTGAATCAGTGCTTTTCCAGGAATTTACAAGTACCTGAAACTTTAGAAGTTCTTAGCATGACTGGACTAAGGAGGTTACAGAATGTCCAAGTTACTCAACCAACTAGAATACACCATCTTACATTAAACAATCTACCAAAGGTAGCAACCATACATTTATATTCTACAAATGATAAAAATCACTGAATTTTACACTGAAAAAATATTCACGTTTTTATAACATGCTGATAAAATGTTGAAATAATGAAAATATTTTTTCTAAGTTTACACCAGCTTTAAGAAGGGAACTTTTAAAAGAGTGTGAAGGATCCTTAGAAATTCTGGAGGTTCGGGCCATCCCAGGGGAGATAAATTTGTCAGTAGAGCTGTCCCAGTTACAATCACTAACGCTAGACCAGGGGATTCACCTCTCCACTCTGTGTAAGCTGGTCTTCATTGTAATCAGTATCAACTCTAACACCTCAATGACCGAAAGTCATTTTGTTTGTTATAGTCATATGATGCTTATATTTGTCTTTTTTACAGGTATCAAGTGTCCAAAGCTATCTTCTCTTCGAGTGCAAGTAAGTCCTGTCAGTGCAACAATAAACACGTTTTGAAATAATTATGCAAAACGAATTTGAGATTTTGATGACTATATAAAATGATTATTAGTAATAGTACATGTATGAATCATCTTTTTCTTATTTTGAAGGGCTGTCCTAAATTGTCTCATCTTGAGATAGAAATAGAAAAGCTGTCCCAGATTCAAATTCACCACAGTGCAAGACTTCAGGCTCTCCGTCATATGTCAATAAAAATCCCCACTATCAGGCGCTTATCCACTGTACTAGCTCATGTAAGTTAGCTTATCCACTGTACTAGCTCATGTAAGTTAGCTTATCCACTGTACTAGCTCATGTAAGTTAGCTTATCCACTGTACTAGCTCATGTAAGTTAGCTTATCCACTGTACTAGCTCATGTAAATTAGCTTTTCCACTGTACTAGCTAGCTTAACAAGTATACTAGCTTATATAAGTCAGCTTATCAACTGTACTAGCTCATGTAGGTCAGCTTATCCACTGTACTAGCTCATGTAAGTCAGCTAAGAAACTGAACTAGCTCATACTAGTCAGCTTATATACTGTCCCAGCTCATGTAAGTAAGCTTATCCACTGTACTGGCTCGTACGTTAACTTCGAAACTGAACTTGCTCATGTAAGTCAGCTTATCCACTGAACTAGCTCATGTAAGTCAGCTTATCAACTGTCGTAGGTCATACAAGTCAGCTTATCAACTGTCCTAGCAAATAAATGTCAAACTATCCATCACATGTCAAAATTTTAAATCATGACTGTCAGACACTTATCAGCTTTAGTAACTCAGTTTAATTATAAATTCAAAGCATTGGGCACCTTTCAACTTATTAACTTATTAGCCAGCTTATCAATTGTACACTGTACTATTAAGCAAGTGTATGAACTGAGTTAGCTTATGTAAGTCGGCTGGTAAATGTAAAAAACCCAGAAATTTCATTGTGCAGGAGGTGGAGTCTATGTTAATGAGAAGAAATTCATTTTTTTTCAGTATACCCCAAATTTACAGTCACTGACTCTTGAGGGAAGTAAAACTTCTAAAGGTATGTAAACATATTGTTTTTTAATTAATTATTAATCAATCAATAGTAGTATATTTTACTGCCTAAATACTTCCTAAATGTCAGAGAAATACCTTGTAAATGGAGCATGGTTTATTTGCAGAGGAGATTGTGAAACTAGGCAGATTACTGTGCTGCTTAGAAAAACTTATTTTAAAGAACTGTGTCGAAGAGAATTTTTGTGGTGAAAGGTTTAATCCTTTATTTCTTGGACGAAGGAATAATATTCCATTGAATGTGTTAAGGACTTGATAGTGTGGACTGCTTTTATGTTCTGTGATATGAAATTCATCATTTGGATAATTAATATAAACATACATGAAACAAACATTTGTTTGGGAAAGAAATGTCCAATTTTGTTTTGCATTTTTGCCTAAAAGGAAATGGAAGTATACTGGATGTTATAAACACATTGCTGCTTTCTTATATTCAACTCTCTTCAGATGATGAAAATGTTACACCATCAAGTTTCAAGGAAAAAAACATACTATTTTTAAGTAGAGTACATGTATATGCAATAAAATAATTATAAATGCGCAATGACAGTTATTGTTATAAGGGAAAATATGCTCAGAAAATATATTTTTCTCCCTGTTATGTTTACTTCCTGAAAAGAAACAAGCAAATCACTTGTTTTAAAATAATAAAAAGATTTACTCAGAACAGAAATAGTATTTTGTCTGTTACACATAAGACTCATATATCTCCATGGACACACTTTCTGACATGGAGGGTAGATCAGTCAGACGTAGGGGTGATGTGGGGGCGTAACGCTTGGTGTGTCCATTTATTGTGTACGTGATGAAGACGACTTTGAACTGTACACCATGGGTCACATCAATAGAGGCTGGGTCATACTCAACCTATTAATGTCAATTCCATAATACTATGTCTGATGTTTTTGCAGAGCAGATAATTTCTCTCTTCTCGAATAATGAAAAACTGAAATCTTGAAATCAGAAGTAGACTATATTTTCATATTTTCGTGAGGTCAAATTTTTGAGGTTTGAGAAAAATATATTAGATTTTGGGGATTTGATTTTCGTGTTTGGAATAAATTAAGTAAGTAATGCATATAAATTTGTAAATTTTGTGGTGTTCATTAATTCATTGGTCTTTCCCTGCCTCGAAAACAACGAAAATAAACCCCGCACGAAAATTAGTGATTTCACAGTTTTCTGTGTAAAATTCATGTTTGGCCCACCTTTTGTATTATGGTTGAATTCACAGCAGAAGAGTAGATATCTTTCATGTGGTCAATTTCAGTGAGGATAGCATTATGGCGAGACATGAACTCAGATCCGCACACTATCAAATTAAAAAAAGTTTTATTATATTGGCACAATGAAATTTTCATGTATTTATACTTTAAACTTTTGTAATACTTTTGTAATCCTGAATTTACTTCAACATTGAAATGAAGATAGTTTAGATTAAGCGATTTATAAATACGGATAACATGCAAATCAGGATAAAGTGGCAACATAAAGAAAACGTGAAAAGAGTGTTGTCTCAATAGGAGAGAAAAAAATTCTTGGAGGGACTTGAAACAAACTGAACATAACTTTCCTCAATGTGTGCGTGTTTGTGTTTGGAAATTACCTACCATAGGCGTTTGCAATAATTTTCACTGTATGTGTGTTTGCTAATGTTTCAGATCTATTTACCGTTTGTAATAATTGCCTCTGTGTGTATCTTTGTGTGTGAGAGCTACCTACCGTTTGTAACAATTTCGTCCGAGTTCTTGCTGTTAATCTTGTCACAACTGGGACAGGCCGACCTCTTCCTTCCAAAAATATCTAGTAATTAACGACAATGATTAATTTAATTATATCATAGGAAACTGTAATTTCTCTTCCAAAATTGTTACTCAGAATTCACTTTAGCTCACAAAATTTCCATTTTACAATTTTAACAATTAAATTGATGCAGAAAATCAGCTGCATATGTGCATTTATTTTGTTTTGTAATTGTATTGTGCTAAGAATGAACAATACTAATAGAAAACCCCGTCTTTTAGATGAAATAAATATGTGGCGATAACAAACAGTATTCGAGCTCAAAAGTCCATTAAACATTACAAAATATGAGCAGGGAACACATGGACCTCCAAAACATCAAACTTTAGGTAGGATCAGGTGCTATGGAGGAGTGAGTATCCTCTGCCGACCGGTCAGAACTGTTGTTCCTATCTCCTTGACATGATCGGGAAATAACGGAAAAATCCATGGACAACTCAGCGTGTAAATAATGTTTGAACAGTTAGTATGAAAAAATTCAGTCATCGATTGACTTAATGAAACATTGTATTTGCTGAAAACGTCATTGTATCGACCATAGAATGTACGAATTGATGACTTTGTATGAGGCTGCTGAAATTTTTTTGTCAGCAACTTTTTTGTCATTTACTTACTGGTACCTCTTTTCAAATATTGTGAATTAAATTGTTCATACGTTGAGCATGCTCTTCCGGATCGAATCAACTGAGATATATACACTCCGTAAGCAGTTGACAGAGGTATATTGCTTCATAAGTAAGGGAAGTTGACGATAGAAAAGTTAAAAACATCACGTTTATCATAAAGCTTTTTTGTTAGATGACCATTAACTTTCTTTTTCTTGTAAAAGATTCAAATATGAAACAGATGTGTCAGACAGTGTGAATGGAAATAGCTATTGTTAATTGACAATACGTCGTCGATATATCTTAATGTAGAGGCCACGGCAAGTGTTTTCTTTTGGTGGAAAAGATTTTGAACAAATCCTGCTTCATATCAGTACAAAAATAGATCTGCTAACAACGGGGCGCAATTGGTACTAATGGGAATTCCAATAGATTGTTGGAAGATCTGGTCTCCAAAAACCACATAGAAATTGTCAATCAGAAACTCGAAGATCTTTTAATCAACTTCAGAGTACTTGTGTGTACAATTAGAATGTTTTTAACAAAGTAATTTTGCAAATGACCATGGACAAGTTAAGTAAATGTACGACTTTCATTTTTATTGAAAAAGCAGCAGTCAATGATATCAAAAAGCCTGGACTTTAATTTATCGTGGGGAATAGTTGCGTATAATGTTGAAAAGTCGTAAGTTTTTAAGCTGTTGATTTTTGTAAAATTTTGTGATTTCAAATGGTCCAAAAGTTCCTTGGAATTTTTAAGCATCCACATCTGATTTACACTACTTCTAGTACTTCTACGTATACTGAACATACTCTTGAATTAAAGTTTCTCCTTCACTACTGTCACCGTAATATCTTAGTGAAGAGTAAAGAAGGAGGCTCGATGGAATATTTACTGGGACCCGCAATGTATCTATGTCTGTAAGGATATTTTATGAAGTTTCGGTTTCGAATAAAGATAAGGTAGTTCAAGTTCATTTTGGTTGTTTGGAATATTAAATATATTCAAAACTGACATGATTTTTAAGAATTTCCTCCGTAGAAAGGGATCTATGAGTATAAGTTGGATTATCACTTGTAGAATTGAATCCAAGTTCCTCTAAAATACATTTTCTATAACGAGACTTACAGACGAAGACTGTGTTGTTACCTGCTTTGTAAGCAGGGACCAGTACGTACTGATCATGTAATCTAACTAATTCTTTTTTCACTTCTCTATCATTGAATACAGAAGGAAAGATGGTTTTTTTTTTTATATTGCCCCTTAGTCGCTTAATGTGCGATGAAATCATTTCTTGATGAAGGCAAGGAAATCATCAGGTTTGCCAAATGATATTTTCCCCACTAAATTGCGAAAGAGGCCTCGATATTATCATTAATAAGAACGTTCAACATTAGAGGAGACCGATCTGAAGTTATTGATGATTTGTTAAAGACAATAATAATTTATTGGAGAGAATAATTTATCTGCTCTTTGCGATAACCGTGGTAGAATTTAGTATAACTGTACAAGTATATGACGGTCGTCCGCGTTGTGCAGTGGTTAGAGTCGCGAATTAAGGAGTTGATCCTTATGTCGCGGGTTCTAATCCCACTGTGGGATATGGATACCGGTCCTTCGGATAAGACGGTATTAACCGAGGTCCCGTGTCGCAGTAAGTGCTGGCATGAAAAAAATCCTTCACTGCTCAATGGCCCTGAGCGCTGGACATAGAACAAAATTTGCAGCTCTCCACCGGTGGTGGCGTCTCCATATGAGTGAAAAATTATCAAGAGGGACATTAAACAATATACAGTCAATCAATCAATCAATCGTATATGACCGTTCATAGTCTAGTCAAGATAAAACTGAAACCGAAACTCACCATGAAAACAAAGAAATGGATATATTAAAAACTATTTTGTAGAGTGTTATATTTATGAGAACTAATGCATTGCGATATTTAGATTTTGTGACGTAATGTATCCCTAGAATAAGTAAAAAACGTTGTCTTTAAAGTAGGTTTCTTTCTCTTTCTCCTTTTTCGTACTTACGCCCGATATGATGTCCAATACTGCTTATCCCACTAGATATAGAATGTACTGCGTCCTTGGCTCCACTAGCGATACCATTGGCAACATCCGTGGCACCACTAGCGATGTTGTTCAGTAAATCTTGAGCCCCACTTACTAACCCAGAACCGATATTCTGGAGGCTTCCCCCGATTTGGTCTGTGAACAGGTGCCCTAGATCCCCCACAGCCCCTTTCAAGGAAGATCCGATGTCAGACGTTAGTGACGTGAGTTTGTCACCAAGCTGTTTAAGACCACTTACTGATGTAGAAAAGGCATCCTTCGCACCTCCTTTTATAAATGATACCAAGAAACAATTCTGTTAGTCAAAGTTTGTAAGGGAAAAACCTGAAGTTTACGTAGTAGGCAAGCAAAATTAAAGTTCATAGAAAGTTAATATTTTTAAGAACATGATACATTGACTACAATAAATGTTTTACGATTCCAGATTCATTGAAGAATAAATTACATATATTTGTTAATTGGTGTAGGATAAGGAGATAACGAACAGTATTCAATATCAAAATCCATAAAACAATACAAAACAGGAGCAGAGCAAAGACGGACCTCTAAAACATCAGGCCTGGCGACCATAAAAGTTAGACGACTAGCTCACTTTTGATCTCGGTCTCACCTTTCCAATATATATTCCTTAGAGAAAAAGTGAGACTAAGATCAAAAGTGAGGTCGTCTAAGTTTTATGGCCCCTAGGCCTGAGGTGGGATCAGGTGCCATGGAAGAGTGAGCATCCCCTGCCGACCGGTCACACCCGCCGTGTGCTCCTTTTTATGATCGGGAAATACGGAAAAATCCGTCAATTCAGTGTATAAATAATGTACTAACAATAAGTATGGAAAACGTCAGTCAGCATTTGACTCAATGATAAATTGTATTAGCTGACAAGGTCATTTTATCGAGCAAAGAAATTACGAAATGATGACTTTAAACAAGACTGATATTCTTGTTTCATCAACTTGTCTGTCAAAAACGTACCTCGTTATACCCCCCCTCCCCGCTTGAAAAGCGGGAGGGTATATTGTAATCGGTATGTCCGTCCATCTGTCTGTACGTCCGTCCGTCTGTCTGTTATGCTTGGGTACCCATCTCTTATCCGCAACTCCTCTTATACCGCTGAATTAAATTTGATGAGACTTTCACAGAATCTTTGTAATATAATGCTATTGTACACCTCCTATTTTACTTCTTGATCGGACACATATTTTGGGTTTTCCAGAGCGAAATATTGACACTGCCATTTTTTTTATACGTCCTATACCACTGGACAAAATTTAATGATACTTTCACAGATTCCTCTTTACATGATGTCATCGTGTACCTCCTATTTTACTTCTTGATCTGACACTTATTTCGGGTCTCCAAGAGCAAAACAGGGACTTTGTCATTATAATCATATGGGAGGCGGGGTATCTTTTAGTGAGCTCATTGCTCTCAGTACCTGTAGTTTTAGAAACTGTTCATATGTAGAGCATGCTCTTGCGTATCGAATCAACTAAGATATGTAAACACCGTATGAGGGTATATTGCAGAAAAGTTAAAGTCATCACGTTTATCATAGAACTTGGTTGTTAGATTACCATTAGCGCCCTTTTCAAGTAAAATACCGGTATCCATGTATGAAGCAGATATGTCAGACTCTGTGGTATCTTTTATCTCAAGCTCCCCAGGATATATCGTATCGGCATAGGTATGAAAATTACCATTGTTAATTGACAATACGTCGTCGATATACTAAGTATCTAAATGTTGAGTTGAAGGCCACGGCAAGTATTTTCTTCTTTTCGCGGATATGATGTTGCATAAATTCTGCTTCAAATGAATGCAAAAATAGGTCTGCTAATAACGGTGCGCGATTGGTACCCATTGGAATTCCAATAGATTGTTGGAAGACCTGGTCACCAAAAACCACATAGATGCTGTCAATCAGAAACTCAAGCATCTTTTTGATGTGTGCAGTCAGACTGTGTTTTAACAAAATAATTTTGCAAATGACCGATAACCAGGAAAGTCAATTTACGAGTTCCATTTTTATTGAAAAAGCAGTTGTCAATGGTATCAAAAAGCCTGGACATTAATTTATCGTGGGGAATGTTTGTGTATAAAGTTGAAAAGTCGTAAGATTTTCTTTAATAATGTTCACAACATTTTTTTTTAATTTGAGCAAAATGCATGTAGATATGGTTTAATCAAAAACCTATTTAACTTACCAAGCAGAGTTTTGCCTGCATTTTCTGCTACACTGCCTATATCGTGAACCAGCTTTGTTGTTTTCTTGCCTAGTAATTTAATGGCGGGGCTTGACGTCACCGTGCTGGCTACGAAATCCAAAAGTTTTCCAGCCGAGAGGGAGGGTTCTAGAATCACAGGCAACACCACATCTAGGGGATTACTAACTCGGTGATTGTCGGGGGTGTGACTAAGTAAATGTAAACGGCATTTAGAATTCATTATAAAGAAATCTAGATTGTTAGAATTGCTTAGTTAAAAGGAAATTGCTTTTGAAATCAAAATAGTTTAATGAAAAAAATCCTTATGAAGAAAAGAAGTACTGCCGCATCAGTGTGACCTAAAATAAAAAAGAAAACAGTCTTCATCAATTGTAGAACTGTTAATTTAATAATATTACCATATTTTATTGTTTATAATTGACAAAAAATTACTAGATGTTTAGAAATAACCCACCTTTTTAAATTGTAACACGCATTTGAATATAAACCGAGGCTGTTGCGAACAGCTTGAATTGTTAATGTTTCTGTCACTGATAATTAATAAGAAATGTATTATTTATTTCATAACAATATTATCTCTTGATAATAGCATAAATTATGTTTAAAGAATACTCGGTATTAGTTTTGAGAACGGTTTGATATATGCATCGCAACAACCCTAATTCATATCGCAAAATGACCACATCATCTTTGGCAGCATCCTTTTCCCTCCAAAACGTACTGTGCTCTGAAATACACACAGGGATCAATTAAAGAATAAAGAATAGGTAATTTCAGAATTTGATGTGTTCTTTAAGTAACAGTTGAAATCTTACCCTTCGCATGATCTGCAGTTGTCTGCGGTGTGATTCACTAGACTTGCGCAGTCGTACTGCATTTGGCTCTGGGCTGTGATGGAGTCATTGACACGATCCACAACCATAAACACCAGGTTCTGGCGAACCAGCTTATCAAATTCTACAACAAAGATGGTTAAATTAATAATTAAGGTAAATGTCTAGAATTTCATACAGAATATATAAATACTCGTCGTTATCTTCACGTATTTCATTTGATCCTCTAGACATTGCAGATTTAATCAGTTCATTAATAGATCACCTTAGTCTCTCTGGTGACTTATTACCTTTTTTGGTCTTTCGTATTTTTTGTCGTCAAAAATGTATCTCATCTGCTTCTTTAACATCTTTTTAGCTACTTTAAACAGTTTTAGAACATAGTATGGTAAAGGGGAACAAAACTACTGTAATTCTTTGATATTCAATTTTTAAGAAACCTCGACTTAATGGATAGGTTCAACTCAAATATTTATTCAATTCAGTCTTCCAAAATTTTAAAATAATAGAAATTTCGAAAATTGTACGATCATGGCAACGTGGATGAACCATTTACCAAAATGAGGGAACTGATTTCTGTAGCTTTAAGGTTCTCGCGCCATTTTCAGGTTAATTTGATTGTTTTGATACATGGCATATGATCCCACCTCTGAGGTTTTAGAGGTCAGTGTTTGCTCTGCTTCATAAGTATTGTTTAATGAACTACATGTATTGTCGTTTTGAGCTTGAATACTGTTCGTTTTCTCCATAAATTTCATACATTTCCACATGTCTAAATGGAGAACCTTTCTCAGAAAAAAATATGAAGATAGCAAAATTTTAGAATGTATATTTTGTGATTTTTTTAAAGAATCGGGCTGCAATATAGAGCCATATGTTGATCACATTTAGCACTCATTGATATTCAGCAGACAAAATTCAATCATTTCGATAACACAGGGAGAGTTTCAAGTCTCTATACCAAGAGTTCGCGTTCTAGAAAGTTTACTTTATCATATGATGCCTAACTGGCGATACCGTTTCTACCATATTCAGTTAAGCATTAGAGTCCTCTCGTTAAACTAGATAGTTTGAAATCTTAATAATGTTTTTGTGCCGTTAATTAAATTAGACTGTATGAATTTTTGTGCAGTTAATTTAAATATGCAGCAAATGCTTCAAAAATACAGAAAAATTGTGCTCTCACCTTGTAACGAATATGCATCAAGCTCTGTCAATGCGGCTTGGCATGAAATGCCGGCTAGAAGAAATTCAAAAACGACCAACAGATGTTTAGACATGGTGAACAAACAGGTTCTCCAACTGTTGGTCAAGATAAAGGCTGAAATACCTTATCTACCATGACGTACTAAGGCGTAAGTATGAACTGTTAAACGGTTTTGTCTTATACATGTTATTAGAATATATTTAATGTTTTTAATGATTTAATTCATTTTTGAATTTTAGTATAGGAATAAATTTTGCAGTTGTTGCAGAAAAAATACAAAGTAGGATGTGACTGAAATGGTTACCAAAGTTTTGCATAGACATAAAATAATAGATAGGGTGGGGCTACAATATATGATCAAATTTTTATACAGGAATATTGAGGGAAAAGAATATGCTGGTGAACCAGAAAGGTCGTGGTTACTCAGGTGAGCGCGGTGGCTCATGGACCTCTTGTTTGAATCTTTCTTTTATACTGGAGAACAAGAACAATAAACATCCATTAAATATTGAAGGGTTATTGAAAAGGGAAAAATTTCCTCTTCCGTATGTTTGAATAATGTTTTAATTTAATTTCGTAGTATGTCAGATAAGTACAATATTATAGACGATTTAATTTTGGACATGTGACAAAATGTTAAACATCACGAACAAAATTAGTGACAATGTTCACACATTGGAGATTCTGAAAAACAAATTTATTTCATTTCATTCAGATAAAAATAACACAGAATGCCATGATAACACATAATAAAATATAACTATAAGCTTATTGGTAGGAGACATTATGCTACATGGCCCCCAGGGGTTAGGATGTGGCCACAATGAGGAATCAAAGTTATGCATAAGAATTATCAGGTTTGGTTTGACTATTAAATTGATAGCCATAATTTTATAAAAAATATATATTTTTTCTTTTTAGCTCACCTGAGCCGAAGACTTAAGTGAGCTTTTCTGATCAAAATGTGTCCGTTGTCTGTCGTCGTCGTTGTAAACTTTTCACATTTCCATCTTCTTCTCAAGAACCAACGCACCACTTGCAACCAAACTTGCCACAAAATATTCTTGTGTAATTCAAGTTTGTTCAAATGAAGGGCCAAGCCCTCTTCCAAGGGGAGATACTTATGAATTAATGAAAAATTAATAGCATCTTTTAAAAGTCTTATCTATTGGGCCAGGAAAGATGAAATTCAGTGGAAGCATCCTCAGGTAGTGTAGATTCAAGTTTGTTAAAATCATGACCCACAAGGATAGGGTGGGCCACGATGGCTGATCAAGTTTTACGTTGGAATACGTAGGAAAAATCTTTTAAAAATCTTCTCAAGATAATCAAAGCCATGCATGGTGATATTAAAATATGGAAACATCCCCAGTTAGCGTTAATTCAAGTTTGTTCATATCATGTCTGCTGGGGGTAGGGTAGGACCATAATGGGCAATCAAGGCTTTACATACAAATATATATGAAAGATCTTTTGAAAATCTTCTCAAGAACAGCAAAGCCATGGCTTGATTGGTTATATTCATATGGAAGCATACTCAGGTAGTGTAGTAGTTTCAAGATTGTTCAAATCAGAATTCTTTGGGGGGGGGGGGTAGCGTGGGAACACAATGTGGTACTACAGTATCAATTTTTACGTAGGAATATATACTAAAATATCTTTAAAAATTTTCTGGAGAACATCAAATCCATGATTAGTATTTTTTTTTATATGGAATTAATGGAAGCATCCTCAGGTGGTTTAGATTCAGATTTGTTCAAATTATGACCCCCAGGGGTTAGGATGTGGCCACAATGAGGAATCAAAGTTATGCATAAGAATTTCCCGGTATAGGAAAAAATCTTCCCCAGAACAGAAAAGTGTTGTATAGTCCAGTTGACTTGTAAGCATATGCAATTAATGAAAATTTAAATCTATTCAAATACTAGTAATGTCGCGGGGGGAGGGGGTCACCATGGGAGATCAAGTAATATTTTGGAAAAATCTTCAAAAATCTTTTCAAGTAAGGCAAAGTTATACATGTATGCTTTATTGATGTAGTGGCATTCTCAAGTAATAGAAAATTCAAATCTCCCCTTCCCCCAACAACTAAACTTTTTAATATTGAGCTGATTTGTGTTTTTTAAACTAGCCCATTTGCTCAGGTGAGCGATTTGGTCCATGAGCCTTTTGTTTCTATTACTGATTGTTGTTAACGAAATTTCTCCGAAAAAATTTTGGTTCCTGTATTTATCAGAAAACTTCCGAAAGTCTAGCTGGATTCTCAGTAAGTTTCATGTGAAATCATTCAAATGTTTTTCTTTTTATAAACGCTAAAATGCATTTGGAGACATAAGGTTAGAATTGGAACATCACTGTCCACCATAGCATAGCTTGTAGAGAGAACTGATATTGCTGGTAAGTTTTACATGACATGTGTACAGTGCTTGCTTAGTAAATATTAAAAACTTTCACTTTAGCTAATGTTTTTACTTCCCCTTGATGGACATTTCTCTCCACGATCCACACCCTGTCATCACAATCAACACAAATACCCCAAGGCTGTGATATCTGACTAATGGAGGAAAGGATAAAGGTAACAAAATGTCCTTTCTCATCTAGTAAATGAACAGTGTCGTTATTCACGTCAGCAACCAAGATATTTCCGCGACTGTCTGAATCAATTCCACGTGGAGCAAATGCTTTTATTCCTGCGCTTTGAATTCCTACGTACGTAAATCGAATGATTCCATTCCTCTTCAAACCAATGACACCATGTCCAAAGTCTGACACACATATATCTAAGTTAATTTTATTTTCACATATATATCTCGGCTGAGAGAAAAGAGGATTTCCACTTTCATCATAAAGGAATTCTTTTACATCTCCAGGTTTGCCAATGACAACAATTTTACCAGACGAAGGTTCTTGATTCGTCTTGGGGTAAGGTGCAAGACAAATCATATATTCACCTATGCGTGATTGATAGATTCCCCATGTTTCATAACCCTTTGCACTGAAAATTAATGTTTTAAAATTTGTCATCTGTATTATGTCTGGGGCATTTATTTGAGAAGCTTGGTATCTGGACTCAAGTTGTTTCTTTCTAACCACTTGTACTTCAAAAACACAGCTATTATTATCTGCAAAGACAACATTATTCTTTGAAGATACAGTTAGACCCTGTGGTTCACTTCCAACATTACAAGTTGTAAAATCTACTTTGTCTTTGAAAATATTGGTGTAAAACGAAATTATTTTCCCCGCTCCACTAATGAAAACACCTGTCAGTGACAATTCTTTACAGTATACAATATGATAAAGATAGTTCAGGCTACTTTTAAACTCCTTGATGCACTCCGGATATTCGCGTAGTCCTTTTGTAGTTCTTCGAATGTTGTCATATTTGAGGGAGTTGGAAGGTCTGCTAAGGAAAGTCAGCAAACGATATGGTTACGCGTTTGACCAGGGGGTTGGCGCACATCTGATTTAAGGGTACGTCGTCCAATCTCTGTTTTATTATAAGCAGGAATGAATAATATATTCACACATGGTTTTTGTCATCGATTTGAAATATTTCAAATTTTCATTTTTGAAAATTGCTAAGTCTATGGGATCTAAAGTATCCATGATATATTCACACGTCTGTATCATTTCTGTAAGTTCGGTATTTTCTTGATCTAGTTCTCGCAGATATTCACTGACATTGTCATTGTATGTCTTCTCCAAATTATTCACCTCATCATGCGTAGTCCGATAGATATCATCTATCATACGCTTTAGTTCTGTCGCTCTTTTTTCCAGATTCACTTTTGCTTGTTGAAAGCACTGCGATCGGTTTAAACCTGCTCTTCCATTGTCAGTTTCTGTTCCAATCTTTTTCTTTCTCTTGTTCAGATTTTCTATTTTTTCTATCATGAATCTTTTTGTTTCGTCACAAAATTCTCTAAGATTTGTTGATTTGTGGTCTCTATGGCTCTTGATTTTGCACTCTGGACATATTGGCAGGCGACACGTTTTGCAAACTTCTTCATAGCAGTTCTGCGGATGATTTTTACATTTTTTACCTGCGATTTCCCTCTCGCTGTAAAGAACTGTTACGTGGTGTGCATACGTTGCATCTTTTTTGTGATTTTCATGACAATTCAAGCACAATTCATCTCCACAATTTTTACAGTAATATACGGCTGGGGTTGGTTTCACGCAGTATTTACACCGTACAACATCCTGTGCTTGCTAGCTCGATTGATGAACCAGTTGCCATTACAAACAAGAAAGCAATTTTCTCTTTTAAAGATAAGGAAACTCTTTAGTTAAATGTCATGGTACCCATAAAGTCAAAAATATAGGTCAAGAACAATAATTAATCGATCCATCTCATATAATCTTTATATAACACAAGTATAGCTATTTATTTTGTTTTTAGCTTACTATGTACACACAACAGAAAATTCCTTTTAATTGCATAAAATCCAGAGATTTTAAAATGCAAATACAATCCTGTACAGTTTACCAATGCACCGTTTGCTCATGCATAAAACTTTAAATTCCGTAACGTTCAATAAACAATCCGTAACTAGCGTGTATATGCCAATTCAATACACTTCGTATATCATTAAGTGCATTTAAATTGCCCATCGTTTTTTTTAGTTAGATCGTATGCAGAGACACTTGAGTCTCTATGCAGGTCACAAAATTTTAGACTGAATTTAATCATACAATCTTGAATGACAAGTATCCTGGTACCCGAGGTCTTCCAAAGTGCAAGCACGAACTTAGAAGACCTAAGGTACCAGTCTAACGTTTGGACAGTAAGTCCCAGAGATTTTCGATTGAAGAAAAAAGATAAAATTTACGAATATAATTTTAAATACTTTTAATATCCCAAACAACCTAAATTCATTTGAATTACCATATCTATATTGGATTCCGAAATTTCATAAAAATCCTTTAAGGACAGATGATACAAACAAAAAAATGGATGCCTGGATTGGTATATATTTTTCGGCCTAATTTCATTGCAAATGATGCAAGTAATAAATTTCTAGAATATTAAGAAATTGTAAACCTTCTGTGATGTTCAAAAGTGTGCCCTTCTGAAACCATCCTTATTTATCTATACAAATATTTTTCAGTTCAAATTACATTTTTGTGCAAATTTAAATAAAAAAAATAAAAACTATGCGGTGAACGTTATTCATTTTATTCATTTAAACATGACCCAAGTTGTAATTTTCAAATTCTTGGACAAAAGTTTGTTTGTATCATCTGTCCTTAAGTTACAAACAAAGATAGCTAGCGAGTTTCAAGCCTCACTAAGATATTACAGTAGTGAAGGAGAAACGTCAAGAGTACTGCGCGACAATATACGAGAAGTGATGTAAATCAGATGTGGATACTAAAAAATTCTTAGGAAATTTTGGAACATTTAAAATTACTAAATTTTACTAAAAATCAAAAACATTTTGAAAAAAAACTTTCATATACAACTATTCCCCATGATAAATTTAAGTCCAGGCTTTTTGATATTATTGACAGCTGCTTTTCAATTAATATGTAACTCGTACATTTATTTACCTTGTCCTTGATCATTTTGTTAAAAAAGTTTCTGATTGTACACACAAGTACTCTGTAGTTGATATTAAAAAGATTCTTGAGAATCTGATTGAAAATATTTCTGTGGTTTTGGGGGATCACGTACCAGGGGTATTCTAACAATATACTGTATAAGTACTTTTTCCGCGTGGTATTAATTAATGCTATGTACGCGGTCAAAAATTTTCCGCGGAAATTTGTCAAAGCGTACTTAATATAAAAAATGTAAGGCATAAAGTGACAGTCAAGAAAATCCGCGTAATTTTCTACCCCCGGATTAAACAGAAATTGAGATTCCGCGGAATTACAACCCCGCGGAAAAAAGTACGTCTACAGTATTGGAAATTCTATGGGTATCAATTGCACCCGTTATAAGCAGACCTATAATTTTTGTATTCATGTGAAGCAGAATTTGTCCAAAATCTTATACGTAAAAAGAGGAAACCGCTCAATGTGGCCTTCAACTCGACATTTAGATTTCGACGACGTATTGTCAATTAACAATGGCTATTTCCATTCTTATGCCGATTCGATATATTCCGGTAAGCCTGAAAAAAAAATATAAAGTCCGACACATCTGTTTCATATTATTTCTATATATTATATAACTTTGTGAAATCCGGTAATCTGATTGGTCAATACGAAGTACTTATTTTTTAATAACGACCGCTGAAAGCGAATAATGACTCGCACGAGCTGCCTCGTTTTCACTTTCACTTTAGACAAACATGGAAGTTCGCAAGTTGAAGGTGAGGAAAATTTAAAACATATAGTGAAGAACTCTGAGACTGATAATACAAACCAATTACTAGGATATTTGTGAATATTTTTCGGGAATAATTAGCACATACCATTTCATGGTTGAGTTCGACCTTTCCACTCAGCGAGCAGAGTTTTGACGCTGTTTACGCGATTACGGAGACTAAAGAAAATATAGACAAGCATGCCATGTAAGATTGTATCTATTCTTAGAAGACATACTAGGTATTTTATATTTTGTCAGTGCATTTCGTCTGCAAGTGTAAACGAGAGCGATTCTCAATCTGTGGGAGGGGGTGCTCTATGTTATTCGGAGATAGATATCTTGCGTCATTATTATGATATGGGAAATTTATGCCGAAACAATTTCCTCTTATATTCAATAAATTCTAAAACATTTACATTCAACTTATTTATGGTTAATACTATCTCTGTAAATAATAGGATGATATACATTGCACAAATAAATTTGGGAAATTATTATTTATATAATATAATAAATATGGACTCAATGCACGGTCAATATGCATTTATAATGACCCAGGAGACAGATATTGACCTCAGATACATGAAGTATTTCGACCTCGGGCTAGCGCCCTCGGTCGATATACTACATGTATCTTCGGTCAATATCTGTCATCCTGGGTCATTATAAATGCATATTGACCTACATTGAGTCCATATTTGTATAACAGTAATTGAGAAAGACGTTAATGGTAATCTAGTAAACAAGCTTTATGACAAACGAAATGACTTTAACTTTTCAATCGTCAACTCCCCTTACTTTATACCTTCATCAGCTGCATACGGGTTATTATCTCTCAGTTGAGTCGATACGCAAGAAGATGCTCTACAATGATTAACATTATTTGAAACGAGGTAATTAATTGACAAACAAGTTGCTGAAACAAGAATATCAGCAGTCTCGTTTAAAGTCATTATTTCGTAAGTTCTCTGGTCGATACATTGACCTTGTCGGCAAATGCAATTTATCACTAAGTCAAATGCTGACTGACGTTTTTCATACAAATTGTTTATCCATTACATACTCACTGAATTATTGTCGATAGACAAATGCACCTGATCCCACCTCTAATGTTTGCGCTGCTCTTATTTTGTATTGTTTAATGGACTTTTGAGCTTGAATCCGTCTGTCCAGCTTTACGTCCATCTATATATCTTTTCATATTTCAACTTTTTCTCAAGAACCACTTTTAACCAAATTTGTTTTTTTTTTTCGTTTGTTGTTTAATGTACCTCTTGAGAATTTTTCACTCGTATGAAGACGCCACCATTTGCCTGCAAATTTTGTCCTTTACTCGGCATTAATAGGCCCAGTGAGCACTGAGATAAAACCTATCTTTTTCGTGCCAGAACCTACTGCGACACGGGACCTCGCTTTATAGGTCTTGGTTGAAGGACCGGTCTCCACGTCCCACATTGGGATTCAAACCCGCGCCAAATTTGGTAAAAATCAATTCTTTTCGAAGGGGAATTTAAATTATTAAAATGATGGACTATGACCCCTTACAAAGGGAGATAATGAAGTTATGACAAACATAGGATTGCGTCATTAAATTTTTTTATCTCAAGAACCACTTTGACAAAGAAGCTGAAACTTATATGGAAGCATTCAGATCAAGAAGTCTAGATTTGAAATTTTCATACCATGACCCCGGGCGTGCTTTTGGGCAACGATGGGAAATTAAAATTTTCTAGAACCACGCAACCAGACAAGCTTAAACTTGAAGCATCTTGGGATAAAGTAAATTCTAAACTTCTGAATATTTCTTTGAAAATCTTCCTCTCTTAGACTATGGCGTCTAGGAGGCAAACTGTTTGAACGAATTTGATGTTATCCCTGCATTAAAAATTCAGATCCAGATTGGGGATTGAGTTGAATTGATGACATTGTGTTACAATTTGAGATGAATCCGAAGTTTATAGCACGAATAAAACAGAATTGCTCTTTAAGCATTCTTTTAAACCGGCTTAAAAATTCTTAAATATGTACCTTGTTTGTTTTAACATCCTATCGAGAACTATTTTACTCATATTGAGATGCCACCATTACTAGTTGAAGACAGTAATTTAGACATGCACTCGATACTTACTGCCTTTAACATGTTTAAGCATTGAGGGATCTATTTCGTACTAGCACCTTTTGCGACACGAGATTTCAGTTTATACAGTCTAATCAAAAGGAACGATCACCTTGTCCTTCAGAGGGATTCAAATCCGCGATGTAAGGATCAAATCATAACTCCGCCTCCAGATAGTTGAATTTAGGTTTTTACAAGTCATTGCCTCAGGGGCTAGGGACAGTACATGTACCAAAGTAGTGTTCTGAGAATGAGAAATACATTTTTAAATGAAATACTTGTATATGGAGATAGCAAACAGTATTCAAGCTGAAAAGTCCATTAAACAATACGAAATTGGAGCAGAGCAAAGAGGGACCTCAAAATAAACTAGAGGTACTGTGAGCAATGAGCTCACTATATGACACCCCGCCTCTCATATAGTTATAATGGCAAAGTCCATGTTTTGCTGTGGCCGGGAAACCCAAAATAGGTGTCGGATCAAAAAATAAAATAGGAGGTGCACAATGGAAATATGTAATACAGATTCTGTGAAAGTTTCATTAAATTTCACTTAGTGGTATAAGAGGAGTTGCGGATAAGAGGTGGGTACCCCAAAGCGTAACAGACAGAAGGACGGACGGACATACCGATTATAGTATACCCTCCCACTTTTCAAGCGGGGGTATAATCAGAGGTGAGATCAGGTGACATGGAGGAGTAAGCATTCCTTGCCGACCAGTCACAGTACCCTCCGTGTTCTCCTAATCATGACGGGGAAATAACGGTAAAATCTGATGACTAATAATTAAGTATGAATATAATGACCTAACAAATAGTATGAAAAATGTCAGTCATTTGACTTAACGTGAGACATATGCATAAGTTTTCACTCTAATGCATATATGTTTTTTTTGTTATTTTCTATTGTTTTAAGATTTTATCGAGAATCTGTATTAACAAAGCTATCGATTAACAATAACAGACAGCTCTAGTCATTGAACAGTATTTATATAACACAGTGTTGTGTAAAAAGACATAAACTCGATTAACAGTATGGCTTTAATGAGACGACTTGGGTGATATCATGACAGTATGTATAGGATCTCATATCTGTAACAAGTATCTATGACAACCGAAGTACGGCATAGGAATACAGTAATTGACACGCCACTGTGTAGTAAGACAGTACCGATGGCGGATTCCAATCTAGATATCCACAAAATTATCGCAGAAAAGGAAAGCATCTTATGAGCGGAAGACCTTCGTCAGAGATGACAACATTGCTGAAATGAAATCTTCTAAGATCGATTGTGACACCCTTGTGGCATTTATTTCCAATTAATAGTCATTTCTACCTGAAACTGATACAGTTATCGTACGTACCGTGCTTTACAAGGGACCCAGTGTTTAAGTCCAAGTAAGTGCCAAAGGATAGTCTTCTTGTTGTTCTCTGTAAAATATATACATGTATACAATTGAATAGAATTATTATTTTTTGTCTTTAACAGAATTTGGATATCTCATTTTTATTCTTTCCTTGTTTTAATTATTGATCAAATTATCATTTTCCCTTTCCTTTAATTCAGAACATCAAAAGAAGTCAGGTCCACGGTAAAGGATTAGCTTCATGACAAGGTAATTCATTTATTACGCATAACATTCTATATCCTCTCCTAATAAACCAATACAATCCTGTCAAAAATGTCATTAAATACGTACGCTTTCGCGTGATATTAAATATTAATTCATATATCTCTGCATCTTCTTCCTTTAATTACATTAAGAAGTTTCTAGTAAATTACATAATCAATCCGATTTCAGTAATAGATTTCCGAAGGAAAATTCTCGCAAATGCATTACTCATATCCGGTCAGCATTAAACACACCATTGCTGCCAATTCCTTTATATATCTGAGTAAAATAAATCACATTAATGAACTACCACCATACAAAAATACTGAAAACTTGCATAACAAAATACATAAAGTCAATGTGATAAAATCAAATTAAAGCTACATTAATATATCAAGACCTATTGATTGAAGTAATTGTTTATTTTCTAATTTAGGTATATTTAAGGGGGCCGGCTATAGTTTTATTGTGTGAAAACTACAATAGCGAAACTCTTCATTCTTATACCATATATAACTTACATTAACTTCAGTGTACATGCAAATTTTGGGGGAAATCTACGACCAGGTATTTTTGAGGGATCGTCTCAAAATACAGGTAAATTTACTGTAGGATTATAATTTTTAGCACTTTAAAGCAAATTATACAAATACTACAATAGACATTTTGTTCGAACTATAATACTTGATGAGTAATATTATATTATACAATATATGTAAGAAACACAAAATTCTACCGTCTTGTTACCAGAGGGGGCATCTCAAAATGCAAAAAATTAGCAAATTTTACTATTTTTATAGAGTATTACAAAATATGACGTACACAATGGATTCACATGAAACCATGATAAAAATATTGGAGATATTCTTACATTTCTATGTTTTAAATTTCAAGAGCGTATGTTAATTACTTTTTCCTTAATAATATTTTTATTACCCCTTTCTTTAAGAGCTAACGTCAAAAACACACTTTAACGACGTCAACCTACCTATCAATTGCAAAATCGGTTAAAAATCAGTTATATCAAATTGTAATTATATTTTTATACCTATAATTTCTTAATTTTGTTTAATTTTAATAAGCAAAAAAAGTTGCATTAAAACAGTAAATACGCTTCATTTTACTATGATGAGCGAAATATTGCGCAATGGAAACTATAGTCGGCCCCCTAAAATACCCGCACTTTCTAATGACAGTTCGGGTGTATTGTTGATATCCCCCTCCTTCCCTCCGTCTGTCGTCACAATTTTCTCTTCCTGTCAGTCCTCGTACAATTCAAGAAGTAACCAATTTATCTTTAGCATGTGTGAGAAGGTTTTCCGAAGGTATGCAATATGGTTCTGGAATTTTCGTTTTGATCCTCGGCGCCAAATGGGAGTTGAAAAACGATGCTTTTTTCTACAAAAACTGGTACCCATAACTCCTCTGACATTTCACGGATTAGTTTAATCGTCATAATTAGATACAGATAATTAAAGATATTTTGTTTAAATGTGCAAAGAGATTTTAGAATTTTAATTTTCAGCCTGGGGATTACGTAGGGGAAAAAATGACGTTTTTCTGCATACAAGCCTAATCATATTTTTAAAGGTATTGTATCATTAAATGTGCAATAAGATTTTCATCTTGGCGGCCGAATGGGGGTGAAAAAATTACGTTTTCATCTTGAGTGAGCTTTACTGATCAAAAGTCTGTTGTCTGTCGTTGTCGTAAACTTTGCAATATTTCATCTTCTTCTCAAGAACCACTTGGCCAATTTCAACCAAACTTGCCACAAAAAATCCTTGGGAAGGGGATTCAAGTTGTTTAAATGAAAGGCCACGCCTTCTTCCAAGGGGAGATAATTATGAAGTAGTAAAATAATTAATGACATCTTTTAAAAATCGTCTGAAAGAAAGATGAAACTCATGTGAAAGCATCCTCAGTTAGTGTAGATTTAAGTTTGTTCGAATCATGACCCCCGGAAGTAGGATGGGCAACAATGGACGATCAAAGTTTTACATAGGAATATACAGAAAAAAGCTTTAAATTTTTTTTTTCAAAAACATCAAAACCATGATTGGTGATATTAATAGGAAAACATCCTTAGATAGTGTTGATTCAACTTTTTTTTTCAAATCTTGTCCCCTGGGCAAAAACTTCTTCTCAAGAACGTAAAACTCATGATTAGTGATATTACTTGTAATATGGAAGAATCCTTAGATAGTGTAAGTTCAAGTTTGTTCAAATCATGACCCCGGGGTAGGGTGGGGCCATAATGGACAATCAAAGATTTAAATAAATAGGAAAGAATCTTTTAAAAATCATCTTCTCAAGTACAGCAAAGCCATAATGGATTCGTGACATTTATATGGAAGCATCCTCAGGTAGTGTAGATTCAAGATTTTTCAAATCGAAACTCTTAGCAGGGACACAATCTGGAATAATTTTTAGCATAGGAATATACATACTAAAATATCTTTACAAAATGTCTGTAGAACAGCAAATCTATGGTTAGTGATTTTTTTAATATGAAACTAATGGAAGCATCATCAGGTGGTTTGGATTCAGGTTTGTTCAAATCACGTCCCCCGGGGAAAGAGTGTGGCCACAATGAGGGATCAAAGTACAAGAATATAAAGGGAAAATATCTTCTTCTCCAGAACAGAAAAAGTTGTGTTTAGTCAAATTGACATGTAAGCATCCGCATATAGTGAAGATTCTTTTTTTTTTTTTTTTTTTTCAAATTATGACCGGGGATAGGGAGGGGCCACAATTGGAGATAAATTTTCTACAGAGTAATACGTAGGGAAAAAAATCTTTAAAGATTTTTTTTCAAGAACGGCAAAGTTATACATGTATGCTACATTGATATGGTGGCATGGTAGTATAAAATTCAAGGCTCCCAGTAAATTTTTCAATTCTTAGCTGATTTGTGTTTTTACCTAGCCCATGTAATATATAATAGTCTTCATTTCCAAAATTGAAGAATTTTTTTTTCACAAATTCTGTTTCCCAAAACTCTTAATACATTTCATCCCGTAGCCATCTTATTTTCTACAAAGTGATCGGGGATTTTCTGTAGATGTCCACTGAGATTTTTTGAGCATTCATTTTCAAACTAACTAGGGCCAACATGAGTCAAAAAACGATATTTTCCATTTAAGATATTGGTTTCCAAGACCCTTTTTACATTTTACGCATTAACTGCAGTGGCTGTACAAGAAACTTTAAATGTCTAATCTACTCTTTAAATTGATTGATATTATAAATCAAAATACGAGTAAAATTGCTTGGACAAATAATGTCAATTTTAAAAGATTCATATCAACGGACTTTCAAATGTTTTGCAAAGTCAAACCTTTAAATGGAACCATTGATTTCTGAAATTTTATTTTTTAGCACCAAAGCAAAAACATTTTAGAAATAAAATTATTTTCCAATAAGAAGAATTTCAAACATCCTTTATCGAAACTGTGAACATTTATTAGAAATACCAATAAAACGTGCCCCTGATCTGGTGAATACATGTATAACTTCAATTTTATTATTTGTCTATTTCCATCTCACACATGCTGCAAAAACTTTTTTTTATTTGTCTTCAATGTTAATGTGTATATTTCTGTATACATTAAAAAGGAGTCGAGATTTACAAATTCAATGTATAATTATTCAGATGTAACCAGATACATGCTTGTATCACTGTCTTGATATTGCATCTAATTAATTACTGATATTTGAGAATATTAAGCAATATTAAGCAATAATCTTCTTAAATAGATAACTAAGTCTATGTAAAGCATATATTCACCATTTCTTTTCTAATTAGTTCTTGACAATTTCGTAAAAGAACATCTATAAAATAGAATTTTCTGGAACGCCAAATTAACACCAGTTTATTCAAATATTTTAACCTTTCTCTAATTAACTGTACTTATCTTTAAATAATTGGAACCAAATCTCCAAATGAATCGAAGGGGTAAAATTGAATTGAAGAAAGGTCTAAAATATGTAAAAAAATTATACCTATCTCTAAAACATTAAATCTTTGTTAAATGAATTACACCTATCTTTAATGGAGTAACATGTGCACCTATTCTAATTCGATTAAAGATAGGCTCAACTGAATTATCAGTATACATGTCTTCAATTCATTTGAAAATAGATACAATTGACTCGGAAATAGGTACAATTGAAACATTGAATATACATGTATATAGATACATTTCAGTTATACCTAGGTTCAATTCCCTTACTGAAAATAAAATACCATTTTAACATCAACTTGAACATAGAGGGAACTGCACAAAGCCTTTTTATGTTGAGTTTATCTTTAAATCAGTTAAACATTTCCTTAATTCGCGGTAATGGTACGTATCTTCAATTAATTTGCAACTATCTTCAAATGGATTGAGGATTGGTATAATTAAATTACACCTAGCTTTAATTTATTTAAAAATAGGTAACTTTGTTTTGAAAATAGATATAAGTGATTTGAAGAGAGTTTCACTTATCTGAAGATAGATTCAAATATTTGAATACACGTTAATTTGAAGTTTCCTTTACTGATATGGCATGGCTTTGTATTTCGTTTTATTTCATTTTTAGTTTGTCATACTATTTTTTTGTATTTAGCCAAAGGTAAATTATCAGTTTGTAACAGGTATGATGTAAGCTTCAAACAGAGATTAATCCTTCGGCATTAGCTGTCCACTGAGCTGACCAGAACCACATGATGGTGATGGCAAGATGGCCGCTGATTCCACAACTGTCTATAAAACAGCGGTACAGAACATCTTAACTGGGAGACTGCAGGAAGTACCAGAACTCCCACGACAGACCGTGAAAATCTACGTGTGTTCCAATTACTCAGGTATTAATGCTCAAGAAAATAATATTTAAAGTTAAGAATATGTATTTATTACGTATTTCAATGAAACTATGTTCAGTGCAATGATTTGCATATTATTTCAAGTGGTACGCCAAAAAATGATTTAAAAAATAGTTTATCATGAACCACTGATTATTGTGATGGTTATTTGATCTACGATTGAGAGAAATTTTGATTACTGATAAATACATAACTTACTCTTCATGATATTGAAACCAGTGTACAAACGCCCTTCAGAGAGAGGAAAATCGTATTATGTCCACTGATGTTCCGTGATTTAATGTTCAGTTTAAGAAAACACAGCTAAGCACTTGTTTCTGTAAACCAGGTAGTGTTATATTAACCATGTATATCATAGGGTAAACACTTCTTACAGAAACAATTGCCTGTGATATGGTATGCACATATCTTTGTCGCATTATGGTGGATAATATAAGATTGACAGTATCACTAAGGTTTGATTATGAAGCATTATCTCTTGTGTGAAATAAAATTACTTGGTCCTTAACTGATTATTCCATTCAAGAAGAAATAATAGTGAGTCCTAATTTCTTTGAGCTTGTTGTCAAATCATGTTCAAATAGAATTAAATTACAGTATATGAAACTGTTCTGCATTTCAAGTACTGCCCATTCTAATAATACTGTATTCTAAATTCCCCTTGGTTTGCATGTCTTCTTTTTTACGTCATATTTCAATAGTCTGGTCCGATTTATGGAAAAAAATACTTCTGACGGCAAATAATTATTATTTGGTCCAGCATAGTTTTTTAACCTAATTCGAGTATGCTGAATCCGAAAAAATATGCTGGCCTTCATAAATATGGCGTTAAAGAGGTCAAAATGGCGATTCAAAATGGCGGACATCCAATTTTTCTAATTTTCTTATAATGTCGTTCAAAATGGAGAAGTAATCAGTGAATATCTAATGAGTGTAATAAAACTATTAAAAAGATTAATAGAATGCTAACATTATTAGTTTAACTCAGAAAATTTAGTCGTTTCTACACTTAATTCGAATTTTCTCTGATTTATTTGTCTATTGTTCTATATTCTGCTTTGTTTAAGATTTTACATTTGCAAATATCCATACACTACAGATTTGCATATTTTTCCTCTGCATCTCACTATTCTACAATTAAATGATGGTGCAGCTGTAAGTTAAAAGTCAAAATGGCGATTCAAAATGGCGGATATTCATTTTTTTCTTCAAATTATTTCTTAATGTCGTTTACATAGGAGAAAGGATTTGTGAATTTTTTTACAGAGCGTAGTACAACTATGTAAAATTCCAAAGGAACACTAATATTATCACTTTAGTTCGAAAAATTTAGTCGTTTAGATTTGAAACGTGTTAATAATTAGCTCAAAATTGCGATTCAAGATGACGTCATATTCACTTGAATTTTGTAAAATACTTAAACTGCTTCATTCTGAGTTGTTTTGCATAAAATAAATTACAGTTTTTTTATCTATAGTATATATATAGTATATTAATTAGTCCATTAAATATGAACCAAAAACAAAATTACTAGAAAAGATTCATTTTTTTCTGGAAATAGTTAAAACAAACTCGACTTAAGAGTTTCCAACCCCCCAACCCCCCCCCCCCCCCCCCCCCCCCCTGATCGGGAGGCCCGGGTTCGATTCTCGTTCCCGGCGCCTCGTCAAACCCAAGACGTAAATATAGGTAGCGACTGTTCCTTCGCCAAGCACTCGGCATCAGAAGTGAAAGTCACGGGTCTTTCGGATATGACCTTAAATACGTAGGTCCTGTGTCACGGTAGGCGCTGGCACGATAAAGAACCCTCACTGCTCAATGGCCCTGAGTGCCGAGTATAGGTCTAAATTTGAAGCCCTTCACCGGCATACGGTGACGTCTCCATATGAGTGAAAAATTCTCGAGAGGGACGTTTAACAATATACAATCAATCAACAATCAATCCAAACCCCCCTCGTATTTGACCGTGTTTCAAAGCCTTTGAACCCCCATCCACCTGAAATCATTCCTGGATCGCTGTCATTATCAATTCGCACTTCTACTTCAGCACCCAGAGTACACCATCGAATATAACTGAAGAAATTCTTGTCCGATCTCATCGAACACTTTGTACTAGCTTTTGAAATTAGCACTTATAAGAACTTGGTATTATTCCCTAACATCTTCTATTCCAGCTTAATCTTTATTTTCTATAGTAAAACGATGCCCGTGTCAAGGATGTCAACCCCCTTGGCACGTAAAAGATAATTTCTCAGCAGTTCGAAAAAGAGTAAGCTCACTGGGGGCCGCCAAAGAAACGAAAATCCTTCAAAAACCGATTACTCAGTATGTAAACTGATGGTCCGCCGAATCATGGTGAAAAAATTGCCGACTCGGCGTTAAACAATATACAATCAATCAATCAGCACTCAAGGAACAAACATTTATGTTCAAATGTTAACAGTATATTTTGTTTTCCAAAACCTTATGCAAAATGAACTAGAGGTACTGTGAGCAATTAGCTCACTAAATGATACCCCCGTCTCCCATATGAATATAATGACAATGTTCATGTTTTGCTATGGGAAGCCCAAAATATGTGTCGGATCAAAATGTAAAATAAGAGGTGCACAATGACAATATGTAATAAAAATTTAGTGAAAGTTTCATCAAATTTCATTCAGTGGTATGAGAGGAGTTGCGGATAAGAGATGGGTACCCCAAAGCGTAACAGAAGGACGGACATACTGATTACTCTATACCCTCCCGCTTTTCAAGCGGGGGGGGGAATAAATCAAATCTCTGATATTCAAGACATGTACCTCTTTATTTTGTGACTACGGATAGATTTGTTGTCTTTTGGGGTAGAAAGTTTATTATATTAGCAAGAAAATTCTCAAACTTTATCATCTGGAATCACATTTTGTGCATATTTTGGTGAGAAAAGTTGTATAATTATGCAATTTAAGAACGCCTGCAGATTCCTCGTGATTACTATCACGCACAAATTTTCGTACCCATAGGCCTAAGCCATTCTTGACTTCGATCTAATCAACACTTCTCTTGACAACAAAGTTTTCTTGAACACTCCAAGAACTTTACATGTATACAAGGCAACTTGATCCACACTTCTTTGTTAGGATAGTGTAAGGTTGTATGAAGAATCGAGGGGGATCAATTGAACTCAAACATTTTCTTCTTTCAGATTTTGTAAATTTCAAAATTTTTAAATTTATATACACTGTTCAATACAATATTATATCGGTTCAAAACATGAAATATTTGAAAATGCAGTTGAATTTTTGACTGAGATTAACAAAATGCAAATGTAGGGACACCGAATCAGAGCTGGACAATCAAGAAAATTTATGGTTTACGTGTATTATACTGATAATTCTTAATAAATGTTTATATTTGGATATTATAAGTTCAGATTTATATGATGTAACAATTACTAGCCCTCTAATTGGTCGTGGTCCATCATTTTAAAAATCAAACTAAGTTATGTTGCACTAGACCTTCCACATGAACATAAACATTTATAATTTTGCTAAACTGGACTTAAAATAGATCAAGAATTTCCAATCATTGATATGATTTAGCACACCTCAAACTAAAAGTTTCACTCGCCTAAATGATCGGGGAATACTTCTCTTGGGGTACCTTAATTTTCATATTGTCCTCAAAACAGCAATTACTTTATGATATTATTAACTTTTTATATGAAGAAGCATGGTGAGAGAGGTAATATGTTTTCGGAATTTTCGTCAAAAAAAAATTATCTTAATAATAGAAGTAAATTTAAAAAATCAATGTTATAAAAATCTTAAGTCATTAACAAAAATATCCTCCAACTTTAATTGCATATTTGAACATTATTTCACAAATTAAAAAAAAATGTTTTACAGAAAACAGAAAAATTTTTCTGCAAAACGAATCAGAATTCAGCAGTTTGGGTATTTCACGAAATTCGAGTGAATATGACGTCATTTGAATTGCCAATCTGAGCTAATTAACACATTTCAAATTAAAAAGACTAAATTTATAGAACGAAAGTGATAATATTAGTGTTATATTGTCATTTTACATAGTTGTACTACGCTCAGCAAGATATTCACAAATCCTTTCTCCTATGTAAACGACATTAAGAAATAATTTGAAAAAGAAATGAATATAGGCCATTTTGAACCGCCATTTTGACTTAAAGCTTACGGCTGCACCATCATTCAATTGTAAAATAATGAGATGCAGAGGAAAAATATACAAATTTGCAGTGTATGGATATTTGCAAATGTAAAATTCTGAACAAAGACGAATATAGAAACAATAGACAAATAAATCAGAGAAAATTCGAATTAAGTGTAGAAATGACTAAATATTCTGAGTTAAACTAATAATGTTAATATTCTATTAATCTTTTTAATAGTTTTATTACACTCAGTTAGATATTCACTGATTACTTCTCCATTTTGAACGACATTATAAGAAAATTAGACAAATTGGATGTCCGCCATTTTGAATCGCCATTTTGACCTCTTTAACACCATTTTCATGAAGGCCAGCATATTTTTTCGGATTCAGCATTCTCGAATTAGGTTAAAAAACTATGCTTGACCAAATAATAATTATTTGCCGTTAGAAGTTATTTCTAGCCTTCTTTTTAAAAATCAGGACCAGACTACAAGAAAGCAGTCTTGATCTTGGAACAAATTAAGTCAAATACAGTAGTTTTTGGAAGTATTTCACTAAAACATAGGAACAAAGTTCATGCTAAATGTATCTTAAAGGAATCGAAAAATATAAATATGAGAGCAGACATAGAAATAATGTACTTTTTCGTCGATATTTTACCGAAGGTGGGAAATACAGTTTGTAAACACATTTTATTAACATCAATTGTCAATATGTTCAGATATATTAGAAGAAATCTAGATTGATGTGGGTGGAGATGAACTTACTTGCTTGCTCTATTATGCCCCCGTAAACAAAGTTTCGGGGGCATATAGTTTTTGCCGTGTCTGTCTGTCTGTCTCTCTGTCTGTCTCTCTGTTTGTCTGTTTGTCCGCGAAAACTTTAACCTTGCCCATAACTTTTGATTTAGTGGAGCTATGACTTTCATATTTCATATGTGTATTCCTTGTGACAAGACCTTTCTTTGGGTACCACCAAATTTGACCTTTTGACCTTGACCTTGGAGTTTGACCCACTTTTACATGAAAATTTTAAAATTTTACTTTGGCCATATCTTTTGAACAGTAGATACCAGGACATTTATACTTCACATATATAATGTTTGTTAAAAGACCTTTCACGGGATACCAACAACTTTGACCCTTTGACCTTGACCTTGTAGATTTCCTTACTTGTGAAAAAACTTTAACCTTGGCCATAACTTTTGTACGGTAAAGGATTGGGCTTTCATACTTCATACCTGTAATCCTTGTGAGAAGACCCTTCATTGGATACCAAGAACTTTGACCTTGACCTTTGAGATTGACCTACTTTAAAAAAGCAAACCTTGACCATAACTTTTAAAGAGTTAGGGCCAGTGCTTTCATACTTTACATATTTGATCCTTATGACAAGACCTTTCTTTGGCTACCACCAAATTTGACCTTTTGACCTTGACCTTGGAGTTTGACCCACTTTTACATGAAAATTTTAAAATTTTACTTTGGCCATATCTTTTGAACAGTAGACACCAGGACATTTATACTTCACATATATAATGTTTGTTAAAAGACCTTTCACTGGATAACAACAACTTTGACCCTTTGACCTTGACCTTGTAGATTTCCTTACTTGTGAAAAAAAACTTTAACCTTGGCCATAACTTTTGAACGGTAAGGGATAGGGCTTTCATACTTCATACCTGTAATCCTTGTGAGAAGACCCTTCATTGGATACCAAGAACTTTGACCCTTTGACCTTGACCTTTGAGATTGACCTACTTTAAAAAAGCAAACCTTGACCATAACTTTTAAAGAGTTAGGGCTAGTGCTTTCATACTTTACATATTTGATCCTTATGACAAGACCTTTCATTTGATAACAATAACTTTGACCCTTTGACCTTGACCTTGGAGTTTGACCTATTTTTTAAGAAATTGAACGTTGACCATACCTTCTGAACGGTTAGGGCTAGGGCTTTCATGCTCTACAGAAGTATTCTATGTGGCAAGACCTTTCATTTGATACTAATTACATTGACCTTTTGACCTTGACCTTGGAGATTTTTGTAATTATTAATAAACTTTAACATTAGCTTACTTTCAAATTTCACAGTTGTTTTCCAGTGAGAATACCCTACATTTGGTACCAATTAATTGAATTTGCATTTAAGAAAAGCTTAATCTTTGCTATGTTGCCATACGGGGGCATCAGTGTTTTACAAACACATCTTGTTTTACTGTTGTTTTTCGTGTCCGAAGTTATCAACAAATAATACTCCGATCGATTACCTCTGTTGGTCGTCTAATTACACTGTTCGCTTTTTAATTACAGATAACGGATGTCTTTTTTTCCATCAAGGCATCATTTACGGCGTTTATTTGTCGAGTCACTATGGTTATAGCATAGAGATGTTTATTGTATTTTCTTAATACATGTAATTCCTCTGGTGGAATTACTTTGATATACATCTACATTGTGAATAAGGATGGTTAAGATACTACCATTGATAATTTAGAGAAGTAACTCAATATAAAACGCAGATATATATGCAATATTTTTTGAAAATGCTTAGGTGGCATTTTCATCGATGCTCATTTTTAACCTTCAAACCTTTTATTGACCGTCATATGATATAACTACAAGCTCTGTGACATGCATTTCGTTTCCCTTTGGTGACTTTCATCATTTTACCTTTGTTTTGTTGGAAACATTAGCACTCTACTTCAGATAGAATATATACACCCCGGTCTAAATCACTGCTGAAAGGTCAACTGAAAAACTGAAAAACTGTAGAACGTATTTTCATTTAAAAGTGTTTACTCAGTGTTTGAAGAAATAATATACAAGTAGTCGTTTTACACCTTTAAAACAGATTTTGAAGTTGAAAGGACTGCTCTACTAAAAGACACTTTCCCCACACTTCAACATCATTGCCTGAAGTTCGGGATTGATCTCCACTGGATTGATGTCCACCATGGCTGTCAACTGGACCATGCCAAGGACACGCACAGCTTTCAGCGCCACCTGGCGACAATGGAGGAGTGTCACAGGAAGTCCTCGGGCCCTTTCTTCATTGCAAGTACTTTTATACAAGCAGTGCATCTTATCTTTTAGAACTGTAATTTTTCTAACTATATACTATATGGCTTTACTACATGACATTTAATTTTGCATGTTAACTTATGAATTCTAATGGGAGCATTTCAGTTCATTATTCTTCTTTCAAATACACACACATGTAAACTGCTATTTTATTTATTCTAAGAATTATGATCTAAAAGTGTTATTTAAATATTATTACACAATGATTTTGATACTTAAGGTGTTGTTTCTTTAGTTTTAGATACCTGTGTTTGCGCTGCTCCCAATCTGTATTGTTTCAATGGACCCTAGAGTTACTGTTGTTTGCCAGTTTTAAAATAAATTGAATTTCTTTAAACATTTAATTGAAAAAGAGTCTTATATAGGAAGAGGTGTATGTTATAAGACTAATGATGTGCTTAATTACAGCATAAAAATCTCAATTAATGGTATGCATTAATAATTACGTGGAAAATACTCCTAAACCGAGTTATGATTTATGACCAGAGGATTAGGGAAGGCATGTTCGGTACTTTGCATCGCATGACCTGTATATGTATGTTTTACATACTATTCTGATAATATTTGCAGTGATATACTAACGGCAATCAAAAATATTTACGGATTTTTTTTTTGGCAAAGGTTCCTTATTGAAAATGATTATCAAATTCAGAAATAAAATTTCGTTTTCTTATAGTGCCTTTTGGGGTCAAAATATGGGGACTGTCCTCTTCCAAGTTTTCTGGACGAAGCAGAGTTTACACACATCAGAAATGAAGCATTTGAGGGTGGAAAAGGTATGATCTACTTTTCTCTTTCTAAGTATAAGTCAATTACTTGATAATCTAAATATTGTTTTTTTTATATATAAATATGCACAGGAACAATTTAAGATAAAAGGTACTGGGTATTTTGAACCTAAACTACGGTACTACTGTTTTTTAGTGAAATACCATGATGGATATTTTTCGAGAATCAACTTGAATTTTAAGAAATAAATGTCTCATCTTAACTATGAATTGGGGCTATGTATTTGTGATACAGTATCTCAAAATTCTACACAGTTATACTTTTGATGAAAAGACAAATTTGCATGTTCACATCTTTTAATTGTTTAAAATAAAATGTACATTCATTTCTGATACTAACTTTGACTTAAAGTAAGGTCACAAAAGGATTGACCCTTTCTTGTCTCGTTAACAGACATCCGTCTCTTGGACGACTGGTACGTAAAGGATGAGTATGCTGTTCCCGTCCTGTATAAGCTGAAACCTCTACAAGATGTCTACAAAAACATCCAATTTAGGTTGATATGCTCAAAAATCTTATTTTCAATTATAAATGTTGATAAAAAGTTAGTTAGGTAAAATGGATATGTAACATTTTAACAGAGCATGCATTTGGAAGATTATTTGTATATTTTATTTATTGCGAGAATCTAACCGTTGTGTACTGACCTTGTCAAGGGAATTTTAAAATCAGGTTATGTACTAAAGAGCTCTTATCTAAAGCATTTTATCTTTGAAATGCAAATGTTATTGTAGTTTCATGGAATATTCTTATGTTCTTTAGAATTTTCTACGTACATCTTTCTTTTTTTTTTCGAAAAATTCATTTTTGTATTTGGGTTTATAAAATGTTTTCTCCTGATTAAGAGTTAAGCTGCTTTTCGGGTAAGAATGGATTCGAATAGGGCCATGTAGTCACATGGCTTCATCGCATCATAGATATTTTTGTCGATAGTTCAATGTTTCAAGAAAAGGATGCCGATGAAGCATTAGTGTAATCAACAAGGAACGTTGTTAACAAATGTTCTCTTGCTAGGGATTCTCATTTTTCCCGTGTCCTTGTTGAAGGTTCAATTTCACATGTAATATGCTTTGCATATATTTCCAAAAGAAAAAAAAAATGATGTCCAAGTTGTCTTTGTGTCTTATGATATTCATTCTTGATTAGATCTAGTGGAAATCAGAGAGAACACGAGAGAAACGTAGAGGAATGGTCAGCTACATACACAGGTCTTTTGGACATAATCCAATATGGCGCTAAAATAGCTCACGACGAAGGAAACATTAATCAGGTTCATCTTCAGAAACAGGAACGTTTTTTCACCTCAGGTATACGATTAAATAACAAAAAATATATTTGTCTGAAAAGTCAAAGACATTTATAACCTAAAATTTGAGATAAAAAAAAAACATAAATCACCATTAGCAAATATGCAGGGAAACATTCTCTCTCCTTGAAGCTTTCCACGAAAAACTATTATTATTGAGGAAAATAAATGATTCCAATGTAAGTTATTGTTCTGCATGATCAACAACTGGTCATTTATTCCTTTCATTAAACGTTTAGCAATGTTGTTAAAAACATTCAACAGTGATCTTTTTTAGTTCTTGAACAGGAGGTTTCACTAGCTTTGAAATTGGGCTGCAAGGAAGGAGTTTTTATTTTCAGAAATATAGAAGGTAAATGAAAAAAGAAAAAACTAAATATTTGTTCAAAAATGGAAATGATATACAAGTTTCAACAAATTTCTATATATTAAAAGGCCATTTTTGTACTTTTCTTGTACCAAATACCCTGAACATGAAACTGTATTCTATATTATCAGTGAGTGAGAAAAAAGACATCAAAGCCGTCTTTTATGACCTTGACCTCAACGGAATTCCAGACAAGGACAAACAGGAAAGACTCGGCAATTTAAAATGTGAGGTAGACTCAAAGATTTCTAATTCAAATAAATTCACGTTTACTTTACAATGTGAATCCAAAGGTATATCAAAAGAAAATTCGGAACATGTGACATATCTTGAAAACTTGACAGCTGCAGCCGCAATGGGCTTGAGAGATTTATTTGATGAATCTGAAAAGAACAAACTGCATTTTCCGTCAACGAAAAAAGGTGAACTTTGCCTTGAGACATTGATACACTTACATCATTGCAAAGAATTAATGAAGAACTACCATGGAGGTGGCTTGGACTTTCTCTTATCCAAGATACAGGTGCTGCTAATGAATGGAACAAGAGTTGATCACCCACTCATAATTATCAAAGGGGATACTGGATGCGGAAAATCTCACTTCCTATCTAAAATATGTTTTCGAGCGAGAGAATTATTTGGAAAGGATATGATACTTATACCAAGATTCATAGGAATAACACCAAAATCAAAGGATAAGCAGCAAATTCTTAGGGAAATTTGTGTTCAACTAAACTTTGTTCTTCAGCAGAACATTTGTTTGGAGGAGTATGATGGATCCCATCTCACAAATTACTTTTATGGTCTTGCGAATCGTATTTCTAAAGGTCAGCGTCATCTAGTGCTTGTGCTGGATGGTGTTGATAACTTAGAGAGCCATGATAAGGAAGAAATGAACTATATGATTGACTGGTTCTCGATAAAGCTACCCCCTAAAGTGCATCTCATTATTTCATACAGGCCAGGCAAAGATCATGTTTTTCAAAAACTTGAAGCCAAAACAAACAATGCTATAGACAGTATGGTGATCTTTCCAGGTTGGACGCATGACAGAATAAAAGACGCACTGACTTTTAATCTGTCTAAGAATAAGAGAGTAATGGCCAAAAACAAAGAAAAACAATTCATTAAACTGCTCCTGAAAGCCTCACCGTTCGTCATTCAAAATGCTCTGAAACTTTTAAAAGAATGGCATGTAAACTACAATGTCATAAACAACCACTTTCCAATTTCAAATGAAGAAATAGTTCACAAACATATAGACCAGTTGGAGTTTACGTTTGGAACAGAGGTCGTAGAAGCGATGTGTCGATACTTTACCTTGTCGAGTTTTGGTTTGAGTGAAACAGAACTTCTGGACATATTATCTTGCAACAACGAAGTCATACTGTCTGTTTTAAGATATAGCAACTCTGAGGTGTTCCGATTTCCATGGTTCCTGTGGATTTATCTCAAATCAGAGATAGGTATGGATATGTATGTGTTTAGCTGATGGTTCGAATGCTAAAAAAATCTTGTAAAAGTCGTAAGGTTAGAACCTGGTGTTAGGTCAAATTAACGAGACCGAGTCTAAATCGAGTGCGCATGAATTTGCGCAGCTTTTTAATTTCATGCAGTCATTTGTGCGACAGTACACCTTTGCCAAATATTTTGATTTTAACACAAAATTAACATTTTCTGTAACCCCTACTAGTCTGAAAATGTGCTCTACGACAATGATTAGGGAAAAAACGCTGAAATGGCTCTAACGACGTTGCCATTTTCAGATTTTGTAAGCAATGCATGACTCTGAAGAATGACCAATGAATCGCTTGTATGTTCAAGGCTTCCATGGCTTCCATGGACTGATGACAGAACATCCAAAGAAACATACTAGCAATCTTAACATTGCTATGTTTTACCGAAAAATTAATCTGCGCCGATACTTCATCTGCACTGATATGTATTTATACCATAATATGGCAATTTTAGAGGTATTGGGCTTTGAAAAAATAAACCTAGTAATTAATTCCTAGACCAACCTAGATGGTGAATTTTTTTGAAATTTCACAATTTGGTGACTTTTTACAATAACTTTCATCTACTTGAATGAAAAAGAAATCTCTAGGGCAGAAACACAAAAAATATGGAGAAACATTGATAATTTGGCGCTTTTCCAACAATTTCCCATAGGGTCCAATAGTAAAATTTGACGACTTTTGAGATGGCCCCCTAAGAAATCGGGATGGTAAACATTCGATTTTTTAATCTGAAAATAATAAATATAACAGTAAAAATTAATTGTCAAAAAATTATCAAAATCCCTAGGGCAGAAATAATTAGACTCGGCCTCGTTAATTCAATCTTTAAAATGCTGTCGTATGTCGGATCACGAAATAATGAGATACTAATTCTTAATTCTTGAGTCACTAATTAAATGAGTATGTTATTGCGAGTAGTTTGGCAGGGTTTTGATTTAAGACCATACTGGCTCCTCCGTGGCACCTGATCACTCCTCTGGTATTTCCAGGGTTGCGTGTTTTATGCCCTCTTAACAGATTTGTAATGTAAGCAGGTTTTCATAGAGCGATCATTGTTCGTTATTTGTCCTATTTCATAAGCTCAGTACATATAACTCTAAAATGTTATATGTTTAGCAATTATTTTCTTAACTATTGCATCTATTCTGATATTATTTTGATCCATTGGCATATATCGCCAAGGTATATAGAGATGGCAACAAATCTGCATCAGTGACTTAATTAAATTTTTGAACATGTACTGCATAGATTTACCAACTTTATGTTGTTTTCAGGATTACTTCTGTCTCAGCGTTTCGTCCACCGAAAACTTGTCTTGTGCTGGTCCCATGATTTTGTAGAGGATATCATTCGGCGGAGATATATGGCCAATGTTGATAGTATTGGAGTTATCCATTCCGATCTGACGGAACTTTTTCTGGAGACGTGGACGGAGGGTAAACAGATGCTGGTCCACGAGAACTCGCTGGTGGAGGACGACATCCAGAGATATGTGTGTCACCAGCCTCTTCTCTATAGTGAGACCAAGTACAACAACAGGAAGATCAACGAACTGTGGATACACATACTGCAGTTAGGTAAACACCCTTGTAGCTGTGATTATGTGCCTCTATTACAAGAATGGAATACTGAATCCTGGAGATTTGGCATAAAGGATTAAAATACTATGTGATCCCTTTATAAGAATAGAAAGTAGGACGTAGAAAATTCCTCTAAAAAAGAACTTAAAATTTAAAAATCCACCTATACCTCATACTTCCTTCGCTTATTTATTTATCTTACATCATACATATTCATATTATATTGAATGTAGCAATGTTATTTTTTTTCCTTCTGTGATATTAGTTGCATTAATAATAACGTTTATCCATCGATAGCGTTTGTCTTAAAGTAGGCTTTCCTTTATGAAACAATCAACACTTATATAACAAGAAGCAATTATTGATCATTTTACAGGTGACGCAAAGCGGTTAAAGGAACACACCTTGTGTAACTTTGAGTATTTGCTCTCAATGATTGACTCCTCGTCCATCAACACCGTCCTACAGAACTTCCGATTAACACTGTCCAGACTTGTTGATGCTGAAATCTTTCTGATTTACAACTGCTTGTTGAAATCATCTCCTGTCCTTGCTCGGCATCCGACACAATTAGCTAATGAGCTGATCGGGTATCTAAGAGATATCAAAGGTAATGCTTCATTGTTTATTTATGTTTCTCATAATCATCACAGAATTACCCAGGAATCATTCTGAATGATGCAAGAATAAATCGAACAGTTTTAAATCATTCATGCGTACATATATATATAAACAAATTTGGTATGCGTATTTCACAAGAATGTCAACGCACACTGCAACTCCTGAAGAAAAAGTCTTGCAAAAGCTTGCATGCATTCGTTTCATTCATGGTTCTATGGTAACAAGCAATTTGTATCCAAATTTGACATTATGGAAGAAAATATTCCCTTAAGTTTAAAAGAATTAGTTTGATAGTTACTTAGAACAAATAAATCGAAAATTCCGCTTAATCAGAAGATTTTAATGGTAATTGTGTCGGTGTTTATGATTTCCTTATAAGATTGTACCAGTCGTCTACTGGAACATTTATTAGCATGATACCATATTTTGGTCTCCGACTTTGTTCCGGTAATATAAATGATAAACAATTGGTATTAAATGTACATTTTTAAAATGCTTACAGATCTTTTGAATCTATAGATTTTTACCCTTGTTTCACGGAATCTCTTGTGACCCAGAGCATGCAGTGGTGTGACACATACAACGAGCCCTTGTTTATTCCTATGACGTCATGGCTTCCAAGTCCCCACATTCCGCTTGTGGCAGCATTGGACGGTCTAGATGGAGCGAATCTCATTGCACCACTGAACAACAACCAGCATATTCTCTGTTCTTATGGTCTTCTTGACATTGCAATGTACCACGTGCCATCCAAAAAGTTACTAAAGCTGTTTTCGGGTAAAAGAAAAAAGCAAAAAATGATTATTTTTCTTTAGTCTTAAAATCATATTTTGCTTTCCATCGTGTACATATTTTTCAATTTTTATAAGGTCACAGAAGTACTATCCGGTGCCTGATATTGTCAAACCAGGAACAGTTTTGTATCAGTGGATCAGAGGATGGGACAGTTAGGTTCTGGAAATTTGCTGAAGGTCTTTGTACACGTGTCATAAGGTAAATCATTTCAAAATAATTTATTTCAAAGTCCATATTTTATGCATATGATGCAATTATAACAATTATAGTTTTTACTTATCTTTGAAGGGAGCACCTGGGCGCTGTTCTATGTCTCAGCATGACCCCAGAAGATGACGTCATAATCAGTGGATCTGATGACACAACTATTGTTCTGTCCTCTGTGTCTACAGGAAAGAGAACTGATGTTTTGAAAGGTCACACAAAAGCAGTGACAGCCCTTAAGCTCAACAGCAATGCTGATCTTTTATCTTCAGGTATAAAGTAGTCATTTTCCACAGCCGAATTATTAGCTTATGGCTTAAGAAGCAATTTTTAATTATTATTATTTTTATAGTAAAAGATTCTGATCATTTTTCAAGCAAATTATATATAACGCGTACCGTAATTTGAACTAAAAGAAATATCATTAAATATCACAAAATGAAGTAACAAATTATATAAGAGACCGAGGGACTTACCGTAAGACCTATATTTGTATGTATGAAACATGTGGAGATAATGAACAGTATTCAAGATCAGAAGCCCAAAAACAATACAAAACAGAAGCAGAGCAAACATGGACCTCCAAAACATCAGAAATGGGATCAGGTGCCATAAAGGAGTGAGCATCCCCTGCCGACTCGTCACACCCGCCGTGTGCTCCTTGTCATGATCGGGAAATAACGGAAAAATCCGTCGTCAATACAGTGTATATGTATTAATAATGGAGTAACAATTAGTATGAAAAACGTCGATCAGCATTTGACTCAATGATAAATTGTATTTGCTGACAATGTCATTGTATCGACCATAGAGATAAGCTACTGACCAACAAATTGATTAAACAAGGATATAAACAGTCTTGAATAAAGTCCAAATTTTGCAAAGTCTATGGTCGATACAGTATGACTTTGTTAGTAAATACAATTTAAAGTTAAATTGAATGTTGAATGAATTTTTTCATACATATTGTTAGGTCATTAGTTTTACACTGAATTGTCTCATTTTTTCCCATTTCCCCGGTCCCAAAAAGGAGCACAAAGGTGAGTGTAACCATCACCAGGAGTCGCTTACTCCTTCATGGACCGTGATCCCAACTCCTTTGTTTTAAGAGATGTGCGTTTGCTCTGCTCCAATATATAGTTCCAGTGGAGTTTTGAGGTATATTACTACACTGTATTTGTTTTCTGGATACTTCATGAATTTTACTAAATAATCAACAATGTTCCACCCTAAGGCATGAACACTTGACCCAGGTGTCATGAACTTCACAGTTTTGGAATAGGTGCTCTTGCTCGTCATAACCATGTATTTTCTTTGCTAAAGTAAACAAGGGACAGGAGAGAAGAAGCTTTTCCTAAAGATTGTATGCATTTTCACTATATGATCATTTGACATTCACTCAAAAACCAGAATTCTTTGATCTCTTGACCCAGGGGTCCATAATTTCACAATTTTGGTAAATTCAGTGTTTCATTATTCATGTTCCAGGAGTCAGTTAGTCGTTTTAAAAATGGCATTAATTTTGATAGTTAAGCCCCAACTGTCGGGTCCTTCGGGGGGGTGGGAATAATAAAAAAAAATGACCTCATATGCCATACCAAAGATTGGCTGAAATTTGCTCCATAAATGCTGCTGCAAATGATTAATTTTTAGCATAAGATGGACGAGGGTGGACAAAAAATATTTCGAAAAAGCAATGTGTCACCTGATCTTGAATAACTGAAGTGACCTAAAAAATCAAATTAACGTTAAGTTATTAAAAATCTCACAAAAAGACAGACATACATGACGCCGTTTGTGCACATTGAAATAACTGATTTATTTTAAAGCTTCTCGGGACACAAAGATTATTGTTTGGTGCATGAAAGAGAAGACTCAGTTGCTGACGGTGGATGACATTCATTCTCCTATTTCCTGTATAGATCTGACGTCTGACAACACGTTTTTGCTTGCAGGTAAAAACCACATTAGAACCAGACATGCATGTATTTAAGCATTGAATTATTTTCAGATAACATTCTATGTACCTGACTAGCCGTGCTAATGTCGCACGATACTTTCGCGGTACGTTGCTGTTATAAGACATCCAAAAAATCAGAATTACGTTCTCTTTGTAAATTTTCATGTAATTCGTCTTCATTATAAAATTGGCGTGATTAAATTAAACTCATAAGAGCTCTTTTGATTTGGCTAATGACTACTAGTATAGCGGGGGAATAATGACAAATTAAATTGATTATAAATGTACATGTGTGATTTCTACAAAATTTTAATAGTGTAGTTGTTTTATTAGATTGAATAAAAATATGCAATTTTGTGTTTCTTATGTATTTGAAACTGTGTGTAGTTCCTTTTGTGTATTCTATCAAGTTTAATACATGGTCATTTAAAATGTTGGAGATTTTCAATGGATTTCATTAAGAGAAGTACACTGTATGTTACAAGATTCCTTGCTTTGGGTGACGAGCTGGGTTTCTATTACAGGCTGTGAGGACGGGAGTCTGAATGTGATATCATTCACCACCGGTTCCTGGATTCACCAGCTTAAAGGACACAAAGGATGGGTAAGGATTGTTCCATAAGTTCTAGTTATTTTCATCCATATATTACAGTTAGAGTTAATTATTACCTGCATTTTATATCAATCAATTTGTTGTCAGTATTTTCTTTTTCCTGTTACGAAAACGGCAATGACTCAGATTGATGCAGACGAAAATGGCGGAATAAAATTCGATAAAGATAAAGTACACTTGTAAAGACAAAGTAATATTTACCTTTTTACCTTGCTAAATATAACGTCTGGGACGAAAATAGTTCTTCAAACCAATACCGCAAAACACAATAAGACTAAAACTGGATATTTATTTCTCCAGTTACATGACGCCTTGCAGTCTATCACACCTTGTTTTTAGAATTGATTACCTTTTTTCCTAAGGTACGCACTCTGACTTTGGCTAATAACTGTCACCATGTGTTTGCTGGTTGCCAAGACAACATGGTTTATATGTACAACTTCAGGACCACAGAACTTATAGATATTTTCCAGGGACATAGCTCCGCAGTCACACATGTAAAAATTTCCTATGACCAGTCAATGGTTTTCAGTTCTTCAGAGGTATCAAATTATCTTTACACTCAATAATCTTTTATTGCTCAAGTAATGTATGTCATGTCTCAAAATAAAAAAAAATGAAATAAAATACGATTTTAAAAAAGATAATTTTTATTTTAATTTTTACGTCGATAAGTGGTCTCTCTCGACTTTGGAAGAGTAGGAAAATTTTTAAAATCAATGAGAACTTTTATTTTTTTTTTTAATAAGACACAAGCCAAGTGTCGTTTGCTTAAAAGATATTGATGTTTATGGTTAAAATTTATACTTTTTATTTAACGTCTTTTACGATTTTGCTGTAATACTATTTTAAGTGACTAACCTTTGACATTTTGTTTTTTAAAGCTCATTTAAACAAAAAGTAAAAAGAATTTACTTTCTAAAAGTGGTGAAATTATCAAAATTGAAAAGAAGCCATTTAGAGTGAAATGCCCTGTATCTTGCAAAGATAAATGTGGAAAAGAGTGTAAAAAATTAGAAAGCCTATCTGATCTAGTATAAAACGTAATACTAGTATATATTAGAATCTGGAAGTTTTTCTTGGATTTTTCTCGGGATATTTTTTCCACTACTTTATCAAAGTCATATATTGTAATGATATTAAGCATATAATATTAATACTCTTTTAGGGTAAAATTAATTTATGGAGTTTCCTGCCAAAACTTACGAACAACGTAGAAAATGATGACCATATCTGTACCGTGACATGCGTAGCCATCACGACTGACGCTAAACTCGCTTTATCAGGTGCTTTCTTTCAAATGTCAACCATTATATATGTCAAATATATATGTTAAAAGCTTAAAGCTAAAAAAATCCTTAAAAATGTATGATATGAAAGACAATAGTTTTACTGGACATCTGCAATAAAGAGTAAATTTCATTGAATTAACAGGGGCCACAGATGGAGAAATCAAACTATGGGACCTTGAAATGAACGCGTATTCCGAGAGTTTTCTGGGGCATAGTGGCGCCATTACATGTATCGAACCCTCCTCTAAATCTGCTTTTATAGTGACAGCAGCCGAGGACAAGAGGATTAAAGTCTGGAGTATGACTCTAGCCACGGTCATTGTAAGCTATGAGGTACGCTTAAATATCTAGCCACGGTCATTGTAAGCTATATATATATATTAAGTACGCATATACAATGATATGCCATAAGTGATCGTTCAAATTCAATTTTCATTACGTCACCTTACATTTTCACACGACGACGACGACAATGTAGCTATGAGGTCCGCTTAGTTATCTAGTCACAATCATTGTAAGCTATGAGGAACGCTTAAATATCTAGCCACGGTCATGGTAAGCTACGAGGTATAGCTCAGATATTTAGCCACGGTCATTGTAAGCTATGAGGTACGCTTAGATATCTAGCTACGGTCATTGAAAGCTACGAAGTACGCTTAGATATATAGTTACGGTCATTGAAAGCTACGAGGTACGCTTAGATATATAGCCACGGTCATTGTAAGCTATGAGGTACGTTTAGATATCTAGCCACGGTCATTGTAAGCTACGAGGTAAGCTTAGATATATATCTAGTCACGGTCATTGTTGAGCCTTTGTCACATTTCCCGGCCGGTGGCCGTAGACCGGTGGTAATCGGTTGTAATCCGTGGTGTGAGCGATGACCCAACATCGGTCCACATCGGCCTAGTAGTCATTAAAGTATAAGTCACATTATCTAGCGATGGGTAATCTATGGGCAACCAATGCGTTTTTTGATAAAAATGGCGTGGTTGCCGGCCGGACGAACAAAGGCTCAGCGAGGCATTGCTAATCATAAAAACGATGTTCCAGGATAGTCGGTCGATTTATATTACATCGCTCATACATTGGTGAACATCATACGTATGTCGGTCGACTATGGGCCAATGTTTGTTCAAACATCGACCGATTCATGTCTGTTGCATGACCTAAGATTCAACGGACACTAGTCTTGATGATGCTCGGCCATACATCGGCCAATCCTTGAAAGATGTGTTAATGAAGGGTTGCCGATGAGGAGCGATATGGGGCATCGGTGAAGACATCACTGATTTTTAACTACCAACATATTATCTACCGATGACCCCCACCGACTCGCCAAATGGCCTCAGTCACCGTCCGATTACTATAGGTGTCCGGCCGGCAATCACGCCATTTTTATAAAAAAAAAAAAAACACATCGGTTTCTCATCGTATACCCCATCGCTGGATAATGTGACTGATACTTAATCTATGAGGTAAGTTAAGATATCTTTCCACAATCATTGTAAACTTGAGGTAAGCTTAGAAACCTAGCAAAGGCTATTGTAATCTTTGAGGGACGCTTCAGAAATCTGGCAACCATCACTGAATGTTATAGGGTAAGCTCCATCAATATAGCAACTCTCATTGAAAGTAATGAGGTTAGTTTAGAAATCTTGTCACCGACATTGATACTATTAGTTAACCAATGAAATCTGGCCAAGGTCATCGTAAGCTGCAAGGCACGTTTTGGAAATCTAGCAACTTTCATTGTACGATATATATGAGTTTAGCTTTAAAAACTAGAGACAGCATTGTACGCTATTAATTAATCTCCGGAAATCTAACAATTATCGTTGTAAGCTATGAGTAAAGTTCCAGATACCCAGCAACTGTATTGATATTTATGAGATTAGCTTGAAATACAATAGTAGCAACAACATTGTAAGCTATGTTGTAGCTGAAGAAATCTAGCCACAGTCACATTCAGCAATATATGAGTTATCCTCAGAAATCGGTTTTATAACCAACTACTTTATTGCTTAAAAAATGGATTGAAAATATAGATCTTTGTAAGAATAAATAAAGATAATTTTGTTGCAATGATATATTGAATTTTTATGTCTTCACGTAAACATTCATCTACAAAATATAACTAGATACTGTCATGAGACAGTAATACCCGCACTAAGGTGTTTGCCTCTAAATGCACACTCCTCTAAAATTAGGCTTTACCAAAGAAAAAGTCAATATAATTTAATAATTTACATAATAGGGCCTCCATGTATTCATCAAATTGAGCATAATATTCTCAAGTGAACATGTGACCCGTCACCATGGGCCTCGATCTTATAGGTACATGTATTTCATATTCATAATTCATTACCAGTCTGAAATTAAACAACAGAATTCAATTAATGATGTAAATTAGGTTTGAAACAAGGGGGGGGGGGTAAATTTTTGGCCCATATTTGGAACTTTTTAAATCTATTTTCTCATATAGATCAACAACAAATATTATTCAAATTAGTTTAAAGCGTTTTTGATGATTTTTTCCAAAATGTACAAACTTTTTTATACTTGATTAGGCAGAAACACCTTGAAAGCTGCCATATACCATTTATACCCAATCAATTTAGTCAACCCCCACCCTTCTCCCATCAACACACACACGCGCAAACACACCCTATTTTCCTGTTTTTGGAAATAGGCCTAGATGGCAAAGTTAAGATAAAACATCTTTTGTAAATAATAATTTATAATTTGTTCTTATACTGTAAATGTATCTGAAGACCTGCATCACATTGGGCTTGCGTCATGTACCTAACTTAAGTACTAGTTTTACCATTATCATTTTTAGATAGCACTGCACGTGCAGTACTAGGCCTAGTGTTGTGTACACATCATTGCATGTATGTCAGTTGGAATTATTTTGTGTTTAATTGGATTATATTTCATGAAGTTGGAGCTATGGCAGTCGGTAAGTACACGTTTTGGTATAGATTTGGGTAAAATAGTCTGAAATGCAACTGGTTAGGTTAAAGTTTAAAGGATCAAAGGTCATCCGATGCTGCAATAAGACGAATTTCACATTCTAAAGAGTTATCGCCCGTTATCGACGTTACATTCAGTTACAAAATACAGAATTTTTTTCTGAGAGGGAGGGGGGACTTCCAGACCAGAATTTTCTGAGAAGCAAATAAAAGGAGAAGTTATGATGGTGTCTGTTTTCTAGGGTGGAGGGCATCCAAAGTCTTTTTTATAATATAGTCCTGCAAATTCGAGGGGGGGGGATCTCAAGATACACTTCCAGTCCCTGTAAACAGTAATGGCAAATGATCATGTGACTCCTAAATAGTAGGAAACTTTTTCCATTTGACAATACATAATTTTGCACTTTTTGTGTTATTATGTTATGCAAATTTAATGGTATAAAGGTTTTGAACCCCCTGGAGGTCATCCCCACTCTCCTAATGATTCTAACTGGAAATGTTCACAATATGACTGCATTAAATGAAATAAAAGTGCATCAATGATAAGATTGCTTGACATTTCATTCATCAACCTATCCTCCTAGAATTAGGAATGAAAATCATTCAAAGAGATGGACCACATTAAAGTATTTGTATATAGGCTATTAACATATTTTTTTAAAAATGTAAAACAAGCAGTAGTTTGCATACATGTCATGAATATAAACAGGGGTCTGGGATGGGGTGAAGGGAAGGATCGAGTTCCTGTCTCTTTACGTCTTAATGGTTGAAAACTCCTAAAATGAATGTTGACCTCAAATCCGACTTGTCCTCATTATTTTTCAAGTGGGGGTGTCTCCATTTGAGTGAAAAATTCCTGAGAGGGATGTTTAACAACAAACAAACAATTAAATGACATAAAAACACAATATTGATTTGCGTTAAGAAATATGCAGGGGATTTTTTCCATCATAAATCTTCTTCTCAAGAACAGCAAGGGCATTATTGTCCCTTGTTTGGGGGGAAAGGGAGGGAACATTATGCACTTATTTAATGACTACGAGGTAAACAGTCAAACTGTTGTCCCAAGGTAGTGGGGGAGACCTGGGAAACTGTTGCCCAAGGCCGAAGGCCAAGGGCAACAGTTTCCCAGGTCTCCCCCACGTACTACTGAGGGACAACAGTTTGACTGTTTCACCGAGTAGTCATTGAATAAGTGTTTTATTACCTAACCTACTATATAATTAATTAAATTGGAATAAAAACACACAAACAATCAATAAAAAGTTTTCACAATTGTTTATTCACATACTTGTCTATTAATTAGCTGAATACATAATATAAAGACTAAATTAATATTTTTATTTTAAAGTAATACTTAATAAATTTATTGTTTGTGTGTTTTGTTTAAATTTAATTCATTATAGAGCAGGTAAATAGTGATGTCGTGATCATCAAAACGCTTGAATATCACAATGACGCTTTAACCAGTCAACAGTTCATTCTGTGGACCGGTCAACAGTTCACTGTTAAAAACATAAAGTAAACCGTGAAACAGTTCAAAATGCCTAATTATAATTTAGATAGTAAGTTAGGTAATAATAAATCTTATTTGTCTGTCAGTCTGGCCATCTTTGACAGTATGTGCATCTGTCACAATAAATTTAAGGAGGAATGCCACACCAAATTTTTATTTTATAGACCTGTGAGTCAACCTTTTTAAACAATGGTTTCAGCATTGAAAGGCCGACATTAGCTCTCAATTATTTTATATGAATTTTTTTGTATTATTTCAAAGAAAATGAAAAAAATTATTTCCATCAAAATAAGATGCTTTCTTGTAAAATTTTTGCTGTAAATCAATGCATCACATTAATATCTAATAAAATATGTGTAGAAAAGCCGTATATATATTAAATTTTTTAAAATAAAAAAATATTTATGAAAATAAAACACGTAATTTGTGAATATTTTTCAAATTTGTGGTTAAAATTTTCTTAAACCCAGTCACAACTGGGGAGAACATGTTCATTAATTATATTTATAAAAGAAATTGAAACGAAATGGCCAAATTTTAGAGAAATTATTTTTTTTTAATTTTGGCCGATCCCGATCAAAATTAAACCGATCCCAACCATAATTGTATATTTATTGGAAATGAATACATTTCCCCAAGAACAATAGTCTGATTAAGTGTAATAAGGATTAAAACATTAATGAACATGACAATAAAATAAATTTCTTCATTGTAAATACAGTAAATTAGCATTTAAATTAATTTTGTATTAATTTTGATCGGGATCAGTTTAATTTTGATCGGGTTAGGTCCAAATATAAAAAAAATTAATTTCTCTAACATTTCTCAATTTCGTTTCAATT